TGGTTATATTCCAGGAGCTGAGTAAGCCCCCATGAGCCTCCAGGAGGGTACTCAGTGATGGCCGATGATATCTGAAGGGTCTAGAACAGTGTAGAGGAGAAAGAACCTGCTCTAGCTGATTCTCACTCTCGTCCAGAGAAGTTGGGGCTCATCAGCTTTGTTGTCTGAAATCTTTGCACCATTGTGAAATATATTCCCCAAATACTCAGTAAAAGAGTCTTAGAGCACTCCCCTGGTCTCGCGAAGATAACGGTTATTTCTCAGACAGTATGGTTCAAGCACATAAAACAGAAACGTTTTTCTCATTTCCTCTTTGTTGCATGGCCATCTCTCATGCAATGAAGTCACTACTTCCTGATGTAACAAAGAGCTGTGTCCTATTGCTTTGTTTCCACTTTCAAATCTCACCCCTTTAGAAAGATGCTCGAGCTGGAGATGCTGCTCAGTGCTCAATGCATTCCATGTCCGTGGGCCCCAGCTCCGCGTGCACACACACGCACACAGGAGCACACAAGCACACGCGCACACACACGCTTCTCTAAGCTTTCTCTCCAATCTCACTTTTCTCTCTTGGTACTCTAGTTCCATCCATTTCCTGGTGCCATTTTTTCGTACACTTCTAGTTTATATAGACACTTCAGGAATGTTTATTGCCTCAGGCCGGAGAGACATTCTGAAAGATAGTGATCATTTTATTTTCATTCTACCATGTAGCTCCTACAGAGTGGGGGAGGAGTCAGAAAAGTAGAAAGAAAACAATCAGCGACATTTTACAAACCAAAAAAACCAAAACCAATTTGTCTTTATTCAAAGCATCAACAAAAACAAAACCAAAAAAAGATACAATTTATATGTGTATGTAGATTTCATGTATATATTCAATTTCTACTTTTCACTTTTTTTTTTGGTACTGGAGCTTGAACACCAGGCCTTCACCTTGAGCCACTCCGCCAGCCCTTTTTTGTGATGGGTGTTTTTGAGATAGGGTCTCTCGAACTATTTGCCCATACTAGCTTCATTATTTATTTATTTATTTATTTTGGTGGTACTGAGGTTTGAACTCAGGGCCTCACAATTGCTAGGCAGGTGCCTACCACTTGAGCCACTCCACCAGCTCCCAGCTCCCTTCAGTTTTAATTGACCCTTATTTTTTACATTTTATCCATTGCACCATTTTAATTTCATAAATATTTTATTTAACCATACACAATGCACCATAGCTAGGTGGTTATTTGGGCCACTTTTGCTCACATAATACTAATTTCTACTCACATACTTTAGTGTTATTCTGAGAAAAATTCAGACTCCATGCAAGTTCTAGATAAATGAAATGTGAGAGCGGAAACACAACTTAGAGAATCAGCAATGAACACAGCAGCAGAGATGCGACAGCCCCTGGTGGCAGTACCACTGTTTGTCCCCTCATGCTTCCCTCTGAAGTTCCAGGCCACATGACAGAATGGTAACTAAATAAAGCTTTATTTATTATCATCATCATTATTATTATTTGGCAGTACTGGCATTTGAGTTCAGGGCTTTATGCTTGGTAGGCAGTTGTTCTACCCCTCCAGTCACACCTCTAGCTCTTTTTGCTCTGGTTATTTTGAAGATAAGGTCTCACTTTTTGCCCAGGCCAGCCTAGACTGCAACCCTCCTATTTTAGGTATCCTGCCATAGACGAGAGGACAGGCATGAAGCACTGTGCCCAGCTATTGGTTGAGATGGGGTCTTGGGAACTTATCGCCTGGGCTGGTCTCAAACAGCGATCCTCCTATCTCAGCCTCCCAAGTAGTTAGGATTATCATCATGAGCCACCAGCATCTGGCTCAAATTTTTACTTCTTTATTATGATAATTTTATACACAGAAGTTAAATAGTAAATATTTTTCACTAGCATATAACCTTCAAAGGAACATGTTACTTGGGAAAAGTTGTAAAGAAATGCAAATATATAGGCAAAAATGAACTTCTGGTTTAGTTTAAATTTCTATAATAACCATGAAAATATGTGTTAATATATATGTATAACAACACAGATAATGGATGAAAAAACTTCAAATTTTTTTATATATAAAAACACATATGCTTTATCAAACATATCTGAGCTACATATAAGTATTTTGTGTATTATATTGTGTATATATTTATACATAATATAAATGACTCATATTGTGCTTAGGGTTTTCTTATTTGTGCAGATTCATGTCCAAATGTGAAAAACTTCTAGCCTCAGCTCATAGCTACGACAAACACATGTCTGTGATCATTTACTTCACCACCATTATTAAAGCACTGCTCATCCCAGCTCATGGCTGGATATGGAGATAAAGACAGGTGCCTGCCCTCAAGGAGCCAGACTCCAGTAGGGGAGCCAGAAAAGAAAGTTAACCTCTGCCCTGTGGATAAGAGGGACCAGAGAGGATGCTGGGAACCACAGTGCTCTAAGGAGGAGTTCCCTTCCCTGGGCTGGAAGATCTGTGAGGGTTGGAAGGCAAGGGCAGAGAAACCTAGAGGCTTATTCAGGGAGCTAGAAGTGGTTGTACTGCAGTGTGAGGCACTGGGGAAGAAAGGAGCTCTCAGAATCAAAGGCCAAGGGGAGGCACGTTTGTAGAATACCTAGTGATGATGAAAGCCAAGACACCTAGCACCTGCCAGGTGACAGGCGCTGCTCTGAGTGCTTTCCACGGAGGACTGCACCCACTCCTCACAAGGACACCATGAGGTGCTCCATTTAGGCATGGTGGAACTAAGATGCTCAGGTTCACAGACCAGCTCGAGTGCCCATTCTGACCTGGTATGCTAACCTACTCTAGGCAGGCCCTGTGTATTCATCTGGATCCTCTCAGCACAAACAGTATTTCAAGATCACATAGCCTAGGATTGGGGGGTGGAGCTCAGTGGTAGAGCACTTGCCTAGGCCCTGGGTTGGATCTCCAGCACTGAAAACAAAAAAAACTAAGACCACAGTCTAGGTCATTGTCATGGCCATTGGTACTGGGTCAGTTTTCATTTCTAGGTTATTTCAGTGGACATATTTAGGAAGTACTTTTTTTCAACAGCAGCTTTACTGAGGTGTAACTGACATGAGAACATGCACGTATGTAAAGCGTGTGTCAGAGTGTGCAAACCCATGAGCCTCTCACCCCAATCAACACATCTATCACCCTCCAAAGCTTCTCTGGGTTGCTCTGTAACCACCCTCCCTCCCCTGCCCTGTCTAGCCATCACCCCTGTTTCTCAGGCAACTGTTTGTTTTTAAACATAACCCTCAATTCAAAAACATGACACAGGAGTTTAATCTCATCTTTTCTAGTTTGCCATCTCTTTTCCTCAGGCTGGAGGACGGGTTCTTAGCCATAATGGAAATTCAGGACTAAAGGTCCAGAAATAGGAGAGAACGTGGCTCCTTAGAGGACCTGCAATAAGAGTTGACTGGTGCCAAGCGTGATGGCTGGGATTACACCTGTAATCCTAGCTCTTGGGATCAGCTTTCCAAGATTCTGAGTTTGAGGACAGGCTAGGCTGACTGTGGCATGGTGGCAAGGGGAAGTCCAGGTGCTCTGATTTTCTGCACCTGTGTGGCCTCCTATGTGGTGGGTGCCCCCACCGCCAAGCCTTGGTTTCAGCAGAGTACACTTTGTGGCACAATGACAACAGCAATAATGATGGCTTGTGGCAATTACCAAGTGAAAGACACTGTGCCGAACTTTGCATAAATTATCCCATTTAAACTGCTGCCTTGGTCCTCTTCAATAGGCATTTCCTTTATGCAGTGAAGAGAGCTGGCTCAGCAAGACCAGGTCACAGCTGGGAAGCCCAAAGTCACACGTTCATTCTGCAATAGGGCAGGGGTTTAGAAACCCAGATTTCTCATGCTAAGCTTCCCTATTACTCTTCATCTGCCTTGGGGATACTTGGAGTTCAAGTGGTGGCCCATATGAGGGAGATGCCCTCATTCTGTCCCAAGAATCCACTTACTTGCTTCTTGGTTTGGACAGGCAGCATGTGTACCTTGTCCTGCTCTTGGGCAGGGGGCCTGTGCTAACAGAGACTAGGCTACTCCCTTGTTCCCTGAGGCCCAACTGATGGAGCCCAAGCCCCTCACTCAGCCCAGCTGGCCCAGCAGCCCCTCCCTGCACTATGCCCTCAAAGAAGTCTGTCCTGAAGGACTCCCAGCAGTCTGGCTTCACCTGCCTTGGTTTGTCTTGGATTGCACACAAAACTTGATCATAGCATAACTGTGTTTATTGGTTCATGCTTTCTCTCCCTCCCCCAGGTCGTGAGCTCCTTAAGATTAGACACAGTGTCTTTATTTAGAGTCCACAAGGCTGAGTAGAAGGCACAGAAAGGACCACTGGCGAATGCTTCCTCAGCCTTTCCCACCCCAGTTCCTCCTGCAGAAATGGAGGTGACTGTGCCCACCAGCAGGGGGAAATGAGGTAATATCTCTAAGTTCTTAGCAGAGTACCCCACACATAGTAATACTTCATGAATGGTGTCTCCTATGGTTACTATTATTGTGTAACATAATATATTACACAGAGTTGTTGTCGTTAATAAAGTGAATGAAAGAATTAATTAGTAAATGCCCAAATGAATGAGGTCAATTAACTTCCATTTAAATCCTGCTGTGACTGAGTATGGTGCACATGCTTGGAGTCCTAGCTACTCGAGAGGTGGAGGTAGAAGAATCAAAATTCGAAGCCTGCTGGAGTAGGGCAAAGGTAGCTCAAGATCCCACTCAAAAACAAACTAAAGGGCAAAAGGTTGGAGGCGTGGCTCAGTAGGAGAGATCTGCCTAGAAAGTTTAAGCCCCTGAATTCAGTCCCCAGTACCACTAAATGAACGAACGAGTGAGTAAATGAGTAAATAAATACTGCTGCCTCTGGTTCAGGGTAGGAGGGAACTTTAATATTTTATGTCCATGTTCTGGGAATGAGTGCACATGTCCCTGGTGCTCCTGACTGAGATGACACCCGGCCACATGTGCAGACTTCTACAAAGCTTGCTCCGTTTTTGGTTGAGACTCATTCAGTGGGAGAATTGGAGCCGAGGATGAGCACCTTCCTCTTCTGCGTGGCTTTGGGCTCTTGGTGCTCTCCACCTCTCTGTGGAGGATGTGAAGACACAAACAGAAACAGATTAAAAACCCAGGATGATCATGATCAAGATTGTGTCAATAGCCTAGACTCAGCCAGCCTGAGTGAAACAGACCAGAGGCCGGGTCTGAATGAACTGGGTACAGATTTACACAACCAATCGAGAATTTGGAGGCAAACTGTGATAAAGTAATAAGAAAACAAAACAAAACCAAACCAAACAAGAGAACAGACAATTCAGATAGATAGGCTTAGTTCCAAGGACAGCAAAAGTTTTACAAGGAAAAAAAATAGTCAAAGTACACCCCACAACTCAGCGGATGATCGTGCTGATGGGCCCAGAATGTTGATTAAGGATCTGACCAAAATTACAGGATGAGCCAAGTGGGCTTCTGAAAAACTCAAGCAGCCAGAGCAGCATGGTGTTTCGGTATGCAGAGAATGAGGATAAAGTGTTGTTGCTGGGGATGGGAAAAGGGATCCAGGGAAAGCAAGCTTTGTATAACTAGTAATTAGTTAATTTCAGAAGCAGTTCTAGAGGTGGGTGTGGTGGTACATGCCTGGAATCCCAGCACTCAGGGGCTCAGGCAAGAGGGTCACGAATTTGAAGCCAGCCTGGACTCCATAGCAAGAGACCTTGTCAGAAGAAGAAGTGTTCAATTAATCCTAGCAATCTTATGCCCTGTGTATTATTACCCCCACATTTTCCAATAAAGAAACTGAGATACAGAGAAGTTTGGAACTGCACAAGTTCCCACAGCTAGCAGGTTGTGGTTGAGCTGGGGCGTCTGACTCTAGAGCTGCCTCTTTCTTCAACCTTTTTTTTTTAATTGTACCAGGGTTTGAACTCAGGACCCACTGCTTGCTAAGCAGGCCCTCTCTCACTTGAGCCACATCGCCAGCCTATTTTTTCGATAGGCTCTTCTTTATGCCCTGTCAGGCTGGATGGGACCCTTCTATTTGTGTTTCCCTGGGAAGCTGGGGATGATAGGCATGCACCACAGCACCCAGCCATTGGTTCAGCTGGGGTCTTGTGAACTTTTTGCCAGGTTGGCCTCAAACTTCAGTCTCCTGATCTTTGCCTCCCAAGCAGCTGTGATTATAAGGCATGAGCCACCATGCCCAGCTTTCTCTCTTCAACTTTTAAAGGATGAATACATCTTACTTTAATTAAAATAAAACCAAAAATTTAAAAAATCAATGTGATCTTTTAAGAGGACTTTATCCTAATTTCCTAAGTGGAGAGAGGGAAAGTTCTAATACATAATGTCTTTTTTTCTATAAGCAATTAACAGAAGTAGAACACTAAGCACATATTACCGACCAGTAATTCCTTCATCAAGAATTTGCTGAATTCCTACTATGTTCCAGTCACAGAAGCAGGCATGGGAGATTCACTGCCCAATGAGACAAGGCCCTTGAACTTGGGATACTTACAACACAGAGAGAAACAAGACAACTCCTTGACTACAACGGAATATGTTCAGTGGGAAAGGAGAATACAAAATAGGTAGTCTTTGGGCAGTCTGGGAACACTTCCTGGAGGAGTTGATGCCTGAATTAGAGTTTAGGGGCAAGGAAGGAGTTAGCCAGATGACAAAGTGGCCAAAGCATGTTCAAGGAAGAGGAAGGAGCGATGAATACTTGTTTAATGGACAGAGTTGGTCAATTTCCTCTAACACTCTACAGTGGATATCAAGAAGAATAATGTAAAGTTCCCCTCAGTCTAGGGGACTGCATGGCCTAAACCAACAGGGCCTAAAGCTGGCTGCTGATGCAGTGGAGGGGGTGTTTCCCTACATAAAAGAAAATGAGTCCGCTAGAACTCTCCTCATCAGAGCTGGGGCAGTGGAGCACCTGCTTAGCAAGCATGAGGCCATGAGTTCAATCCCTAGTACTGTAAAATAAAATTCATTAATTTAAAAAAAGAAGAATAGTTAAAGCAGTAGTTCAGGCCCTGGAGTCTAACCTCTGGTTTCAAATTCTGGCTCTGCCACCCATGAAACATGAGAGCCTGGGCCATGGTCTCTAGTCATCTCTAAGCCTCAGTTGTTAAATGAGGAAAACAACATCACATGTTTCACAAGACAGCTGTGAGAATTAAATAATACAGGTGTCATGTGTAAACAGCAGAGTAAGGACAAAACAAACTGAACAAGTTGGGCACTGGTGGCTCACACCTGTGCTCAAGAGGCAGAGATCAGGAGGATCAAGGTTCAAGGCCAAATGGGACAAAATAGTTTGTGAGACCCTGTCTCAAAAATACACAACACAAAACAGGACTGGAGGAGTGGCTCAAGTGGTAGAGTGCCTGCCTAGCAAGTGTGAGGCCCTGAATTAAACCCCAGTACCACCAAAAAGATAATCTGAACAAAATAAACCTGATTTTTGAGATAGGCTCTCACTAAGTAGCCCAGGGTTGCCTCGAACTCATGATCCTCCTGCCTCAGCCCCAAAAAAACCATTCATGAATTTTAGCTGTGAGAAACTGCTGTGTGCCACTGGCTATTCAAGGCATCAAGAACAAACAAGTAAAATTGTAATGTTGAAAAAATAGTTGAAATTTAACAGTGTTCCTTGATTTTAACACTAAAAGTTCCTATTTTGTGTTAGTCATTCGTTCTTAATTTGGGTGCCAGAATATAAGACGGCAACATTTTTCTGGGTTTCTGCAAAGCCCACCATGACTTCCATGTATCTGCTTTCATCTGTCCAACAGCAGCTCCAGCAGTGAGAGCACTTGATTTGTTGATACATCCGTTTTCCCTGGGCCAGCCCGCTTCCGACAGGAGCTGCCTTATCCCTGTCCTGGACAAAACTCACCTCTGCAGCCTGTCCTGAGCACTGAGTGGCACAAGCTACAGAATGTGCCCAGAAAAGGCCACATCCCCTCAGTTTCAATTCCAGTGTCCCCAGGATGAGCAGATGTGTTCTTTTCTACCTTCCTGCAAGGTCTGGGGAGACTTCTGTCCTGAGGTACACATTTGGGCCCAGGCTGTGCCAATGTGAACACAGGGTTCTGGGAGCCTGGAGGCTCTCTCCTGCAGTCAGAACTGGTGCACTGTCTGGTTCTTTGCCATTCCTATGCCCAGCTACAGGTGGGCAACACTGGGACTACCCTGAGAGGTGAGCAGGCATCTGGTCCAGGGCCCAGAAAACACAGGAGTCCTCTGAGCTGGGCTAGATGATGCTCTCAATAGGGCAGGTTCCAAGGCTTCTTGGAGCAAGGGGTGTAACAGGCTTCGTAAAAACTACAGGGCAGTGCTGGGCACTGGTGGCTCACGCTTGTAATCCTTGCCACTCAGGAGGCAGAGATCAGGAGGATCAAAGTTTGAAGCCAGCCCAGGCAAATAGTGCATGAGACTCTATCTCAAAAAATCCACCACAAAAAAAGGGCTGATGGAGTAGCGCAAGGTGTAGGCCCTGAGTTCAAGCTTCAGCACCGCAAAAAACAAGCAAACAAAAACTACAAGAAAACCCCATAATACAATGCTTGGTTGCCACTGACTGTTCTCTGCCAGATTCTATCTGGCCTGTCCCCTTCATTCATAACGACCATCTACGCTACTTTCTGCCAAGGAAACAGGCCCAGAAAACTCAAAGCCACAGGGTGAGTAAGGGGCAGGCGGGGAGTCAGAACTTTAAGATTCTTTATAGTCAAAGCTCCTTTCCTGCTTCATCTTTTCCTGTGTGGGAACCAAACACCACGGATAAACCTTACTTCACGACCCATTTTTGTTTGCTTTGTTTTTAGAGACAGGGTTTGCTATGTATCCCAGGCTGGCCTATAGCTCACAATGCCCCTGCTTCAGCCTCCCACATGCTCAGATTACAGGCATGCACCACCACGCTTGGCTCTCATCAAGGTTCAACCTTCATTTGAGGTCACATTCCCATGCTTAGCTAATGTTCTGCCCAGGTAAGCCACTGGCAAATGGAGCCATGAACAGTATGTGAGAACATGATACTGTTATGTGAAATATTTTAATAAAATCACAGGTGGAAGTAAATGCATGAATGAATACAGGGACCAGAGCCCAACCTCCTGTTCTGCTCTCTCTGGCCCTGGCTAACCCTAATGGGGCTTTTCCCACAGTGTGGGGGAGGTGGGCTTTCTGGTTCTCCATCTCGGGCCACAGTTTCGCTCTTCTGTCACTCTCCTCACCTGCTGGCAGAACTATCACAGACTCCAGAGGGGCTTCCTGGGCCCAGAGAATAGAGCTCCCCAGGGCTTGGAAACATGTGGAGAGACTGAGGAAACTTCCACTTCTCCTCCTCCTTCTTCTTTCCCTTCCTGTGGGGGAAACAAAACAGACAGCAGTTAAACTAGTCCAAGGGCTGGCAGAGTGGCTCAGTGATAGCGTGCCTGCCTAGCAAGTGGGAAGGCCTAAGTTCAAACCCCAGTACCACCAAATAAATAAATAAAAACAGCAAAAAAAAAAAAAAGGCAGTTCAAAACTTCAGCATCGTTTCTTCAAAGATGTCACTGGAGTCTTGACAAGTGTTAGGAGAGATCATCTACAACTTAGTTACAGGTCAGCCATGCTGGCAAAGTGACAGACAAAGCCTGAGCACAGTGCCACACCCTCTCATTTGTCTTCCATGCATGACTGAGCAGCTTGGGTGCCAGGCACTGGATTAGGCCCTGGGGAAACCAGATCATCCAGGGTGAGGTTCCTAACCTCAAGGATAAGTCCACAATCTCTTGATGGACAAGTCAATTAAGAATATGTTTCTATGGTGTGTGATGAGACAGCAGGGCACACAGTGGACTCTCTGAGGATGGCAGTCAGGGAAGCCTTCCTGGAGAAGGGGATGCATGAGTTGGGTGTAAGGGTCAGGTGAAGAAAGAGTTGATGGCCTCTCACCCACTCTGCCCCATGTCATTGACTGCCCTGCACACTCTGGCCACAGAAACATGGCTAATCAGCACTGCTTCCTCCACGACACGTGGTCCAGACAGATGGGCAGGGCAGCGACCCAAGCAGAGCTGCCGGACTATGAAGCTTGGCTGCTGGAGGCTAAGAGAGAGGTCTCTCTCTTCTTTTTAGGTTAGGCAGCTTGAAGAAGAAAAGGGTCACACAAAGGGGAAGGAGAGGAGAGAGGGAGGGTAAGAGGCGGAATGTGCCCCAGCCACTCACAGTGACTGAAGCCGCTAAGTTTTGGGCTGACTTCCCAGGACTTGCCACCAAACAGCTCTGATTCATAAATTTCATAGAGTACAGAGCCCAATGTGTGGCACAGAAGTTCAAATTCAATGGAAGACTCTGCTACCACCATGACGTTCATACAAATAAAATGGGGGTCTATTGAGCAATGCGTACACACCATGTGGTTTTCCCACCCCACAAGAATTCTTACACTCTTCACACTAGAACTTTCTCCATGGTTTTTGTTTGAACAAACCTTAAAAGAAACGCCCTTTCTCTCTGATGGCTCCCTCTAGATTTCCTTTCATGTTGTTCCTCCAGAAGGAATGAGGGTGGGATGAACATCTGGCTGGCCTTTTTCTTATCTGCTGCTATTTTGTCAATATTCTTCATGTCCCTGGGGGGAAATGACAGTGACATACGTGAAAAAGGAAAATAGTCAGCGTGATCTTTTCAAGCAAATATTCCCAAGTCCATTTCTTCCTCTGCTAAGAGCAACAGACTAAAACAGAGCTGACCATACAGCAGTGACCTGGTCACTGGTATCAGACCCCTAAGGACCACAACTCAAATTATAGGCACAGGTGACAAACCCATGATCTGCCAGGGCGGAAGGACACATGGGCTTTGAAGGCCAGCTGGATTCCACTTGGGATTCTGCCCCTCATTGCTGGTGTATGCAACACACTGGTAACAGAACCCTGGGTTTGTGGGGGGACTGAGTTCCCACGGGCCAAGTCACTAATAGGAACTCCTTCCCTACAGGAACTTTGCAGGGGAAGAGGTTCGCACAAGCTCAGCATACACACACAGAGGCTGAGATGTGTAATGCATCAGTTGACTTTTGAGACACGACAAAATATAGACATTCACTTTATGAAGATACAGGTTTATGACTTGTGAACTGATAAAATAGCGTTTAAGATATTCAGATTCAGAGCTGATGGAGTGGCCCAAGTGGTACAGCACATGTTCAGCAAGCTCGAGGCCTAGAGTTCAACCCCCAGTACTGGGGAAAAAAAAAAAAAGATAAATGCAAGTGAACTAAGATACTGCCATAAGCTGGGTGCAGTGGCATGCCTATGGCCCCTGCCACTCAGGAGGCGAAGGCAGGAGTACCGCTGAACGCAGGAATTTGTGACCTACCTGGGCAACGCAGCAAGACCCCATCTTGGAGAAAAAAAAAAACGGCATACATTTCTCTGCCACTGTAGGGCAGATGAGATATACAGACTCTACTGGTTTTGTGCTGATCTCAGAAAGGAGCTGTGACTCACTTGACCAGGAGGTGGGGCATGTAAGCACTGCTCAGTTTCAACCCTTGGTCGAGTGTTATCTGCAAGGTAAGAGTAGTGCTGACATTTTTAAGGAGTCAGTAATAAGGGATGTGATTCTTCCAGACGGCCAGGAATATTCAGTGCCCAGGAAAAAGACTGGAAGGATTGATAGAAAGATGTTGGCAACGTATGTATCTCTAGGTGCTTTTGTGTGGCTTTTCCAGGTGTTTTTTGTTTGCTTCATTAAGCATGTAATATATTTTTTGTAGTTAGGAAAAAAATAACTCAGGCAGGCATGGTGGTACACACCTGTAATCCCAACACTTGGGAGGCTTAGGCAAGAGGATCACAAGTTTGAGGGCAGCCTGAGCCACACTGCAAGACCCAGTCTCAACACAAAAATCAAAATCAAAACCATTGACCCAACCCCAGAGCTCCCTTTAAAAATGCTTGTATCTATCTAGTTATTTACTTTTGGGAGTACTGGGGATTGAACTCAGGGCTTCACACTCACTAGAGAGGTGCTCTACCATTTGAACCACTCCACTAGCTACTTTAGTTTTGATTTTTTTTTTTTTTTGATACAGGGTCTCACTATGTAACCCAAGCTGGCCTTGAACTTGTGATCATCCTGCCTCAGCCTCTGGAGTGCTGGGATGGCAGGCATGAACCACTTATGCCTGGCCTAAAACAAACAAACCACCACCAACAACAAAAATTTTTAAAGAAAAGGCTCTGTGGTTGAAGAGTTTCTACCTGGCCACAAGAAAGCTTACTGTGCTCAAGACAGTTACCCCATCCCCATTAAATAGGGTGTGGTGCTGTATAGACAAGTGCAGACAATGGCTCTTCCCCTAAGCGCCTTCCTACCTCAGGAAGTTGTCCTGCAGTTCCTTCAGGTTACGATCAAAATAATTCCATTCTTTCCAGTGCAGCCGGTTCAGCTGGTTGAATTTCTTCCTCCGTGTGTTCACATTCCTCAGGGTCAGGTTGATGACGTCATCATAGGTCGGGGTGGAGTCAGTGGACTTCATTGTCAAGGAGAAGCCAGGTTTGTTGACCCCTCACATTTTTAGAGGGCTGAGCCTACTAAGCAGGGAGGGAGAGTGTAGGGGGAAGAGGGAGAAATGTACAGTGTTTCTGGGGTTCTGCACGAGATACCTACTGTTTGAGCAAGCAGCCTCTATTGGGTGGCCACAGCCTGCTGGCCATGGAAGGAAGAGGCTGTCCTCCCTGTGGCCAGGTAGGTGTCCAGCTTGTCATAAAGTCTTGCTCTGCCCCCGCTGATGAGAGGGAGCTAGGAAATACTTCTTTAGAATGTCATCTGAAGTGCTTACTGTTGTTACAGCGGCGAACAGGAAGGGGCTCCAATGTCCCTCTCCTTTCAGGCCCAAGGTCTCATTCTCCAAATCAACTTTATATGTTGAAAAGGTCCCTATCTGCTCCTCCCTGCCTCAACCCTTCTCCATTAGTAGTGTCTCAGCTACATTTGTGACAAGCTGTGGGACCTCAGATAAGTCACCCTCTCTGTCTCCATGTCCTTATCGGTAAAAAAGGGGTAACTGTACTTTAGTTGATGATAGTAATGATAGCTATTTATTTAGCATTAGCTGTATGCCACTTGATCACAACACTATTAGCTTTCTAACTATCCTCATGTAGGAGTGAGTAGATTATGATACTGAACTGGAGGTTAAGCTGTGGATATGAGGTCGCCAGGCCAGGGGCTGCTGAGCCGGGACTCAGATCTGCAGCCACGCAGCCCCAGTGGGATGCTGTCCACTGCGGCATTGACCTGCAGAGCAGGGGGGTGATGCATGGAAACACTGTGAACAGTGCGAAGTGGGGGTTATTATCGTCCTTTCCGTAAACATGTAAGTAAGTGTGTGGACAGGAAACTCTCTAGGGTAGAGGAGGAGTCCTAGGTCATTGTGAAGGCTCCTCCTGATGAGGAGCCAAATGCACTGTGTCCCATGCCAGCACCTGTCACCTACTGGGAATATGCACAGCCCTTACCTCTACTGTGTCGGCAATCACTTAACAGCCCTATGAGGTGGGAACCCCTATTTTGATTTTATAGATGAAAAAAACAATGAGACCAAGAGAGAAGCTGGAGAGACCTAAAGTCACTTGACTGGTTAGTGCTAGAGCTGGTTCCAGAGTTCAGGTCTATTTGGACCAAGAGACCAAATGGATTCCAAGTAGAATCCTGTTCTGACCCCTGAGTCTGGCAAAATGCTAAGACTCAGGACACCAACACCTGCCACACCTATTTCCTCAAGATCTAAGCTTTTTACCAAATCTTTAGGATAAATGGGGTTTGGGGAAGGCTATGTGAGGAGGATGTTAGTGAAACACACATGTGGACACCCAAATTGCTGATCAGGACACCCTTGGGTTAGTGAGCATCAGGAAGCATTATTTAGTTTTAAAGCAGGTTACGGAGTACCTAGTTAGCCATTCATTTTGGTAGATGGGGAAAAGGAGACTGCACACAGGGAAAGTCGACTTGTTCAGAGTCTCCAGCTAGCTTGTGAGGCTGGGCCTAGATCTGGAGCTAAAATGAGCAAGATTCTGTTGCTGTGCCTCAAATAGATGCTGGCCACTCCTGCTGGGCATCTGCCATGTGCCCAGTTTGCACGAAGGCCTGGATGCTTCTCCCTGATCCCTGCTCCTGGGAGAGGCAGCAGGGCCTGCAGTGACAAGGATATGGGAGGACCTTGGTCATTTCCCTCCTGACTATCAACACATCCTGGCCGTGTTGATACAGTTGGAAGTAGTTGAGGAGGAAGTAGACAATTAGTGGGCTCTTCCCGTACAGGTTGAAGAGGTTTGAAGTCATCTCGGGGCTTTTGCAGGCAGGGCAGGACTTAGCGGGGAGAGAAAAGAGAAAAGTAAAGGCTGTTGCCATGTTTACAGCATGCAGTAACAAACACACAGGCACTTATGTCCCTTGATGGGCTTTAGGGCACATCCTAAGGAAATGATCAAAATAAGGAAAAAACCTTTAGGCTGCAGAAGGATTTTAGAATTACATAAGTGTTCCTGAGAAGATACTGATACCTCTACCCAAAGGAATGGTAGGCCACTCACATGGAAAATGCTATGGGGTGAACACGTGTGCAGATTAGCAGTAGAGAGCTTTCCTAGTATGTGTGAGGTCCTGCGTTTGATTCCCCAACACTGCTTAAAAAAAAAAAAAAGCTTATGAAAAGTTGATAACCTAAAAAAAATGTTTCAGATATAATAATAAAGTTTTAAAAATTGAGATGCAAAACTGGATAGATATTATAAAAAGAAATATAACTATGTGAAATAAATCAGTAAAAAGAAAAGATGGATAAGAGACTGGAAAGATGTTTGCCAAAATGGTAACAACTCATTTAGCAAAGATTTATTTGGTAACTTCCATATATGCACATGATTTTAGGCACTGGAAATTCAGTAGAGAACAAGACAATTGACAGAAAAGCAATAAATAAGTAACTAACAAGTGGAAGAATAACATGAGGCTGTATACAATAAGAAGAAACAAGCAGGGCTGGTGGGAAGAAGAGGGGCAGGGAGGAGAGGACCATTTTCATGGTGGAGTCAGGGAAGGTGGCCTGTAGAGGTGAGATCCTAGCAGGAGACAGCGATGGAAGGGGAGGGAGACAGGGGAAGAGATGCCAGGAGATGCATCAGGTGGAGTGGGAGAGGGGACAGTAAGTACAGAGGACACTGAGGCAGACTGACTATATGAGCACTCAAAGCCATTTTCTCAGATACACTGCAGGAAGAATTAAGTCTGATACAGATCCTGCTGTCTGGGGTCAGAGTGCTCAGCTTAATAACCTGGTTCTACTCAAGAGTAGATTGGAAAAGACAATCAACACATGCCAGGCGCTGGTGGCTCTCATCTGTAATTCTAACTACTCAAGAGGCAAAGATCAGGAGGATTGCAACTAGAAGCCAGCCTGGGCAAATAGTGCTAGAGATCCTATCTTGAAAAAAACCCAACATAAAAAAAAAGAAAAAGCTGGCAGAGTGGCTCAAGTGGTAGAGTGCCTGCTTAGCAAGCGTGAGGCCCTGAGTTCAAATCCTAGTATTATCACCTATGTGTATGTGTGTGTGTGTGTATATATATGACAATCAACCCAATTAACAGCGGGCCAAGATTAGCCAGCCTAGTGTACACACCTGTAATCCCAGCACTTGGGAGGCTAAGACAGGAGAATCATGGGTTTGAGGCTGGCCAGGGCTACATAGTGAGACCCTATCTCAAATAAGCACAACAAACAAAAGAAACAGGCCAAGCACTTAAGAAGATATGTCCCCAGGACATAAAGACATGACAAGAAGATATACAAGTAGCCCATAAGCATAGGAAAGGGTGCTCAGTATCATTAGGCACTAGGGGTAATGTCACAGCCACAGTGGGACATCCCATCAAACTCCCTAGGACAGTATGATAAAAGGAGCTGAACGTGAACAATGGCAAGAATGTGGAGAAACTGGAGTGCTCATACCTGGTGGGAATGAAAACGTGCTATGGAAACGGTTTGGCAAGATCTCAAACAGTTTAGACACCAAGTTACCGTATGACCCAGCGACTCCCCGTCTAGGTAGGCACCAAAGAGAAAAGAAATGTATGCCTGCCCACGCACTTGCACATGAATGCACACTATTCACAAGAGCCAAAAAGTGGAAACCGCCCAAATGCCCATCAACTGGTAAATGACTAAATAAAATGAGGCGTATTCACATAATGGTGTAGCATCCAGCCATAAAAAAAGAGCAAAGTTCTGATACATATTACAACACGAATGAGCCGGACCCGCTCAGTATAAGAAGCCAGTCCCAGAAGGACCTAGGTTACATGGCTTCATTTATTCAAAATGTCCAGAATAGGCAAATCCATAGAGACAGAGTAAAGTAGTGGTTTCCAGGGGTCAGGGAGAGGAGTGACTGGGAAGTGACTGTTAATGGGGATGGGTTTCTCTCTTGGGCGATAAACATTCTGGAATAGTGATGATATCCACATAACCCTGTGGATAGACTAACAACTACTGGGCTGTACACTTTAAAATGATGAATTCGGGGCTGGCAGAGTGGCTCAAGTGGTAGAGCGCCTGCCTCGCAAGTGTGAGGCCCTGAGTTCAAACCCCAGTACCACCAAAAATAAATAAATGGTGAATTTTATGGTATGTAAATTATATCTTTTAATTTAAAAAATCCTGGCTCATATGCTTACTAGTTATTTGACTTTGGGCACGTTACTTACTTCTTCTTTATTAGTGTATACTGACTGTACAAAGGGATTTCTTTGTGGTGTTTCCATTTAAGCATATAATGTACTTTGAAGGGCTGGTGGAGTGGTTTAAGCAGTAAGAGCGCCTGCCTTTCAAGTGAGGCCCTGAGTTCAAACCCCAATGCCAAAAAATTCCCAAAGACAAACCAAAACACCCCTATAATGTACTTTGATCAAATTCACCTCCTCTAAAGAAAAACATTTCGCCCCCTCTGTTGCTCTCTTCTTTCCTCTCCCTCCCCTTTTAACCAATTTTTAATGGGTTCCATTGTTTTATTTTCATACACGCCTGTAAAGGTGTGCACTTAACTGAGCTCAGTTTCCTCATCTATAAAAAGGGGATTAGAGTTGTGTGAAGATGAAATGAATTAACACCTATACAATGTGTCTCAAATATCTGCCATATAGTAAGCACTTAATAAATCTTAGCTATTACATGCTAAGTTAAAAACCAAAGTGTAAAGCAGTAACCAAAATATTCAAATTTTTACGTATTTTTAAAAGGCTCATATTTCTTGACATACATCCAAACTTTTGAGAAGGATGGATATATGAAAAACCTGTGTTTGCTCTGGGGAGCAGGCATAGGGTCTGCTGTACAAGAGAGATTAACTTTTCATTTGGTTTTCTTTAACACTGAAATTTCATCATGGGCAAAGATTATCATTTTCATAAAAAGAAGTCAGGTACAGTGGCACATGCCTGTAATCCAAGCACTCAGGAGGCTGAGGCAGGAGGATCTTGAGATGAAGAGGCCAGCCTGGGCAATGCAGAGAAACCCTGTCTCAAAAAGAAAAGAGGAAAAGGGAAAAAAAAGTGTGTGTGTGAAGAATGGATGGTATGTATCAGTACCGTACTACATGTTTTTCCAGTGTTGGGGATGGAACCCTGGGCTTCATGCATGCTAGGCAGGAGCTCTGCTACCAGGCTCCACTCTAAGCTGAGAAATACTGTTTTTAAAGCAGCAGGATCATATGCGGGCTCCTTGATCAGGACCAGCCATAGAACCCTCACGAAGGCTCCCCTATGGCTGGGCAGCTCTCGAATTTCTCGCCCACTCTTCCCTTCCAGCTCTCAGCTCTGTTTTCCCTTCCTATTAAAATCTGCCACTGTCACTCTAACTACTGGACTACCCCTCACCAAGACAATCACAGAACACAACAGGATGGCTCATCTTTCTTCCTGTCTCTCAAGCAAACCCACCAGCCCTGTCAGCCTTAATGTTACAACACGGCTGGCTTATTTCCCCCATTTTTAGAAGGTCAGAAAAGCTTTTGCAAGGACACAGTTGGTGAGAGGCAGCGCTGAGATTTGAACCCACGTCTGCCTGTCCTTTCCAGCAAGCCCTGCTGCTTCACAAATTCACTGTTAATCACTGAAGGGAAGTAGACAGCAGTAATTAATATGCACAAGTGAAGAAAGTTGAGAAATCCACATTCCTCCATACTTGGCCCAGATTCTGAGGCCTGACTCTGGGGCTAGCTGGTGCCTCAAGAAGGCCCTCAAACCTGTTCAGGGTCCTACAGGGCTCTTCCCATGCCATAAGACTGAAAGTGCCAGGGACAGAAATCAGCACCTGGTGAGGCTTGCGGGGACGAGCTGGGAGAGGAGGGGAAGAGCAGAGAAGACGCGTTCATCTGGTGCCTCTCATGTACAGTGGTAAGGTGCAGGTACTCTGAGATCAAGCTCAGAGCCACACAGCTCTGCATGCAAGTCTTGTCTTTATCACTTACTTGCTTTGTGATCTTGGCCAAATTAGTGACCTGCCTTCAGCATCCCTTTTTTTTCGCCAATCAACTGGAGAAGGGTAGCAACTCTCTCAGAGGACGGAGACAGCAAGATAAAAACACTGTGTGTAAGGGTGAGAACCATCCAGGAGACAGTAAGTGTTCAGTAAGTGGTAATTATCCTCACTAGCCCACGGAAGCCTCATACCAACACATGGTATGAGCTCATTTTGTAGAGAAGGAAACTGAGGCTCAGCGCTCTTTTTCCATTACACACAGGCTCCCTGCTTTCCAGCAGGTAATTTATATCCCTGGAGAAACCCAGACAAAACACTCTGTCAATGTGTTCCTACCTCACCCAGTGACTACCCTTAGGAACTTTCCTGTATGTATCACCTGGGTCTGCAATCAGAAATGCCTCAATTCTTACCCTGACTTTTTAATTTATTTTTATTTTTTAGCCATCCTGGGGTTTGAACTCAGGGCCTCATGTGTGCTAGGCAGGCACTCTACCACTTGCACCATTCTTCCAGCCCTTTTTTTGTGATGTGTTTTCTCAAGATAAGACCTCACAAGCTGTTTGCTGGAGGCTGGCCTTGAATGTGATCCTCCTGATCTCTGCCTCCTGAGTAGTCAGGATTACAGGTGTGAGCCACTGACACCTGGCTATTACCCTGGCATCTTTACAGAGCTTGATTTTCCAGCCATCTCTCCTAGTCCTTTGAATCCCCCCTTCTATTAAGTTTCCAATCCCAGGCTTACCTCTTTAAAAAACATATTCACACATTCTCTGGTTTCTGATATCCTCTTGACCTGGACTGTAGCTCTCCTCAAGTTGTGATACTCTGCGACAGCAAAAGAGTGATCATTGCAGCTTGCCAACAGTGATGGGAAAATGAAAGAAGTGATATTAAAAAAAAATGGAAAGAAATGGCTGAAAACTCCCCACATTTGGCAAAAGGCATAAATGTACAGATTCAAGAAGCTAAGGAAACCCCAAATGCATGAAGCACAAAGGAATCCACGTGTACCCACGTCATAATCACGGTGCTGAGCAACTGGCCAAGAAAGTATCTTGAGGGTGGTGAGAGAAGAAGACATTACAAAAGGAGACAGAGTTCTGCTGCAGTGACTGCAGACTTCTCCAGAAACCTGTGAGGCCAGAAGGCTGTGGACCACTCCCCCCCAAAAAAATAGAGAAAACATTGCAGCAGGAATTGAACCCAGGGTCTCACGCAGGCTAAGTGTGTGTTCTGTTAAGACAGAATAGAGTAGGAATGTGGGACATGAAAAGCAGAAACAAGGAATTCAGAAATAAATATACTACTAATGAGCAGCCTTATTACAAGTACACAGACACCTTTCTTTTTCTTTAGGCTTCATGCTCCCTGACTGAGCCATGGAACAATGACCTCTGCCCCACAGTTTTGTCCTTTCCTCAGATGAGTATGACTCCCTTTGGGATGAAGCACACACACCATCAAGAAAACTGCCTGCGAGGCAGAGATCAGGAAGACTGCGGTTTGAAGCCAACGTGGGGCAGAGTTCGTGAGACCCTATCTCAAAAAAATCCTTCATAAAAAAGGGCTGGTGGAGTAGCTTGAAGTGTAGGCCCTGAGTTCAAGCCCCAGTACTGCAAAAGAAAAGAAAACTGTCTGGTCCATTCCACGTCATTCATTTGAAAGGTAATCATTAAAAAGCAGATGCCCGTGTTGCAAGGACCTGGAACTAATTATCTCAGGCTTAATGTCTCCTGGCTGAGCTGATAATGTGGGAACACGAGGACAGCAGGTGTGGTTGAAATGTACCAGGTGTCTAGAACAAAGAGGGCCACTTATCCTAAGAAATAGGCAACAAGAATTCCCCATCCCACTTTTCCTGGCATGTATACCTCTGCTAAGCCAGCCCATTGTGTATTAGGCGTCCATGTCTTATCTATGAGTCACGTCTGTCCTACTGCTTTACCTGCTAAATAAATCTCTGTCCCTTGCCTTGTGTCGCTGACTGAAATTCTTATTCTGAGATTGATAGCCCCCTTTTCCTTCTTTCTAGGAGACCTCCTCAGGACCCTCACCCACTAGTAACACTACCATATGTATACCTACACCCCCAGCCCTGGACCAACAATTTTAAGTGTTGAAAGAGAAGAACTGTCTGCCTGTACCAGGATCTTAGAAACAGCTTTTGCTACAAAGCACTGACTCCTCATCTGGGCCCACAAGTAACTCGAAGTAGGAGAAAAGCCTAGAAACTCTGCTTTCATTTTGTACCCGTCTCCTTTACCTTGGGTCGGATTCCTGCTCATCTCTGCTCATAAGCTAATCACTCAAGCAGTGTTCGTCAGGATTTGCAGGGACATCCAGTTGTCAGTTTTTAGAAGGTCCTGTCCCAGATCCCCTGGAGCGGAGCCTGGAAGCCTTCAGTCACTGCCCTAAACCTATAGTTACCCTGGATTCCAGGAATAGTGAGCCTCACAGAGAGATCACCCCTAAAATGGGAGCAACTACCCTCTGGCAGAAACTGAGGTGCCCACAAGCAAGAGCCATCATCTCATGGGAACTGGATTGCTACCCTCCTCCTCCCTCCCTACCCCCGGCCCAACGGTAAAGACTTCTCCAGAGCCACCTTGCAGAATCAGGACTGAAACATACCTAATTTACTGGAACCCCCTCCAGAATAGGACCTCAATAACAAACCCTTAATTCTATATGCAAAAAAAATCCTTCAAGAGTGAAGGTCAGCGGCTCAAGCTGTAGAGTACCTACCTAGCAAGCGTGAGGCACTGAGTTCAACTCAAACCCCGGTAGCTCCAAAAAACAAACAAACAAACAAATGAACGTGAAATAAAGACATCCGCAGATAAAAGAAAACTAAGATAATTCACCATCAGCCTATTTTAAACAAAATACTGAAGGAAGTTTGACTTTCAGGGGAGGAAAACGATATGGGAGGGAAACTTAGGCAAAAGAAATGGGGACCATCTTTTGGAATATAGTTTGCAGCCTCCTGGCTGCCCCTTCCTAAGCATCTCTGTTGACTCCCTGTCCTGCTGGTATGCCCTGTCCTGGGCACCCCCTTCCTTACTCTATCTATGTGTTCCTCTGTGTGGCCTCATCTTCTGTGGTGGCTTCAAACACCACCATGCATGAGTTCTTGACTCCCGGCTGCACGTCTTCCCTGGCTGACTGCAGTAGCCACCCCCTGGCCTCCTTTTCCTTGCAGTTCTTGCCCAGCCCAAGGGGCCAGAGTGACTTTTTACAGACATGCATTAGATGGGGTTATTTCCGGATTAAAACCCCAACAGCTTCTCCTCTGCCGTTGGAATAAAATCCAGCCTCATTCCCTTACTTGAAATTTTTACACAAATGTTCAAGGCAGCATCATTTGTAATAACCTCAAAGTGGAAATGAAATGACAACTTGTCCAATGATCATGGGATGCAGCTGAAGCAATGTTCAGAGGGAACGCCTATAGCATTTAAATTCTCCAATTAGAAAAGAAGGCCTCAGCCAGGTGTGGTGGTTCACACCTGTAATGCCAGCACTTGGGAGGTTGAGGCAGAAAGACTGCAAGTTTGAGACCAACCTGGACTACATAGTGAAACCGTGTCTCATAAAACTGAAAAAAAAGAAGAAGATAGAAAATAACTTAAAAAAGAAAAAAAAGAATGTCTCATAGTCATTCAGTTTCAAATATTTTCTAATTCTTCTTGGTACGTCCTCTTTGACTCATAGGTCTACATGAATTGACTATATCTGTATATGGTGAGAACTTGCTAAGTCTCCACAAATATCTACACCCATCTGCAACCCTGGCTATATGTTTTCACCAGTCCCCAAGATTTTTTTTATTAACACCATATTGAAATACAATTCTCATACTTCTCTGTAGTGACGTGCTTTCCTACATTCCATGTTTGTCTGTTCGGCATCCCTCCTGTGCCAGAGGCCATACTCTGAACCAACTCTTTCATCTAGCTCTCACACACCAAGCCAGTATTTCATCTGCCCTAAATTAACCCAGGGCCAGGTACCAGACAACAGAGACAGCCCCTTTGCCCAGAAGCCTGCTGGAGTTACTCACTCCAGCCAATCCTAAACTGTTTACTCTGTCCGGCTTGGCCTTTCCCACTGAAACCCAACAAAGGCTGTGTCCTGTGCCTTCCCTTCCTTCCTGCCTCCTGACCACCCTGGTGCTTCCCCAACCCCCACCCTGGGGCCCTGCACGAAAAAGCCTCTGGTTTCTAGAGGAACTGTCACATTAAAATTTTCTTTCAATGGCACTGACCTCTCTGTGTTCCCATTTAGACACCTTTATAAATTAAGACTCGGTGCAACAACTCAGTTCCTACCTCAATAAATGCTGGTTCTGATGGGGGCAGAAGCAGTAGGTCTGTTCTCTTCCAGTCCCTTCCCCACAGATACCAGCCTTGCTAAACTCCTCCTCACAAAAGGGGAGCTTAACCAGTGCTGATGAACCAAAAAGACAGTTACATCCTCTCATAAAATATTGCCTGGGGGCTGGTGGAGTGGCTAAAAGTGGTAGAGCACTGCTCACTAGCGAGCGTGAGGCCCTGAGTTCAAACTCCAGTACTGCTTTCCCCGCAAAAAAAAAAAATATTGCTTTGTAAGGCTAGAAACCCCAAGACAAAGCAAACAAAGCCCACCAAGCAGGCTTTGAGAGATCATAACTGACTCAATCGTCAACCCCTCCCTTTTGGTAGACCGGTACCTTTGGTGGTACTCTGGGATTGTGACCCTTCTTCTGAAGTCACCTTTACTGAAGAGTCTTTCTCACTGGTTGAAGACTTCAAGGACAACAACAAAAAAGAACAAAGTTAGCAAAACTGCTAATGAGATGTTTCCCATTGTCCTTAGCAAAAAAAAACCCAAAAACCAAAAAAACATGTGGAAGGAGACCATTCGGGCCTAGCTTAACAATCTCAGGAGCACAGCAGAGAGAAGTGGGCTGGGGCGGTCATTGAACTGCTCTATTGCCCAGCTTCCTAAAGGGCTAAGCCAGCTAGCCAACACACGCAAAGGGCATGATGGTGCATGATGATCTCCAGGACCACTGCCTTCATCATTCACACAGACGTTCTCCACAGCTCCTTCATAAACATTTCTTTGGACAACTACTGACACGTCTGGCACTGGACATGCTCTGAAGCCCAGTCCTTCCTTGAGGGGCTCCCAGTCTAGCAGGAGAGATAACAGTAAATGTGCAAGTACACTAAGGTGTGGGCAGTATTCCATGTGTGTTAGTGAGGGATATAAATGTTTGGGTGTCAGTGACAGAGACTTCAATAACATTGGCTACACTAGATAGAAATTGCTCTCCCATGTAAAAGTCTGAAGGTAGGTGATCCTGGGCTCATGTGGCATTTCTGCTATGCTAAGTCCTCAGGACTTCGACTTCTTCCAACTTCTGGTTCCACTTTTACTAAGATAGGAGTCTTGTCCTAAGGGTCCAAGGTGGGAGCTAGAGCTCCAGCCATCACATTTACATTCCAGGCAACAGGATGGAAAGGACAAAGAGAGAAAAGGTTCTGATAAGCCTTAATAAGGAGCTTCCCAGAAACTGCCATACAGGCATATCCACTTTTATCTCATTAATTGGATCTTAGTTACATGGCTATACATAGATGTGGGGGAGGGAGGAAATACAATTTTTATTTTGGCCATTTGCATGCACAGCTAAAAATTAGAGGTTGTCTTTTTATAGATGAAGAAGACAACAGATACCGGGAACAGCTCGTAGTGTGCCACACACAGTGTGAGAATACCATGGGAAGCCCAAGTAGGAAACGCTGGATTCAGCCTGGGGAGAACTGGAGGAGTTCCAAGGACAGAAGACTTTTCCATTCCATCTTTAAGGCTGAGGAGGAGTTTGGCACTGTTAGACAGATGGCCTGCCAAGTGGCAGACAAGCAGTCCACCAGCTTTCACAGTCACCACTTTGCTTTTACACAAACGTGAGAGGTGAACGGGCAGGAGAAAGCCAAAAGGACCTCTGACACCAGGCCACTGCTTGTCCTATGGCTACTGAGTTTTGCAGTGTTGAGGTGGTTAGCAGGATTTGTGAGAAAGAAAACACTCCTGGGGCTCAATAAAACATCAGTGTTCTTTCTTAACAGGCCTTGGAAGATCTGTAGCAGGGGACAGAGCAGCTGGAGGAAAGGCACTTGGGGGCGATGATGCAGAAAGATCTCAGACTGACAGCGCCTTGTTGTGTGGCCTGCAGCAAGTCAATCACCTCTCTGAGTCTATTTCTTCCTTTGTTGAATAGTTAATTAGGGTTTGAAATCTTTAAAGAGTTACTAAACGAGCTGGGCACTGGTGCTCACACCTGTAATCCTAGCTACTGGGAGGATTACGGTTTGAGCCCAGCCAGGGCAAATAGTTCACCAGACCCCATCCCCAAAATACCCAGAGCCAAAATGGACTGGAGGTGTGGCTCAAGCTGTAGAGCACCTGCTTTGCAAGCTTAAACCCCTGAGTTCAAACTCCAGTCTCACCAAAAAAAAAAAAGTTATTAAATGAATGATTCAGTCTGTAACAGGTAGGAGTCCTAATTTAGCAGAAGCCAGATAAGTGGCTAGATATTTTTTTCATTCCCCTGTGCAAATCCCCACACTTAATGCAAGGAAGGGCAGTCTTAAACTGCCCTGAACTCTGACCTTCTAGCTGATACAACTGAAAACATATTTTGAACACTACAGCCATTTCACTGAGCATACAGGAAAATGTGTCTGCTCCTGACAAGAGAGCCTCTGTCTCCACCACAGAACTGAGTTACTCCTTCCACCCTGGGTGGCCATTAAAACGTCTGCTGCCTTCAAGGCTCCAGGGTTTTTGATCATTTCTATTTCTGGAACAGAAGATGGGAACTCTTAGCTGGGTTCCTGAAATAACCTTCCAAGGTTTTATGTATTTCAATATAAAGGCAATATGTTGTCTCAGGTGGTTGTGACAGGCAGTGCCCAAACAATGTATAATATTTTGATCTTGGTCTCTGAGTGACAGATGTCCCTCAGCAGCACCTGTTCCACCTGTGCTACTGGGGGAGAGCAGGGAGATGACACTTATAGAGCACCATCCTATGCCAAACAGGGAGTTTACGTAGGTGACCTTAACAAAGTCTAGAAATCTTTGTTGAGTGCCTTCTATGTGCTAGGCCTATCCTTGGAGATGAAGCTAGGACAGCGATGGGGGAAACAGAAGCCCTACCCTCATGGAGTTTGCATTCTAATTAATAGAGGGAGGCATTCTACATAACATGGGAAGAATGGAGTATGAAGATGGGCAGCATGGTGATACAGTGGCCTAGGGGTCAGGGATGGGCTCTGCAGGACCATGGCAGTGGAACTGGAATCCAAAGGACAAAGAGGAGCCAGCCAACCCCCAGGACACCCGAGGAAAGCATGTGCCAGGAAAAAGGGCAGTGAGTGCAAAGGCCCAACTGGGCAGACCCCTGGACTGTCCGAGGGGCAGAAGGAAGTCCACTGGGCTGATAGTTGAGTGCCAAAGGAAGGGGTGGATGGAGATGGCTGGAAAGGGAGGTGGTGGCAGATCCTGCAGAGCGTTTCAAGTCAGGGAATGAGATTAGATTTTATTCCAAGGGCAGAGGAGAAGCTGTTGGGGTTTTAATATGGAAATAACCCTATCTAATGCATGTCTGTAAAAAATCACTCTGGCCCCTTGGGCTTGGCAAGAACTACGAAGAAAGGAGCCTAGGGGGTGGCTACTGAAGTCAGCCAGGGAGACGAGGACCCATACACGGTGGTGTTTGAAGCCACCACAGCAGATGAGGCCACCCAGGGGAACACATAGATAGAATAAGGAAGGGGGCCCAGGACAGAGCAGACCAGCAGGACAGGGAGCCAACAGAGATGCTTAGGAAGAGGCAGCCAGGGAGGAAGGCAGGCTCTGGTTAATAGTCTGGCAACATGGAATCAAGTAACTCTTATATAGTTAGTGGGAAGGTAGATTAGTACAGCCATTATGCAGAACAATATGCAGGTTCCTCAAGAAACTAAAGAGATCTGCCTGATGACCCACCTGTCCCACTTCTGGGTATAAGGCCAAAGGAAATGAAATCAGAATATCAAGGAGCTATCAGTGCTCCCATGTTTCTCACAGCACAGTCACAGTACCTAAGATTTGGAATCAACTTAGGTGCCCATCCACGGATGAATGGATTAAGAAAATGTGGTATATATACACAATGGAATATTACTCAGCCATCAAGAATAAAATCCTGTCATTTACAGCAAAATGGATGGAATTGGAGATCATTGTGTTAAATGAAAAAAGCCAGACACAGAAAGATAAATACCACATGTTCTCTTTCACATGTGGAAAACTTAAAAGAAGTCCATCTGAATGTAGAGTAGTGATTTCTAGAGGCTGGGAAGGTGGAAGGAGAGGGAGGAGGGATATTGTTATGGGTACTGAAACATGGTTATAAAGAACATGTTCTAGTGTTTCACAGCACAGTGGATGACTATAGTTCCCAATAAACTTAGATATTTTATGAAGACAGGAAGAGAAGACCTTGAAGGCTCTGTACATAAATGACAAAGAGATGGAAATGCTAACTAACCCAATTTGAGCTGTACACACCGTAGGCATGTGTTGAATATCACACTATACCCTGTTAACATGTACAAGTATTACATATTAAAAATTAAATTTAACTCAATTAAAAGGTGGGAGTGGCCAGCCCTATGAACAGATTAATGAATGACTCCTGGGCCTGAGTACACAGGACACCAGCCTGGGCAAGAGCAGCCCAGCAGCCAGCCCAGGGTGGGATATGAATGCAGCAGCTGAGGCTGCTTTCTCCACTTGCAGGTGGGGAAAGGAGTGGTGGGTGTGTGATGAGGACTTAGAGACTGCTTTGGCTAAAAAAGCACTGACTTTTCACTTGGGCCTACAGATGCCTGATGGGCAACTAAAAGCAAGAGAAAAACTTGGCTTCTCTGCCTCCATTTTGCATCTGCCACCTTTTCTGAGTCATTCTCTCTTGTAATCACCTGGGATTCTAGAACAGCAGGACTGTTGGATAAATACCTTGTGAAGAATGCAAACTCCCCTGCGCCCAGCTAATGGCAACTTTCTTATAGTGGCGAGGCCTGACCAATCCTGAGATAATAATCAACCAGCTCATAGTTGACCAAGACTGATGGAAGGGCATCTTGCCCTTCCTTATATGATCTGGGAGCTCATGCCAGTACCCCCAAGGACAGAGCTGAGGAGGCTTCATCTCGTCTTCCTGAAATATCCATATTGAATTAGCCCCTTTCCTGCCTTTCACCATTACATTTTCCATTTGATATCTGGCACTCCCTAAAGTCAGGCCCTCTGAGGCTTAGCACTGTGGTGACAACTTCAAATGAGTCTTTCAAGAAGTTCTGGAGTTCTGGGTGGGGCTGGTGGAGTGGCTCAAGTGGTAGAGCACCTGCCTAGCAAGCATGAGGCCCTGAGTTCAAACCCCAGTACCACCAAAAAAAAAAAAAAAAAAGGAAGAAGTAGTTCTGGGTGGAAGGAGACAAAGTATGAATGTGGAGGCAAAGGAGGTTTTCTTTCTGAAATCCAAAGATGATGCTGGAGCACCATGTTCAATGATGAGAGCAAGCCCACAGGCAGAGAAATGAAGATGCATTTCTGGGTGGGAAGCCAAGAGAGCAAGGTCCCAGAACACGTGGGCAGAGGGCCCTTAGTCCAGGCCACAGGGATGGCAGAGGGGGAGACAGACAGGGGCAGGCTGTCTGGGCAGCAAGGCAAGTACCTTCTTGCTTGATTGCTTCTGGTTTCTCAATGAAGGCTTTCCCTGGGAGGTACTGGGGTGGAGATGGAGTGCAGAAGGGCAGATGAGAGCAGGAGAAGCCTGGGAGGCGGTGATTCATAGCAGAAGGAGAGAAGCTGGGCAGCATGGCAGGACTGGGCACCTGAGGATTCCCCGTGAGGCCAGTCTTCATGGAATCAGCAAGCAGCACTGGGGTGTACTTCAGAAACCAAGTCTTGGGAAGTTAAGTAACTTGCCTAAGGCTGCCCAGCTGAACTGGGACTCCTGGGATCCAGTTAACCAGAGATCCCAAACCCTGTGAGGACCTTCCGAGGACTGATGGTTCTGAAAACACTCATTTCCAGATCCTCACATATCCCTTCATTCAAACCCCTCCCTCTCTTCCTCCTCTCTTTCTCTTATATATATATGTATATATATACACACATATACACACACATATGGATATATATATATATATATATATTTTTTTTTTTTTCCTGAGGCAGGCCTCCTGCCTTAGCCCCGCGAAGTGTTCTAGTAGTAGGTGTGGGCCGCCACACCTTGCTGCTTCCTAAAAAAGATTGTCTCGACACTTCAGGGTGTTCTGGGCTGCACTTTACAAAAGGCAGGCATACTCTTTACCCATCCAAACCTCCCTGAGGTGAGTGTGCCAGACCAGAAAGAGCCATCTCTGCACTGAGCCAGGGTGCAGGCTGTTCTTGCAAGGAATCAGGCCCCACCTGCAATCTGTTAAAAACGAAGCATGGTATTGGAAATGGGGCAGTTGGCCCAGAGCTGAAAGATTAGTGAGGACACAGCCATAATCAGAGGAATGATTGAATAATTATGTGAGTACTCTGAACGAAAGAGATACGAGCACATGAAATAAGAAACCTCATCCAGACCAGGGAATCAAGAAAGCTGACTCTGCGTATGAGAGTGAAGATCAGAATATGCCACCCCTGGACTGGGGGTGTGGTAGTGCTTGCTTAGCATGCACAAGGGCCTGGGTTCAATCTCTAAAAAAAAGAAAAAGAATATACCACTTCCGAAATGCCGCTTTGTCATAAAAATTATTTTGAGCTGAAGGTAACTAAGAAGGGGCAGAGAGATGTGTCCTCAGACACCTGTCCCCTTTCTGTCTCAAAGCAGCACACGAATTTCCCTTTGGGAAGGCATCCACACACTCCCTTTCCTGAACCAGGGTATACTGAGAGCTCAAGGAAGGCAAGTAGCAATAAGACACAATAAAGCTGAGGAGTCAAAGAACAGGTGCGGTACCACATCCAGGCGCGTTCTGCCAAGCATCCTGCTTTACAAACAATCCTGGTATTATGCTTGACCCACTTCCCGGAACACTGGCTAATGGTCCTCAGCTGGGGCTTTCCCAGATCTAACAGCGAGCTGGAGGCTAACACCTCCCCTCAAATCACTTGCTCTGAGGGCACCTTATTAGGTAAACCACTCCCTGTCCTCCAGTTCTAGGAAATGTCCTCCCATTTCTCATAAACGTCCATAGTTATGTACATAAAGTCAGCACACCCAAAAGCTAGACAGCATTTGTTGCCCTCAACGCAGAGAAACTAAAGCAGATACTCTAAGCAACTGAGGCCAATAGGAGAAGGGGACCAGGAACGAGACAACAGGTTAGTTCGAGAATTAACTTAGAAGGTAACACACACGCACAGGAAATCAATGCGAGTCAACTCCCTGGATAGCTATCCTTATCTCAACTAGCAAAAACCCTTGGTCCTTCCTATTATTGCTTACACTCCCTCTTCAACAAAATTAGAGATAAGGGCAAAATAGTTTCTGCCTGGTAGCGAGGGGTAAGGGGAGGTAAAGGAGGGGGTGGGGGAAAGGGGGGAGAAATGACCCAAACAATGTATGCACACATGAATAAAATAAAAATAAATAAATAAATAAATAAGTTAGCATACCTAATCTTATAAACCTTAAGCTTATAAAAGCACCTAACACCTGAGAGCTCAAGGCACTTGGCTGCTTGGTCAGGTTGCCCACTCTCATCCTATCTTGAGAATGTACTTACATTTAAGTCTCACTCTCACAACTCCTGTGTTAGGACTGGAGGTGTGGCTCAAGCAGTAGAGCTCCTGCTTTGCAAATGTGAAGCCCTGAGTGCAAACCCCAGTCCCACCAAAACAAAACAAAAAACAACAAACAAACAAAACTCCTCTAAGTGTCTACCCCTCAGTTCTTTCTTTGGTGATACAAACCCTTGTTCTCCAGTGATTGGGGGAGGACCCACTTGAGGAGTTGCCCAGATCCAGTTGAGGTGACTGTCCTTCCAATAAACTGGTAAACCTATTTTCAAATGTTTCACTGGCCAAACTGACATTGAGCTGTCCTCCTGTCCTCATCTCTTTCTCTTTCTCTCACATGAGGGCACAGTTAAGCACTTACATGTCAGTAGGACACTTGCCACTTGAAGATAGCTGTGCTAAGGTGAATGGGCACAGAGCAGGATGGAGTGGCATTAGGCCTTCTTGGCCACCACAAGTCAATGTATCCATGAAACACTGTAGGAACACTGTCAAGTCATGTCATTCACATCCAATCTCTTTGGCTAGGGTTTTTGCTGGTTTCGATCTTGTCTATTTCTTGACTTCTTCAAGTCTTTTCCATGGCTCTCAGTCCACCTTGTCTTGCATCAGCCTATCTGCCTTATACTGATTTTTCTCACTCTGTTTCTATGGTGGTAGGGAAAGAAACTATATGATTATTTTTGCTGTGCAGCATCAGTACCTCAATGGGGGACAATCCCTGGGAGATTTGCACTGGACATTAGAGCACTTTGTTCCAACCATTTTATTTGCTGTTAAAAGACTCAAGGGAGAAATGCTCTCCTCTCATTGGTTTGTCTTGTATATCACCTAATCTACTGCCATCATGTTTGAGAATGCAACACCACCCTAGTTAGTATGACTTCCTATAAACTCCAAGAGGCTCAAGCCTACTGAGAGACTAGGAACAAAGTTCTCAAGAGTCAAATTATCTCCCTAGTGGCACTAGCATGTTTTCAGCTAGCACAGACGAGTTTCCCAAAGGGGACCTGGGGCATTAGGAAATCACGGCTCAGGAAGGACACTAAATCTGTGCTCTCTGGGCTGAGTATTAGCCATTGGCTCTGGAAGACTCTGGAAGACTCAGGAAGACTCCACACCCCTAGGTGGCCACTGCCAGGATGGAGTACAGACTCTGGATTACAGTTGACCTACTCCTTGGAACACTGGCTAGTGATTCCCAGCAGGGACTTTCCCAAATCTAGAGCTCTTATCTGCATTTCATTATAGTTGCAGTTTGTTGCACATACCTCCCCTCAAATTGCCATCTTGTCTCTCAAGGTACCTTATTAGGTAAAAACATGTCTGTCCTCCAGTTCTTGGAAAGGCCCTCTTGGTCTCTCAGAAATGTTCACAATTATGTACATAAAATCAACATATCTAATCTTCTACAGTCCATAAAAGTGATTAAGAGCTCAGGGCATTTGGCTGCTTGGTCGGTTGCCCACTGTCATCATTTCTTGAGGGTGTGCTTTTGTTTTTGCTCCAGTAAATCTCACTCTGTCAAAACTCCTTTGTGTGTCTGCCCCTCAAGTCTTTCTTTGGTAAAATCAAGGGCCTGCTATCTGATGACAGCAATGGGAGCTTCAACTCCCAACACCCCGGGGGTGGTGGGAGTGAAAGAGCGAGAAGTGGGTAGCTGTGGAAAGTACAGCAAAGGGAACATCAGCAGGGCAGGAGAAGTGGGTGTCAGGATGACTACCAGGTTTCAGGTGTCCACCAAGACTAATGGGGAAAAAATATGAAAGCACCTCGTGATGCAGCCTGCACTCAAAGGCTGGGTCCTTACTCAACTTTCCTGCATCCCTGTCCACTCATCCGCGGGGCGGTTGGAGCCTACGAGAGCCCCTCACTGAAAAGATGGGATAGAATGGAGACAGGAGTACAGAGATCAACGCCAACAAGAGCTACTGATGCTTCCAGAGAGTCCAAAGTTTCTTGTTTTTAGGGGCTCCCAAGGGTTCAGGTCTGTTTCTGCCCGACTTACCTGAGGGAGGTGGTGGGATTTTCCACTCCGGAGTGGCTTGTGGGAGAAGGTTCTCTTACAAACGAAGACGGAAAACTCTCTTCCTAAAGAAGGGAAAAAGCTGTTCTTTGGTGCCTTCTAGCCATGGGATAAAAGAAAGACTACAGACCAGGAGCTTTGAGACAATCCCTCCCTGGAGGCTAGGGATACTGCAATGGCAAAAGCACACCCACACGAGAACAGGCTAGAACCTCTCTGCTCAATCCACCTGCTGAGTGATCTCAGGCAAGCTGAGATCCCAAACAGCAAGAACACAGGGCTGATGAACTAATTAAAGGAAATAATGTCCACAGAGCCATGTGTTCGAGCAAACTCTTATTACATGAAAAAAACAGTAAAGGCCTCCAAAGAAAAACTGAGGACCCTATAAAACCAAAATGAATAAATATTGAATTAAGTATTTAAAAAATAAAATCTGTTGGGAGGCTGAGGCACAAGGATTGAGAGTTCAAGTCAGTCTGGGCTACAGGGTAAAATTCTGTCTCAAACAAAAAAAAAAAGACAGATGGACAAAAAGAAAATATATAAAACTCATAAACTATTAAATTGAATATTCATTAAAATATCATTAAACTTGAAGATCACTGCCCCAGGGGGAAAAACAGAAATGCTGACAAGTTTACAGGTTGTCCTGTGGGCATGGTGACTACTGGGAAACTCTACTAGTGTAAACACTTAGAAAAGTGACAGGTGACAGAGTCTGGCCTGAGTGCTCACTATTATAATTTCCAGACATCGCTACTGGGTCTTTTGGCTAAGATCAAGTGTCCCATTTCCAGGCAACAGCTATAGTCCTACTTTGTGCCAAGGGATACAGACATTCTCTCTGTGCTCTAGACCAGGGCGTCCCCAACCGCACCGTGCCTGAAGATCACTGGGAGACTGGGAAACTGCAGGGTCCGACCCACTTCATCTCCAAAGTGGCCTTGGCTGTGGTTGCAGACCCTCAGGCTACACTTGACTTCTCCCCCACCTGCCTGAAAAACCACTCACTGCCCCCGTCAGTGTTAGCTGCTACATAGGTACTTTAGGAGCAATCACCTATACTCATGGGGGACTAGGGGGGACATGGGGTGGAGGGGAGGGAGGAGGGAGACAGGGGCTGCTGCCCCTTTAAATGACTGTTACTGCTCCTTGAAGGTTGCTTCAAGGTTGTTTGTTTGTTTGTTTCAGATAAGGTTCTCCATAGAAACAAGGCACCAGACAAAATTGCTCCTCGCACTCTTTTTAGGTGACCTAGAATAAACTTTGTTCATACCATTACTAAATCTCCACCCAAAGATGTCCCCATCCACCATTTTTTTGAACATGTGACCTTGAACTGGGCATGCGCACTGGAATGTGCACACTGGCACACGTGACGCTGAGTCTTTCCTAATGAATATGTATGAGTTTTGCCCTTGCTGTCTTTGTTCAGAGGTACTGCTCTGAGAATTTTCTCCAGTGTCTTCCTTACTTGCTGCAAAATAATAAACCTTTTTTCACTCCCTTATCTCCTGGTTAAGCTTTTGGCTTTCCATTCACCAAGGTGTGGTACTGGGGTTTGAACTCAGGGCTTCACACATGCTAGGCAGGTGCTGTACCACTTGAGACACTCCTCTAACCCCCATTACATTTATTTGGTTACATCAGACTGGCCTGGGCACCCTAGCCCATGCTGTCTCTGCACCCTGTATCCTCCCATCTCAGTATGCAATATACTTACGCTGTCTGAATTGCCCCCCTGGACTGGAAGGAGAGCCTGGGCTCGCCTCCACCACCATATTCCCAGTGGTTAGCACAGTGCCAGGCACATGGTGCTCCCCATGTAACTGCTGAGTGAAAAGAGCTGACCTTAGTGCACCTCTGAACTTTAGTTTCCTCATCTGCGGTATGATTTAGTATGTCCCTCGACAGGTTGTTCTGAGGATGGAATGACCTGGACAGAGAGCCCAGGACAGTGCCCCGGGCACACTGTAGACACGCAACACTGGACATCTACTGTTTGAATATAAAATCCTACTCCTCACATCCCAACAACTCTGTTGGGTGGACTCTAACTTCAGTTCGTAAGCATAACGCTCACTCGTTTTGGTGGTTGGTGGGAGAGAGCCTGATCTGGGCACGTCAACGCTTCAGCCCTCCAATGCCTTGGTTAGATAGTGGTTGGGAGGGTGGCAGGGGGCACAGGGAGCAGGGGATACAACTGGCATCTTACCCTTTATCATCCTTCTTCTCTGTAACATCAACTCCTCTCTTCGGAACCTCTCTGGATCCAGTTCCGAGTAGTCCCAGCTGTTATAGCTCTGCGGGCAAGGGTATGTCCCTAAGAGAAGTTGAGAGTGATCACAGATGTTTCCACCAATGAGAATGGGGGCAACCACCCAGAAGAGGAGGACAGAAGCCTCAAAACCTCGGCTGGTGTAGGGAGGCTGGGCTTCAAGTACTAGCCTCCTACCAGCCTAGTGGCCTTGGGCACATTGCTTCCTCCCTAGACAGCTTTGGTTTCTTCATTTGGAAAATGGCAACAATGCCACCTGCCCTTCTGACAGATGGCTTGGTGTCAGGATCAGATTGCGTGGGTGTGTGACTCTGCAAGTGTGGAGGCACCACAGTGGTTCTTTTCCTACCATCTCCCCTGTTCTGGCTGGACTGTGCCCTGCCTCAGGGCAGGGCTGGGTCTTATTCATCTTTATGCTTCTAGGGCTTCCTACTGGACCTGGCACATAGTAAACAGGTGCTTAGCAAATGTTTGTTCACCATGTTAGCACACTAAGCTAGGTGTCAGAAGTGGGTTCACCTCAACACTCAATGGTGACTTTTCCAAGGATTACTGGAGTTAAGCCAAAGCTGCTGGCTCCATTGGACAAAGCAAGTGAACAGGAGGTTTATTTCTGGGGATTAGTTAGGGGAAGGAAGTGCAGCCTTGGATGAAAAGGGGAACAGGAAGAATAACAAGAAGAGGGTCAGAGAATGGAGGCAGGATTCCATAGTGGTCATAGACCTAGCTTTGGGGTGCCCCCGCCTGGGCTCAAACACCTGCACCCTATTTCTTAGCTCCTGAACTTACTTCTTTGATCCTCCATGTTAAGAGGATCAAATGAAGAAAAGTTAGCATAATAGGCCTTTGACAGCTAGCCTGAGGGAGGCCTGCAAAGCTGGCATTTGGGAACTCTGCTGGCAAACAGTTCCTTACACTAACACAAAACTTTCTCGATACAGAGTAAGCTCACTGTGCCTAGGCTGTTTTTACACACAGTGGGGCCTATGCTGAACACCTGCTTTCTCAGAATTGTGATATGGGACAGACATGTAGTCTTCATGGTGATCCCACTGAAAACCTTGGCCACTTAGTCTCCAGTGGACTTCTCTTGGCAAAAACATCACACAGGAGTGACTACATTTTCCTCGCAGGGGATGAGAGGCTCCATGCGACTCCCTCCTCCTCAGTGAGCACACAAGAAAGCCCACACTTGGATGACTCCAGACTGCCTGTCTTTCCCCATGACCCAGCTGTGGTCCTTACTCAGCACTGTTAAGCTTAGCTGTGACTACAACTTGGTACTAAAGTGGGGGTGATCTTGGAAACACCCAACATGTCAGGAAATGTAGAAGGCGCTAATGTAGCAATGTACCTAGTACAAAAGAAATAAGCTTTTAATCACCTTAGGACATGTCTAGGCTGAGACAGGAAGTGGAAGGCAGGCATGGAGCTGGCTCTGTGTGTGCTGGAGGGGTGGGCTATGGTGGCCACTTGGGTCACATGGGAAAGGTGGGATAAGCTAACCACCATGCTGCTTTGCAGCCCATCAACCCATGGCCCATGGTTTACTAACAGGGCTAAGCTGAAACTTCAGTGCCTTAGGAAAGGGCACCTCACTCCCTGCAGAGGTAGCTGGGCATAAAACATAGGTCAGGCAGGGATGTCTGACTGTTTCCAAGGAAGGAGGAAAATTCATTCTTCATGGGCCTCTAACCACACACTTCACTCTTCTTAATGGTGAGGAGAGAAACGAAGACTGCCTTGGTGAAGAGGCTCACAGCCAATGAAAATGTACCCAGGCCCCGGGGGAAACCTTTTAGCCAAATTGCTTTCCCCAGGAAGAAGTCACCTCTCACCTGCAATCCACAGGCTCATGGTGTTACAGATGTCAGACTTGAATTCGTGTGTGTTGAACCAGGACTGGGGGAAGCAGCAGCAGAAGCTGGTGTACAAGGCTTTGCTCAGAAGTGACGGCAATTTCTAGGGAACAAGCAGAGCTCACGACAATTCTCCATGTTTCCACCCCAGAAAAGAGCCTGGACTTTAGGAAGGATGTGTGATAAAATTCTTTCCTGATATCAAGCTGTCTTCATTTTCTGAGGAGCTTTTTTTTTTTCCTTTGGGGGGGTCAGGGTTTGAATTTTGCACTTGCAAAGCAGATTTTCTACTACTACATCTCCTGGTTCCATTTTACTCTGGTTATTTTGGAGATTGGGTCTTGTGAACTATTTGCCCAGGCTGGCCACAAACAGTGATCCTCCTGATCTCTGCCTCCCAAGTAGCTAGAATTATAAGTGTAAGTGTGAGCCACCAGCGCCCAGCTAGGTTTTTTTTTTTTTTAAATGGGCTCAAATTATACATTTACATTGGGTTTTATCCATTTAATACCACAATACAAGCACTTCTACAAGTTGTTATAAACCCTTTGAATTTTTTTTCCATCGTATTGAGTGTGTTCAAACTCACTTAAACATTCCCCATCACTGGGCATTGTCCGTTTATCTATTATGCCTGATGCATATAGCCACAGAAAATCTGCTGAATGAATGAACAATACATGAACAGAGGCAGCTCCAGAAGATGGGTGGTTAATTGGTTGGTTTTTGTAGACTGGGTCTCACTGTGTAGTCTAGGCTGACCTCAACTTCACAGTCCTCCTGCCTCAGTCTCCCAAACAATGGGATCACAGGGATATACCACCACACCTGACCAGAAAATGGTTTAATTATGGTAATTATAGCAGCTATGACATATTGGGGGCTTAGTGTGTGCCAGGCAATATGTCATATACCTTACAAAGAGCATTTATTTAATCCTTAAGATAACTAAGAGAGGTATTACTAGCTGCATTTTATGGATGATGAAACTGAAGCACAGAACAACTAGGTGACAATGGGCATGGTAGAACACACCTGTAATCCCCAATACTTGAGAGGCTAAAGCAGGAGGATTTCGGGTTGCAGGCCAACCTGGGCTACATAGTGAGACCCTGTCTCAAAAAACAAAGAAAGAAAAGAAACAAAGCAAGCCCAGTTGGCCTGTGTAGCAGTCACTAGACAATGCAGAGCCTTTTAGTCTGGCTGTACGGGTTTGCTTCCCACCCAAGCCCTGAGAAGGACATTTCCTTCCTCTTTGACTGTTCTGGGGATCACACTTTTTAATCTAGGCAATTTAACTCAAAAAGGGGGTATTAAATTTTGTATTATTTTTCCCTGGCAGGATAGAACCCAGGGTCTCATGCATGCCAAGTAAGCACTATTCCACTGAGCTAAATTCCCAGTCCCAATTGGGGGAACTAAATTATTACTTTAATGTGCATTTTGGATTATTGTTGAGTGTAAACTTTTTCCCACCCATTACTTCTCCCTCGGTGAATTTCTAGTTTATGTACTTTGTCCATTGGTCTATGTGGTGTCTCATCTTTTCTTACTGATTTGTAAGAGTTTTTATGTTGTGTAATATATATGCCACCAGTATTTTTGCATAGTTGGTCATTTGCCTTTTACCTTTGTGTGTAGTAGCTTAAAAATTATATAGTTAATGGCTGGGCATGGTGGTACATACCTATAATCCCAGCACTTGAGAGGCTGAGACAGGAAGACTGAGAGTTCAAGACCAGCCTGGGCTACACAGAAAAATTTATACAGTTACCAATCTTTTCCTTTATGGTCTACTTCCTCAGGGTCATATTTAGAAACCCCTTGCTCACCTGAAAATCATGTGAGTATTCACTCATATTTTTTTCTAGCAATTCCTTAATACATATATACATCTACGTGTTCATACTTCTAAATTTAACATTCCATGCTTATTTAAATACTACAGAAATATATAAAATAGAAAAGGTGATTCCCATATAACCTTGCTCCCAGAGATAAAATTGCTGAGTTTGATAAATATTTTTCCAGATTTTTTCCTGTTCATAGGTTCATACATATACAGAAACGAGTCAGTGGTGGGTACATTCTGAGAAATGCACAGGTGATTTCATCATTGTATGAACATCAAACTAAGATGCCGTGCAGTCTTTAGGCAATATAGTCTCATGGGATCACTGCCATATGCACTCTTTTACTTATTTATTTATTCATTTATTTTGGGCAGTACTGGGTTTTGAACTCAGGGCCTCTCACTTGCTAGGTAGGGCACTCTACTGCTTGAGCTACCCCCCCCAAGTCCCTCCCCCTTTTTCTCTTTTTAGTTATTTACCAGCTAGTGTCTTCTGTTTTTGCTTGGGGCAAGCCTTGGACCAGACCCTCCTACCTATGCCTCCTGCGTAGCTTGAATACAAAAGTGCACCACTATGCCCAGCTTGTTGGTTGAGATGGTGTCTCACTAACTTTTTGCCTAGTCTGGCTTCAAATCTCAACCCTCCCTATCTCTGCCTCTTGAGTAGCTGGGATTACAGGTGTATGCCATCACCCCCAGCCCCATATAATCCATCATTGATAAAATAATTTGTTATGCAGTTCATGACTGTATATACATGTACATATAGAGAGAGCATAGAGTTGGATAAGTTGCTGTTTTTCACTAAAAATACCTCATTGTGCCCTAGTAAGTATGTAGAACTCTACTGCATTTTTTTGTTAACTGTTGCATTACAAGGCAGTGTACAGACATATCACCACTCACTAATTACTCCTCCATGGACAGAACATTCTCCTGATGTCAGAAGTGAATAGAAATCTAATGTCTATTTAAAGCAGGGGTTGATACTCACTTTTAAGAGTGCCTCTTCATAGTGGGACCTGGGTAGTTGGAACAAAAGAAAGGCATAGTGTCTGGCTATCCGGTCGAACAGTTTATTCTGGATCTCCTTGTTTGGCTGCCAGGAAAAGAGACAGAGAATGAATTACTAGAGTGGCTGTGGCAACAGAAAGAGGGCTGGGGTTTCTTTTGTCATTTGTTTGTTTTTCGAGATAGGTCTCTCTATGCAGCCCCAGGCTGGCCTTGGACTCCTGATCCTCCTTCTTCCTGGGATTTACAGTCTTGAACCATCACACCCATCTTAGCACTGGGGTTCTTGCTCTTGTTTTCAGGAATCTTATTCACAAGTGATTTAACCTACATAGGAAATGCTCCACTCATTTGTTGTATCACTGTATGAAGCATGTGCCTACGAGGCAGAGTTTTGTTAAAGGAAGCCAAACTCTGGGCCAAGAGGTTCTGAGTTCTACACACAGCCCTGCCTTGGATCAGCCATGTAACATGTACCAGCTCCTAAAGCTTGGGGGAGCTGCAAGTCATTGGGTAATGGCTGAAGCCAGAAGAGTCCTGGGGGGTGGTCCATGGATCAGAAAGGCTTGCGGCTCATTTTAAAAAGGTTGGAATTTGTTCCATAGAAAAATAACATAAGCAAGGGAGAGAAACAATAAGATTTGCATTTACCTGGTACCTGTTATGAAATATCCACCAAAAGCTATCCAGCCATATGGCTCTCGGAAAAGGAGAAGAAAGAAACTTCTCTAATTCTTTATCTGAACAGAAAGACTTGAAAAAAAGACCAAACAACAACAAAAAATTACATTATTATTGTGGTTGCTATTACTATCACTGTTATCATTATCATTATTATTTTGGTTCTTTGAGACACTGTGTTGCCCAAGCTGGCCTCAAACTCACAATCCTTGAGTGCATCACCACACCTGACCTTTTTTTTTTTTAAATTCACCTGGAGCCACAGCCAGACTCTTATTTATCTTTACTTGAAACCTGACTTTCTCCTGTGTCCAGTGGCTAGTTTTTTTTATTAAGTGAATTATCTTCCCATCAGTCATCTGTGGAATTTGGATATTTCAGAGTCATCAAAAAAGCCCCCTAACCTTTCAGAGAGTATCTATGATTTGCATAGTCCAAGCCAAATATTTTTACCTCTCTCATTTAACCTGACAATAATCTTATGAGTACATATTATTGTCACAGACTAGGAGACCAAGATCTCACAGATCAGGAAACCGAGGACAGAAGAGGTATAAGCACTTGCCTAAGTTATACAGGCACTCTGCAAGTGGTAGAGCCAGGACTGGAGCCCATAACTCTAGCCGGCTGTTCCACGCCAGCGACCTCCATTTCTCACCGCCTGCCTTCAGTCAACAGTGACAATATCAACCAATGTGGATATTATACAAATGGAAAAGATCCCTGCTGAGTTGGTAATAAGCATATGTAATTCTAAAAGTAAATTAATCATCCAAGAGCTTGGAGCAGCCAAAAACCTAGCTTTCAAGCTACTGTAACAGTTATTGAAAGCTCCTGTGTGTCAGTGGCAGGATACACACCTTCCTTTCTCATCTCACTCAGATGGGACCGAATCAGTTGGACACAGCCAGGCAGCAGGAAGGGGCCGGAAAGAGGAGGGGAGAGAAGGGGAGAGAATGGAGAGATGGGAGGAGAGAAACAGAGAGCTGGCTGGATTGGGGGAGGGACTTGAAGCAATGACTCAGTCTGAGATGCTGGGTCCCAGGAATAGAGGGGTACTAGGTAAGAGCTGAGGGGACAATGACCAGAGTTGCTTTGGGGACACAGAAATTATGCAATCGGAAGGAAGAAGAGCTGGGAGTCACTGGCTCAAGCCTGTAATCCTAGCTACTCAGGAGGCAGAGATCAGAAGGATCATGGTTCAAAGCCAGCCCAAGCAAATAGTTCCATGAGACCCTATCTCAAAAAATCCTTCACAAAAACAGGGCTGGTAGAATGGCTCAAGGTGAAGGCCCTGAGTTTAAGCCCCAGTCCTGCAAAAAAAAAAAAAAAAGAGGAAGAGATGTGACTGTATAGCTGCTGAGATCATTTTTTGAGGGTCTTTCCCTCTTGAGACCTCCTCTCGAGTCACTCCCCACCTCCCATGTTGTCTCATGTATGCACACAGGATCTTCTGGGCCTTGGCATTGTCACTTCCCAAGGAACCAGGGTGCTCTGGGCACAGTTCTTAAGGCTATGTTCACTCACCCCAAGGGGCAGGAAGAAAACATTCTAAGTAATGCCTGTTGTTAGTCACTTTTATGTTGCTATGCTAAAATACCTGGGTAAAGCAACTTAAAGGGAGGAAAGGTTTATTTTTACCCACAGTTTCAGGGCTTTCAGTCCATGGTCCCTTGGCCCTCGTAACTGTAGGCCTGAGGTAAGGCTGAACAGCGTGTGGTGGAAGAGGCTGCTCACCTCATGGCAGCCAGGAAGCAGAGAGAGATGAGGAAGGGGCCCAGGACAAGACATAGTCTCCAAGAACATGCCCTCAGTGACATACTTCCTTCAACTAGGCCCTACCTCCAATGGTTTCCACTGCCTCCCAATAATGCCATCAAATTTTACATCTATCATTGGCTTTAATCCATTGATGAAGGCAGGGCCCTGGTGGTTCAATCACTTCCTGAAATTCCACCTCTGAACACCACTGGAGACCAAGCCTTTAACACACAAGCCTTTTTGTGGCATACTTCATAGCCAAACCACAAGTCTGATAGAAAAGGAAAAGAAAAGAAGTAAGCTGGGCCTAGGCACCAGTGCCTCACACCTGTAATCCTAGCTACTTAGGAGGCAGAGAGCAGGAGGACTGCGGTTTGAAGCCAGCCTGGGCAAATAGTTCGCAAGACTCTATCTCAAAAATACCCATCACAAAAAAGGGCTGGTGGAGTGGCAAAAAAATAAAAAAAAGAAGAAAAAGCAAGCTTACTGGAGCACAGTGGAGTGGCCGACAAGGTAACATGTACGTTTGTACGTTATCTCCAGACACGTATCTATGAAGGTGAGTGCTCAAAAGTTTTTGCTAATAGGAAACGTGATCAACACCCTAAAGACAACTGCTCTGGGAGAAAACAATTAGATTTTGGAGTGAACTTGGGCCAGGGTTCCCAGCTCAGGTCAATCCCTTCGGGCATATGGCCACAGGTGAGTTCCTCAGTTGCTCCCAGGGTGTGAAAGGAGGACAGAGGGGTCAACCCCATGGTGTTGCACAGTCAGGGCAGAGCTGGCCCTAGGGAGTGAACTGTCCACTCTCTTTCCTTACCTTCCCACTATAGGGGTTTTTCTCAGCCCGGACCACGTTGCCCACCATGTTACAGAAGTCCATCCCATTGGGAAGCTTGTTGGGCCTCTTTTCATTGAATTGGGGGGGCTGGTGCAGCTCTGCCAGAAGATTTTTATCTGCTGTTTTCTGAAGCAGAAAAGCGGGATATGAAAATGGGGTCCATCATTTTGACAGTTGATTTTATTTCTGAATTATCATACATTAGAAATATGAGGGAATTCATTGTGATAATTCCATACATGTATAATTTTGACAGTTTAAAAATGGTAGAATACCTGCCCCTTTTTATTATGAAGATAGTACAATAGCCTTTTAGACATGCAGGAAATGAGGGGGCCTTCAGCATCCTAGAACCCCTTAACAGACACCTGTGTACGTTAGCTCTGTTTTTCTTTAAAGGCTTTGCACAAACGTGTCCAAACACACGTGTGTTATTTCAATCAATATACTCACACAGCTCACACTTTTATGTCCTTTATCTTAACTTTATTTTAGGTTTTTCATTGAGCTACACTGTCTTCAAAGTTATCATTTAAAATCCTGTAATTTAACTACTCACTGATTCCTTCCAATGAATATTAGTGTCATTAATAACTTGGAATATGGAGTCTCCTTTCCCTTTGAGTCATTTATTCAGCATGAATTTCTCAAAATGATAATGTCAGATCAAAGGATGACTATTCCTAGGACAGGACTGTTGTTTCTTCACCAGTAAGTCTGGAATAGTTAGGGACAGGATAAAAAAAACTCAGGGATAGGGCACAACATCCTCACAGCCTACAAATATTCTTTCCTCCTTGTACCCATGGCTCATCCTGCTGGCGGTTCCTCTCATCCTTGTTTGTCTGGCTGTAATGTTCCTACCATGCCTCATTAGTATCCTTCAAAAATTTTTACAGGAACATATTACTGCCATTTCTCAGGCTACCTCAGAGGAGCAGTTCAAGGTCATCACACTTCTACAAACTCTCCAGGCTCAACAACCCCCCACATCGCCCCTAGACAGCAGGAAGTAGCCAGAAGACAGGCAGCACCCCCATGTCACTTATGTATATGTAGATATATATATATATGTATGTGTATGTGTATATATAAACACACACATATGTATATGTATGTACATGTATGTGTGTGTGTATATCAAAGAGCCTGGAATACTGGAATGTCAAGAAACACTGAAACAATGCAAATGCTAGAATGTTGAGAAAGCAACATGCATACAGCCCAACCCCAATGACCTTCCCACTGATGTCCAGCACATCCCCCATCCTCCTTCCCAACCATCTTACCTAATGCCCATCCCCTCCAACCTCCCTCTTCCTGCCACAGGATGTTTAAAATCCTGTAAAAGCCTGTAAGAAAGGTCTGCTCTTGCCCCTCTCAGAGTTTTACTCTGATGGCCGAGGGTCCCTCTCAAGTCTCCTCTCCCTAATAAAGACCTGCTGCTTATGAAGGTCACAGATTCTTTCACATATGTATCTCTTTTCAGCTTCTTCACTTTCCTTTCAATTTTTATGGTACTTAATATATGCCATTAAATTGACTTTAACAAAACTAAAACATAATCACTACTAAAAATGTAAAAATACAGAAAAGTAGAATGAGAGAAGTAATTCTACCCAAAGGCATTTATGGAGCCATTTTAAGGACTGAGTTATTTTCTAACTGGGCCATGGTGATTGACAATGGAAGAGCAGCTTGGTGATTCGCTGTACTGACCTGGAGTCAGATGTCAGCTCAGCTATTTGCAGGCGGGGCCACCTTAGGCAGGATAGTTACATCTGCTCCGCTTACATAGAGTGTAAGACAGTTTCAATGCAGCCTTAACTATTAAACTTCATACTATTTTGGAATTTGCTAAGCTAAAAGGTGTAAAGCAAGGGGGGGTATATATGTTGGCAATAATGGCGCCAATGGTACCCTTAAGCTTCTGTTTCCCAGGGTCACAGTCCTGCCTCAAGTCTAGCTTGAATTCTCCTTCTGCCCCAACCTCCAATCAGCATAAACCATAAGATCCTAACCAATCAGATCATGCCAAGTCTCACTGAGGGGTATTTAAGCACCTGCCCTTCTCTCTCTCTCTCGGCTCTCCCCCTCTCTCACCTGGCAATAAAGAATCTCTTGGCCAGGTCACTCCTCTCCATGTGGTCACTTTGGGGCCTACATTTGGTGCCATGACTCGGAGAGGATTTCCCCACTAATCCTGGTGGGACCCCAATTCCAACTCACTCCACAACAACCTGAGGACGTGACTGGCCAGGACTCATTCTCCCAATTGCCCTCACTTGCATCCAACACTGGACATCCTTTTGGTGAGTCCACATACCCTTCTTGGGCTCCCTTTGCGGTCTCTCCCCTTGGTGTCTCTGGGGTTTAAACATTCCCCCTTTTCAGCTATCTCTGGGACTCAGATGGTAGAGGGGGGTTCCCTTCCCTCCATTCAGCTTGGGTCTGTTTTTGTCGTCGGTCTCAGAGACCACCCATCTGCAAAGCCCGGCACCGGGTGACCCACAGCCTCTGGGCCTTGAGGGCCCTACATGCCACTTGAATGCAGTGATGACTGCTTCTTGTGTGCCTTGTACCATTCTCAGGATATTCGAGCAGCATGGGGATGCCCTGCAATTCCATATATTCTTCCAACCGGCTCTCACTATGGGGGCCACCTCCTCTTTGCCGTCTGACTCCCCACTGAGATGCCTTCTCAATAATTTGGGCACCTCGGGTTTGACCCCAGATATAAAACCAAAAATTTGATCCGCTTTTGCACTCAAAGCTGGCCCACTTATCCTTTAGACAACCAAAGTCACTGGCCACTTTTCGGGTCTTTAGATCCCAACCTTTTACAGGACATATAACTACTGTGAGCAATCAGAATGATGAGGAGAGATTCCATTATGTTCAAGCTTTTTCATACCTCCACCTAAATCCAGCCCTCTGTACCACTTGCAAGCAAAAACATGTGCTTCTTGCCCTCAAACCCTCCCTCTGTACTTTCTGTCCCCTGCGCAGATTCTATCAGCCTGTAAACCAGTTTCTAACTCAGCCAATTCCTCTCCAAACCTCCTCCTTCCCCATGTAAAAAGACTTCTTGCACTGCTTACCATACCTATCTCCTCCTATCTTCCTGAAAAACTTTTCCTGTCATGGAGTTAAGCAAGCCATTCCTTGCCAATTCTGGCCTCAAGGCGGTTCCAGCTCTGGGAGAGCTCATGCTCCCTTCCTGTGGGCTGAGACCAAGCCCCGGATTTATTCGGGTATGCCTCATGCTACATTGGTGGAGTCCTGTTTGATTATGGCATCTGATGACTGCTTCTCTTCCCCCCCCCCATCTAATGTCCCTTTTCCTGAGACAGTGACTGGAGAGTGGAGGTTTCGTTTTGCTGAAAGCCTGCCAGTACCAATCAATGGGAGCAACCTAGAGGCACAGGTGATGTCTAATCCCTCAGGCGTGTGTCATGCCTCCGGGCTCTGCCTTCCCCTCCCTTACCTAAGATGTCAGCTCACCTTTTCTGCCTCCTCCATGGTCTCACTGCATGTCCTTTGTCTCTGTCTGCCTTCTCCTCCCTGGGCTTACTGGGACCCTGCCTCCCATGAAAAACTTGTAGCATGGTACCTTATGACTTAAGTTATTCCAACTAGTTTGCCAGGCCTGTCAGTCTAAAGTAACTTTAAATCAGCTGCTTTACAAAAGCACTTACAAAAAACTGCAGCTGCCACACTCATGCTGTGGCACATGAGGGAAAGCAAACAGGCGCACCTGTGCACAGGATGCTGGCTTCTGGACACAGCAAAAACGCATGCCATAGCTAAGAGAATCCATAGAGAGGACTCAGCACATCCTGGGCCGCCAGCCACACGTGGCAATGGCTGCAGCCCACCACCACTTCCCCTAGAATAAACCCACACAGAGTACACAGGAAGCGGGGAGGGGCGACAGGCCGCAGGATGAGGCCTAGACAGTCAGGGTCATTTGTCCCAGGTGTGTGTGGAGGGAGTGGCACCTTGCACAAGTCCTGCTCCTAGCCCCACCTCACACCTCAGGGCATCAGACCCTTTGTAAGTCAATTGTTAGCTCAAGGTTATAGATCCAGAAATAACAAAATAGACATTACTGTGGTCTCTAAACTTCTCATTTAGAATTTTCTATACTTTTGGCCTCAACATAAATTTTTCCCTCCAAATATTAACACTAGTTGTCCCATATGGTACTGTTATTGGCCTGGGATGCCCTCTAAATGCCCTTCTCTAACTTTACAAATGATTTATTTCTTTGCTAAAAAGGTAGCCTTTATTAAAGAGGCTGCCTGCTGTTAGCTAAAAGACAGGATCCTAACATTTTGTTCTTTCTAGATGGGACCTGCATCTTCCAGTCTTTGGCTGGTAGATGTTGGAAGCTTTGTTCTGAGGTCGGCCTCAGTATGCCTTGGGTGACCAAGAGAAGTGGCCTTCACAGGGTTCCTTAAATTACAATACCATACTCCAATTAGACCTTTTCTATAAAAGGAAAAAAAGTAAACTGAGGTCCCCTATACAAATTTCTCTCATTAGAAAAGCAATGGGTTCTGGCCCAGGCCACTCAGGTTGGAAATGATTATATGGCTCAAGCAGTAGAGTGCCACTTTACAAGCAGAAAGTCCTGAGTTCAAGCCCAGTACAGCCAAAGTAAGAAATAATAATAATAATATTTGGGGCTGAGGAAGTAGCTCAATGGGAGAATGTCTGCCCAGCATGTGCAAAGCCCCTGGGTTCAATTCCCCAGCATTACTAAAAAAAATTAAAAAATGGTAAGGAAGATAAGTGGCATTAATGTCACTTCAGCCATCTCATAGTAGAAAAACGTAGTTTAACCTAGACCAGATCCCTCATTCTTCAAGTTGAGGAAACTGAGGCCCAGAACAGTTCAGAGACTTGCTCTCCAGAGTGTCAGGTGTCAATGTAAAATAACAACTTTACAGCAACAACAAATCCTCTTACCTTTCTACAGCATCTTAAGGACACTATCAGAAAGCATACCACAGTGGACTCAGAGTCACAGGTGAGAGAGGTTCTCCTCAAAGATAAATTTCTAACAGTCAGCCCCAGATATTCATAAAAAACTCAGACTGTGGCTGAAGGGAAAAGTCATTGAGCCAAGTAATACAGCTAGCCATGTCTGTATTTATGGCTATGTCTGTATGTCCAGGAACTTACTAACGGGAGAGAAAAAGATAAGAGACACCATGGCCTCATTGCTGCTCTCAGAGAGGGCCCCACCCAACTGGGGCCTGTATCCTGAACTTGCTACCGTGGTGGACAGGAGGGGCACTTCTGCAGAGAATGCTTAAGGGGGGACAGCCTGGGAGACAGCCCTGCCCCCAACCGGGACCCTGCCCTCTGCAAGGGTAACCACTGGAGGTCTAAGTGCCCCCATCAGCAGATGGAAGATGAGGTGCCACCTTCTATGGATTGATTTGTCCAAGCCTCCTGTCCACACTCCACTTCTTGGCATCAATGTTGAGGAGCCATAATGGCAGAAAAACAAAAGGTCATTTTCCTCCTAGACAGTGGAGCCTGTCTCTCTGTTTTATCTTTTTCCCCGGTCCAATGACAAAAGTTATCATTCAGGGCAAATCTGGCCAGCCCCTAGAGCACTAGTTTACCTGGCGTCTGGCCTGCTCTTGGAGAGACCTCCTCTTCTGTCACTCTTTCCTCATAGTACCTAAAAGTCCAGTGTCCCTGCTGAGATGGGATTTACTATCTCAATTAAAAGCTCAAATTCTCCTCCCCCCAGGCAGCTCTCTCTGCTGCCCCTCCTTCAGGAACAAATAGACTCCACAGTGTGGACTGATGAGATAGTGTAGGGTGAGCCAGGACAGCCCTCCCTATTCAAATAAAACTCAAAAATCCCTCACAATTCCACACCCAAAACAATATCCCCTCAAGCCTGAGGGACATGAGGCCTTATGCCTATCATAAATTCCTTAAAACAATAAGGGCTACTAATTAGTTGCTCCAGCCCCTATAATAAATTTAAAATTCTTATAAAAGTTAATTTTAAAATACAAGTTACAAAGTAAACAACTGGAAAGGATATAGATAGGTAATAAATGTATTTTTTGAGAAGTTAAAGGAGAAAGGAATGGTTTTTTGGATGAGAAGGGATTTTGTAAACAAGGGTTTGTCCTAAAGATTGTTTCAAATAGGAAGGATGAGGACAAACCATCAAAGGGATTAGTATGTTGTATGAAGGTCTGAGTAAGTTTGAAAAGTGTATAATAAAAGCTTTGGTGTGTGATAAAGTTAAAGTTGAATATAATCTAAGAGTTGCCCAAAAGATTTTTAGGGTCATGTCAAACTAAAATAAAATTCTCTATGTCTATGAAATAATAAGGTTATCTTAATATTGTTCTGCTGTAACAGCTACAAAAAAAATTACAGAGAAAGACTTTATCAAAGAAATTATTTGTGTTTTCTGCTGATCTTGTCAAGCTTTAAGTACCACTAAATCAGAGTTCATTTACCTATTTGCTTATGTGTCTTAAATGACCACCTTGTAACAGTGTTATGTTATACTTTATCTAAATATGGTACAAACATTTAAAAAGTTAAAAGTGTCAATTTATATAAAATAGTGAGCTAAAGCTCTCTTTTATCCAAGAGGGTTACATTTAAATCCTGACAGCCCCTGCCTCCCACAGGTCACCTACCTAGGTGTGGCCTTAAAGGGACACTCACTCCCTGAGTCATAAATGCATCAATCCAATCTTCCGTTTCCCAACCCCCATACCATAAGACAGCTTACAGCTTTCCTGGCAGTTATAGGATTTTGCAGAATTTAGATCCCTAGGTATGTAGTCCCTGAACAGACACCTTTTTATGCTCCTCCTAATATTCCTATTTGGATCTTAGATAACGTATGGCCACCCATTTCTCTTAGAAAACTTGCCTCCAACAGACTCTGCTCCTCTGGCTGACTACCTGTCTTCTCAGGGAACTTCTCAGAGAGCATGCAAACCAGATCCTGCCCCACCCTATAACAATTTCTGTTAAAACAGGGCATCTTGTTCTCCAAAAAGGATCTTCTACCCTCTCTATTGGGACTTCGATGGACCAGCTCTCATCTGGTCATTCTCATGACACCCACTGCTGTCAAGCTCAATGGGTCCCCCAATGGCCGCACTGCTCAAGAAACAATTAGAAAAATGGAGAAGGGAGTTGGAGGACTCTTGAAATTGTCTAGGGAACAACATTTCACAGTGGTTCTCCTGGCCAATGCCCATCCTGATGCCTATGTTCTTGCTCTCCTATTCTTAAGGTTCCTCCCTTGTATCACACTACATGTCTCTATTGCTAATCAAAACTTTAACCAGTTGTACCTCCAGGGATACCAACGTCTCTAACGCGAGGATAGTTGGCTGACACCCACCATGCGGAGGCGGAGGATTGGCTCGAGACTCTTTATGACCTGTGGCTGCAAGGGACCTTCATCAACTTCAGGGAAGAGGAAATCTTCATTTTCGGAGCCTGGGTGTACGCCATCATGAGGGTCAGCACCCCAACACTGTTTGCCAACTGACCCTCCCTTCCCCTACACCGCCCCTTGCCAGCTCGAAGAAGCCAGAGCGAACACAACGCCCCCCTTCCTTAACAAACAAAAAAGGGAGGAATGTTGGCAATAACGGTGCCGATAGGTTTTTGTTCTTACTGCACCCTTAAGCTTCTGTTTCCCAGGGTTACGGTCCTGCCTCAAGTCTAGCCTGAATCCTCCTTCTGCCCCAACCTCCAATCAGCATGAACCATAAGATCCTAACGAGTCTCACTAAGGGGTATTTAAGCCCCTGCCCTTCTCTCTCTCTCTCTCTCTCTCTCTCTCTCTCTCTCTCTCTCGGCTCTCTCCCTTTCCCACCCAGCAATAAAGAATCTCTTGGCCAGATCACTCCTCTCCGTGTGGTCACTTTGGGGCCTACAATATATATTTTTTTGCTTTGTATTGCTGCCACTGAGCTACACCCCAGCACCGGGGGAAAGTCTTAACTGCAGTGACTGTGGGGTGGTACCAGATGGCTGCTGGAGGGGCAGCAGAGGGGCCTGGCCTGGTCAGAGAACTAATCAGGAAGCCAAGCCCTTCCAACAAGCTGCACAATCCTGGCCACATCTGTCAGCTAGCTCACATCCTGAACCTTGGGTGTTTGAACTGTGCTGTGCTGCAGGGTCTCTGAGTGAGACCCAAGGGCACTGTTCTAAGGGGAAACACCTCAGTTCTAAAAACACCCCCTTTCTGAGGATGGGCCGAGCTCTGCCCTTTTGAGGGTGTTGTGAGAAATTTTGGAATTACCAAAAACAATTATAAGATCTTTGAAAAAGGGAACTGTGCTTTTCTATCAGAATCACCATCCAGGCACTAAGTTTCCCAACCCGGGAATAAAACTATTTCAGGCCCAGTAGAAACCAGTGAGAAACAGACACAGCACTCATCACCTTACCCTTTTCATCAGGGCAGACTTGGAATTCCGGACTTCGGAGCCTTTGCAGGAAAAGGGCTCTTTTCTTGGTTTCTTGACTACTGAAGAATGGAGGAAGAGAATCAGAAAAGAGGAACCATAGGCCGTGGCTGCTGCTAGTGATAATTATAACTGGGACTCGTGGTTGGACCTGAGCTGCCAGATGACACGCATGCTGCTGGCCTCACTAGATCCCAACTGTGTCACTGACTCACGAGGGTCCCCTCCCTGTCTGCTTAGAGCGAGAACCGCACGCCTTTATGTACGTGGTTGTGCTCCCCAGGCCTGTTTCCTCAGCTAGGAAATATGTTTAATGGCACTTACCTCCCAAGTGGAGCATTATGAAGGTTTGGAAGTGTCACATAGTAGGTGTTCCCTGCATGGTCCTGTCCCTCCCTCCTTCCTAGCCCAACATCAGGAAGTCAGATTTAAGACTCTTTCAGAAGAGGACAAAAATATATACTCATCTAGAAGCCTGGAATCTTAACTCTATTGCACTTCGAAAACTAAAAAAAAATCAAGGCTGGGGGTGCAGCTCAGGGGTTGGAGCACTTACTCAGCATGTGCAAGGCCCTGGTTCCGTCCCCAGCACCACGAAACATAAAAACAAAACAAACCAAAACAAAAAACTAAAAAAAAAATCAAAACTAAACAATTCAAACCCCACAAGAGCACCAAGGGCAGGGTGGGGGAGGAAGGTGGCCCAAACAAGGTATACACATGTGAGTAAATGTAAAAACGATTAAAAATGAAAGAAAGAACAAAATCACAGCTATGAGCAAGGGTTTTTGCCTCTGTCTGCTGGGCCGCTGCGACTTTTCTCTTTTAAAGCACTCTTCTCCAATTCATATTTCTCAATTGCCTTTAAAAACCAGAAGAAACAAAATGGGACATTAGGGACTGACGCAGATCCTGAGGGAGGGTGGGGGGCAGGAACCAGGCCTTTCTCCTCATTGGTGCCTAAGAGGCCTGAAGCAAAGTCTGTGGCCAGTACCTCCTCTCTTCCCCTAGGTGGTAGGCACTATGGTCATCGGTGTCACTGATACACTCCAAGCGTCACCAATACATCTCCCACACCCATGCCCTCCAAGGAGTACAGGATTTGGAACAGGGTTCTGATCATAGCCCCACCTGTTATAAGCCATAGTTTAATCTTTCTGTAAAAGAGGGTAACTATTACCTACCTTCCAGGGCCCCTACAATGGTCAGAGAGAAAATGTTTGGTGAATTTAAAAACACTAGCACAGGGGTTTTCAGATAGGGCTGCACCCTACAGTTAAGTATTATCAAGCAGCACACCCATGACCTCTCAAGAAAGTTCTCCCTGACTCCACATACACACACTTAAGAGAAAGAAAGGAAAGTGACTTATCAGGACCCTTGCACTGTACTGATTATCAATTGAGAGCCAGCACAGTGCTTGGATGAGAGAGCTATCTATAAGCCAGGTGCTGGATGCCACCTCCCAAGGCAGAATGGAGGCTGGAGAAATCAGTCTGGTTGTAGTGCTGAGTCAGGAGAAGTGGCACCACTTTGAGTGGTGGCTCAAAGAGGGTAGACATGGGTTCTGGTGGCAGCAAGCAGTTAGGACCAAAAGATCTGAGCAGCTTCCTGGGCAGAGGAGCAGGAAGGACAAGCAAGGGATCCCATCCCTTCCTCATGGTCACATGGAGACTCAAGGCTGCTCCTGACAGCCCTGTCCTGGTTCCAACCAGCAACCAAGGCCACTCAAGGAGCAGTGTCAAAGCTGAGCAGGCTCCCACCATATTCTGTTTGGGGAGGATTATTCATTCTTTCTCCTGGTTTTAAAAGTTATTATTAAAAAACAACAGAAAGGACATATACATTACATCATTTAAAAATATCCAGATATTATAAAAGCAATATAATATGATATGATATGATATATGGAGTAAAAAAAAGTTTTACATCCCCCCCCCACTTTCCAGAGCAGACCCTGTAGACTCTCCAGACTTCTTTTCTGTGCATTTACACAGAGAATGTTCCTCTTGTGAGCCAGGTGCTCTTCTAAGCCCTGAGCTAAGGGTGTGCATGAGTTTAAACTCATGACTCCTGTGACAACCATATAAGGCAGATGTATTATTGTCATACCTGCCAGGAATTTGAAAGTTAAATCATTTACCTAGTGTAGAGCAGGAAGTTAAGCTCTGACAGTCCTATTCGAGAACCTGCGTATCAATTGCTGCCCCCTCTCTCACAAATAAATGACCACACAGGCAGACAGAGCACCCTATGTGGAATCATTCCAAATTGACTGCGTGTGTTGCTTTTTTTTTTTTTTTTTGGTGGAACTGGAGTTTGAATTCAGGGCTTTAATCTTGCAAAGCATACACTCTACTGCTTGAGTCACACTTCCAGTCCATTTTGCTCTGGTTATTTTGGAAATGGGATCTCTCCAACTATTTGCCTGGGCTGGCCTCAAACTGCAATCCTCCTTATCTCAGCCTATAGGATTACAGGTGTGAGCCACTGGTGCCTTTTAGTCACAATTTGATTCTAAGCTCTCAATGGTGGGGTAGTGATCTAACAGTCTCCCTACTGCACAAGTAAAGAATAGTTTCCCTCATGTGAAAAACAATTTGACCATATGTATCGAAATTTAATCTTTCTTGTAGGGTTCTATCCTGAAGAAACACTTACAAATGAGCCCTAAGATACATGCACAGACATAGTCATATGTTCACTGAGGTCAAAATGTTGCTGAGATCTTTATCATCAGGAGACAAATAAATTATGCTACATGCAACCTATAGAATGTCAATAGTACTGGCTGAAAATTTTCCAAGAGGAATTTATGCTAAAAATAAATAAATAAATAAATAAATAAATAAGAGAAAACAAAAGCAGGTTTCAAAATAATATTTATGGTTGATTCTGCTTGTATTTAAAAAAGAGAAAAAATAATAAACCAAAGGATGTGATACCTATGAAAATAATGACCTAAAAAGTTCTGGAAGGATACTTGCCATAGGATCAGCAATGTTTCTTCTAGGGAAGTAAATGGGTATGGGGAAGATGGCTTTCACTTCCATGTATATATTTGTAGATGGTTTGAGTATTTGAGTACAAGCATGTATTACCTTGCTATTTAAAAAAAAATTTAATATAACAAAAAGATTGATGCAAGAGCAGAATAACTCCAAAAGTCAGTACTAGAAAAGCTTGGTTGAGGAAGCTAAAAATCGTGGAGGCAAATCATGAGGTCAGGATCCTGGAGGAGAGGCACTTGGTAGAAAGCAAAATGCAGTGCTTCAAAGCCTGAGAGAGTTCAGGTGCAGTGAAATGGCAGGAAGTCAAGGAACTGGGTTAAGGAAGACCAAAAGGCAGGGAAAAGTAATGGGAGAGAAAAGGGGAGGGAGGGGGAGGGGGATGGGGAGGAGAGCCAGGAAAGCATAATGGATCAAACCAAGGGGGACTCACAGAGAAGGTCTCCTCTTGAACCACAGAATTGTACTAGTCACAAAGGGCTTGGTTTATCCAGTCTGAGTCCCTTGCATTGCATTTGAAGACACTGTAACTGGTAACAAAGGAGTGACACAGGACAAAGGTAAGACCTACATGAATAGTCAGGAGCAGAGGGGACAGTGGTGCACTGGAGCTCATGCTGTGATCAAATGAGCTACTGCTCTTTAACGCCAGTTTATGACTGCTGTATAGAATGGTGTAAAGCCTGCCTGGGTGACTGGTACAAACCGATGAAAACAGGGGAAACCCAGAGTTGGACCCAGACTGCCAGCATGTGACCTCCAGTGATGGAAACCCTGCAGGTTAGAGTGCAAACTTGCCCACAGCACACAGGATCCCCCAAAAGTAAATCTGTATCAACATCTCCTCACAGCTGCCAGGTGTGGAGTGAGGCAAGTGAACTCACCGACTCTCCATGCGGAATGACTTTCCCAATGACATAGTGGATACCGTGAGGCCCTCAGTAGTGATGTGGTCAGTGGATATGACTCTGTTGTTCTGATTTTCAAATGCCCAAACGTCTATTTTGCAAAGACTTTTGGATTTGTGCCTCATATTTCTTAGTGTTTAAAACAAAAACCAAATACACATTTGTGCCAAAGTTAAAGCCAGCCAAAAAGACACAGATGTCTGGTATCACTGTCCTTGCGTCTTGCAGGAGTTGTGCAATATGACTGTGACTCACACAACTGCCTCCTACATCTGTGTATATAAGAATTATCGGAGGGCTTATTTTATATTTTCTATAAAAGTCAATCAAAAGTAACCTTTAGATCACTAGTTTGCAGTTCAGCATGTAAAGAGCTCAGAAGTCACCACTCTGTGCTATCAAGTAGAAAGTGCAACAAACTGAAAAATAAACTCTTCTTAGCCTTTTAGAGAGCCACAGCTATAGAGCAAATTGCTGTATCAAAGCTGGAGGGACAGATAGGCAGACACAGAGAATCACAACTCAAAGAGCAGAAACCCAGCCTCTTCTGGAACTACTAAGAAAATACTCTGTCACTGATGAGTTGCTGGAAAGTCAGTATGGGCAGCTATCAGAGTTAAAAAGTCTGGTGGTCAAAAAAAATTAACTCAAGATGGTTCACAAACCTAAGGTAAATCGCAAAACTATAAAACCCATGGAAGATAGCACAGAAGAAAACCTAGATGACCTGGGGATTGGAAAAGACTTTTTAACTGTGCCACCAAAGGCATAATCCATAGAAGAAGGAATTAATAAACTGGGTTTCATTAAAATGTAATTTTTCTGCTCTCCCAAAGGATATTGTCAAGAAAATGAAGTGACAAGCCTCAAACTGGTATAAAATATTTGCAAAAGACACATCTACAAAAGATTGATATCCAGATAAACAAATGACTCTTTAAACTCAACAATAAGAAAACAAATAATCCAGTTAAAAAAATGGGCCTAAGACCTTAACAGATACCTCACTGAAGAAGACATACAGGTGGCAAATAAGCATACACAAAGGTGTGTCGCATCACAGGCCACTGGAGAAATGCAAACTAAAACAACAAGGGTTAGCACTACACACGTTGTAGAATGGCCAAAAGTCAAACACCAACACCACCAACTGCTGGTGAGGATGTGGAGCAACAGGAACTCTTATCTGTTGCTGGTGGGAAGGCAACACTTGAAGAGAGTTTGGTGATTTTCTTACTAATTGAAACATACTCTTAGTGTATGATTCAATGATTGTGCCCCTTGGTGTTTACCCAAAGGAGCTAAAAATTTACACTGACACAAAACCCCGTACAGGGACGTTTACAGCTGCTTTATTCTTACTTGTCAAAACTTGGAAGCAACCAACATATCCCTGCATAGGGGAGTAAATACATACACTGTGGTCCATCCATACAGTGGAATATTATTGCACCCTACGAAGAACAAACTATCAAGTCATGAAAAGACATGAAAGAACCTTACATCCACATTACTGAGTGAAGGAAGCCAATGTGAAGAAGCTATGTAATGTATGATTCCAACTATTTGATGTTCTGGAAGAGGTAAAATCATGCAGACAGAAAAAAGATCTGAGAAGACCAGGGCATTAGGGAGTAAGGAGAGGTGGACAGGCAGAGTGCAAAGGAGTTTTAAGACAGTGAAACTATTCTGTATGGCAGAATAGGTACATGTCATTATGTCAGGATGTAGTACCTCAGACTCAAAGAATGTACAGCACCAAGAATAATGTAATCCAATGCTTCCTAATGTAAACTATAGTGTAGGGTGACAATGGTGTATCAATGTAGACTTATTGGTCGTAACATTACCCAGGTGTGAAAAGTTGGTGGGGGAGTCTGTGCATGTATGAGGGTGGAGACATAGGAAAGTTGTACTTTTTACTCCATTTTTCTGTGAACTTAAAATTTTTTCTAGGGCTGGAGGTGTGGCTCAAGTGGTAGAGTGCCTGCCTAGCAAGCATGATAACCCTGAGTTCAAATCCCAGTACTGCTAAAACAAAACAAACTTCTCTAAAAATAGTCTATTTTTTTAAAAATTAATTTTGAGACCTCAATTGTGCAAACATGCCTTTAAATAAATGGACAAGACCCCAGGGCACTGCAACCCCTCACGACCCTCAGACCCTTCCTTTGCAGAGGCCTCGCCTCAGCTCGAGCCCCTGTCACTCACCAGGCTGTTAGCCATCATGTTGAATCTCACGTCTACTTCAGCCATCTTTTGGTTTGCCTGGTGCATGGAGCCAACAAGGCATGCTGGGAGGCGAGTCTGCTAAGGAAAGTCTCTTAGGGAGGTGGTTACACAACAGGAGGGGTTCCCCAGGCAGGAGGGTGACCCTGTCAACACTGTCTTTCCACTTATTTCCTATGCAAACATTCACATACTCTATGTTGTTTGAAGTGAGCTGCTTCATGGATTATAAACAAAAGTTGACCATATTGTAAGGCACCTCAGAAGATTGAAAAAAGGAAAAAAAGAACCATCCAGAATGCCACCATCCCAACAACTCTGTTAGAATCTGGGGGATTTCCTTCCAGGGTTTCTTTTTTGGTGGGGGTAGGGGAGGTAGGGGAGAGGTGGGCAGGGTCTTTACCACTTCCCTTGAACTTGCAATTCTCTTGCCTCAACCCTGTAAGTAGCTGGGATTACAGGTGTGCACCATCCAAGCCTGGCTTTCCTGCTATAATTTTTCTTGGGGTTGGGGAATAATACTAGGGGTTAGACTCAGGGCCTCACACTTGCTAGTCTGGGCAGGCACTTTACCTGAGCCATGCCCTCTCCCCTTTTTTTGTTTTAGCTTTTTGTTTAGCAGCTCACGTGTCTGCGTGGGGCTGGCCATGGACCATAATCTTTCTACCTATGCCTCCTAAGTAGCTGGGATTACAGATACCATGACCAGCCTGCTTGCTGAGATGGGGTCTTGCTAACTTTTTGCCCTGTGGCCTAAACTGTGAGCCTTCTTATCGCCACCTCCTGAATAGCTGGACTTTCAAGTTTTTTTTAACATAGATACTTTTTTTTGTATATAATTACAATCTCAGTGGATGCCTGTTTTTACCTCCCTGACTTTTCTTCCACTATTTGAGAATTTTCCATATAGCTAAATGATCTTCCTTATAATTATTTTCAATGACATAATACTAATCCATTTACAATATGCATATTAAAAAATACTAACTGTTCCTTGGCTATTGATATTTTAGCTCTAACTTTTTGAAAATATAAATAATGCTGTGATACACGTGGTTGAGCAGAGGACCGTTTCAAATTTTGGAATATTTCTTTAAGAGAGATTTTCACATAAGGGATGACTGAGTCAAAGGGTATCTTGACATGGTTTATCTCTGCTGAAATCTGTTCAATTGTACAGTTATCCTCTCAACCTTAGCTTTTATTTTCTGTCATAGCCTGAACTGGACAGAATAGGATATGCTAGGACATAGCCTTTGTCTAAACCCCGTAATCCTGTCCCTCCTGATCCTCCCACCTAAGACAGAGCTCACCCTCACTTCCATTACCCTTGAGTGTTCTTACCAATCAAAGAACACTTGAAAAGTGAAGATGCCAAGCAGGGACATGACAAATCACAGAAAGGAAAATAGATTATTTGATTGAGAGGAGGGTGGATTAAGAAGAAAGAGGGGGCATTAGAAAAATGCCCAGCAAAGTGAGACCCCAAAGCAGATTCAGATGGGCTCACACCTTGCTGCGCCTGAAGAAGGGTTTTTTGAAGAGGTGTGGAAGGTAAGAGTGCTACATATAATTTGTCTGGTGGCAGCTGGCTTGAAGGTATATGACAGAGAGCCCAGGATTGATTCATAACGGAGCATGGTATTTGATGGATGGGCTCTAACCTTCCAGAGACGGGCTTCTTCAATGCTGGAACACAATTCAGAAGTGAGAGGAGGATCAATGAAGACAGGACCAAGGATGGCAGATGGTGGCAGAACCTGGATCATGGGAGAGGGGCAAACACCGGGCTTAGGCAGAAGGCTGACTGGTGAGGAGAGGTGAGGCCAACCAGAGTGAAAAACGAGAAAGCTGGGTTGTAAGCTTGTTTTTCTGGGGACAGAGGGCAGGCCTGTGACTTCCTAGCTGCTATCTGTCGAAACTATAACCTCAATTCTTTGGAAGGTAGAAGGAAAGAGAAGATAATGAAAATGAACTTTTTGCCTCTTTCTTCCCATTCTTCCAAAAAATACATCCAGAATGTCTTCCCTCCCAGCTCTTTCTAATTATATTAGTTTAAGAAAAAAAACTCCAGTGAAACAATCCTTCACAGCCTCATTCTTCTAGAGAATAGGTAGGTAGGGCTGAAGTACTTGGGAAAAATTCATGAGTGTATGTAAGTCATGCGTATCGTGTACGCATATCATGGATGTAAGTACTAAGTACACCTCGTGACTCATCAGGTGTGTCTGCTCTGATTACAGCGCCGCCACCAGAAGGATACAGGGTGGATGGTCCTGTAAATTCTTCCTCAGGGTGCTCTCCATAGCCTGCCGTGCACTGAGTGAGAGTGACAGGTGCTCATCTATTGGGATCATTGGAAAGGTGGTGACATTGATAACGTCCATCTTCTTGACATGCTCCATTATCCAAAATTCCTTAGAAACTGGCAAGCAAAAAGTTTCCACATCTAACAGACGCTGTTTTCCCACGCCAATCTTGTTTTTTGTTCAATCGGCCTCCTGGAAGTCACAAATAGCACAAAGCCATCTTAGAAAACACAATAGGGAAGGACAAACACGCCCCCTTGCTAAGCAGGGCTGATGGCATGGCATCCAAGAAAGGCTTTTGTTTATCAGGGCTGGCTTTGAACCACGATCCTCCTGCTCTCTGCCTCCCGAGTGGCTAGGATTTACAGGCGTGAGCTGCCAGCGCTCTGCTGTGAAGCCCATTCTTAATGGAGGCTCTCTAGGCTTATACACCTGTTCTTTTAACCTGCTGATGCCCACCCCTTCCTCTACCCATGATAGAACCCAGTCTAGTTTTAAAAAGAAAGACTAGAGAACTAAAAAGCCCAAGGGCTCCAGACCACTCAGCAAGTCAGTTTCCAAAGTGAAATGAAACCAAATCTCTCGGCCTCACAGAACCTCAACTGCAAAAGCAGATTTGGAGTAGGCAACTCCAAGACCCTTTCCAGCTCTCAGACGTTGTGATTCCAGGACACTGGGTCCACTTCCTCAGCATGAGACCCCAGATCTACCTGGGCCTTTCTGCTTCCTCTCAGGAAAACTGGACCGATCACCTCTCTTCCTCCCTCGCTCTGGAATTCTCTGGCCTGACTGTTCTCCTGTGTTCTGGTTTATTGGCCATTGGTTCATTCCTACCATATGTTGGCCCTCCAGTCCAGACCTAGTTATAATGAAGTCAAAGACTTAGATTAAGACTTAGATTGTGCCCTCAAGCAGCTCATACTTAATAGAATAGGAGGGCAAAAGTCAGGCTTAGTGGAAAAATTAACCCAGGGTCCCTTAAACCACACTCTCCTTCCCTCTCCCCCAGTTCAGTCTTCTGCTCTGTCCTTTTCTCCCCCATCTATGCATCCGAGATGCCTGACCCACTGACCTTCTTCCTGGTCCCTGACCATGCTATGCTGTTCATTTCTCAGTGCTGTGGAACATGCTCTTTCATCTATGGCACTCAGCCCAGGTGCTACATCTTCTGAAACACTCTCGAGTTACTCTAGGCCACCAGTAGCAACCTCCTGTACGAAGCGTAAGGTCTGCTTTCATCCCTTTGTTCCAGCACTTAGAAGACTGAGCTGGAAGCACTTGCTTCCACATGAGGAGAATTATTCTTGAGGCACCAATCACTGACAGAGGAGCGATCTCTCAGTATTTGACCCTAACTTACCACACTTTCTGGTCTAAAGAGGCTACTTATCTCGGGCTATCCTCAGTTAGTTGGATCACAGGCCAGGCTGGCCCAGGCCCAGGTCAGTACTGTTTTCTGCCCTTCTCTTCCTGATCTTTATTCATGCAGGCAAAGGGGGAAAGGGTATGAAGAAGCAGATGCACTTTAGGACTTCTCATTTCCCTCCTACCTACTCCCCAGCACAACTAGAAAAAACGGCAATCTAGAAGCCAGGCTTAGGTGACTGTCAAGAAGCCTCTCGGTTTAGCTTAACATTATTACTCATGCCTCGTGGGAGAACTGAATGGCTTGCTTCTGAAGAGAAATGTTTAAAGTACACGTTCAGTTCCCTGATGCATTTTTCATCCTACCATTTAAGGATAAATATTCTCTGAAAGTTGCTAAGTTTTTATTGCCATTACTTTGGGAGGAGGAGGAGGAAGGAAACTGGCTTCATTGAATAGCAAGCCCTGTGCTATGCACTGCTGGGGCAGATGAGTGGGAGAAAAAGGCTGGGAGCAGCTGAGATTTGAATGCCCTCTGTTTGAAGTTAACATGTTCAAGGCTGGCAGAGTGGCTTAAGTGGTAAGAACACCTGCCTAGCAAGTGTGAGGTCCTGAGTTCAAACCCCAGAGCCATCAAAAAAAAAAAGAAAGTTAACATATTCTATCTTGTAAAAACCATGTTGACTTTAGAGTTAGACAGACACCTGTACATTTGAACCTTCCTTCATTGACTGTTTATTGAAGACCCCACACTGGCCAGCAGCGTGCTCCTGCTGGGGACAGGATAGTAAGCTATACCAGACTTGACCCCTGTCCTATTGGGGGAGACTTGTAAAATTCAAATATTACATAAATGGTTACAAATTATAATTCATGAAAACAGTTATGTATTAGAATGATGGATTATAACTGAAGTTACTGCTTTGCAGGATTGTAAACAGTGCTATGAGATGACCTACTAGTGTGTTTTGACCTAGTTAAGAGGTCAAGGGACTGAAGGAAGAGCAGAATTGACTCCATAAAGGGGAACAGAGGACGCCAAAACTGGAAAGATGGGAAGAGGCTACATTCGTGCTGCCATCACAGAAGCCACTAGCCACATATGACAACTGAGCCCTTGAGTTTGTGTGACTAAAGAAGGTAAATTTTGGTTTTAACTAATGTAAGTTTTAAAACCACAGCAGCACAAATTTAAAATATTGATTCTACTTGAAGTGTTAACATTATAGACACATGGAGTTAAATAAAAAATTGTTCTGATGAACTTTTGTTTTCACTTTTTAAAATCATAGCTTACTAGAATTTTCACAAATTATGTGGCTGCTTAACGTATCTATTGTAGTCCGTGCTGATTTTGGATCTAGGATGTGAAACTCTCCCTTCTAATGCAGTGCAGTGTACTTGGAGGAGAACTGAGCATGGGGACAGAGACCCCTGGGTCCTGGCCCTCCTCACTGCAAAGGATGATCGGTACACTCACCAGGCAGCCAGTGACCTGGGTTTCTTCATTTACCAATGGAGCTAATAATACATGCTTGTAGGACTTTGGAATATCTGCAGTTTCCAGTTCTCTGCCCCTTGCACACTGGGCGGTCCTTGGGCCTCAGTTTCCCTTATTTGTAGAAGCCAAGGAGCCTGAGGGTGTGTGTGTTGGGGGGGTGAGGGGGAGGGGAGCCTGGTCCGAGCTTGTGCACTGCCGCTAGGGGGGGATCATGGTCTTACCTGGAAGCATCAGCGGAATTCGACCAACTCCAGGCGTGTTCCGCCACCGGTCGGGCTGGGGACCTCGCCAAGTTCTGGACGGACACCGGGCACCCGCAACCCCACATCCACCAGGAAGGGGCGCCCTTTGCTTTATGGCCGGGGCGGGGGGAGGAGGGGAGCGGGGGAAGGTTGAGGCCCATTTTGCTACTGTGAGTCCTGGCGTTGTCCAAGAAACGCCGGGCACAGTCACTACTTTCACTATCGCTCAACAATGGAACTGTGGCAATCTCGGGGAGTAGCAGCCAGACGCCGTTACCAGGGTGACGGCAGCAGTGCCCTTGCGGACCAGATCAATGTGTTTGTGTTGGGGGGATGATTGTAGTTTCCCGTCCTAGTCTATAGCACGAAGAATATAAACGAGTCCAAAAGATGTGTTCTTTTTATTATTTGTCTTATCTACTTAACGTACCGAAGGGAGTCAACAAAAGTTCCTGCGCCTCGCTTGGGCTCGCGTTGGGCCAGTGCACCCCCCTTTTCCTCAGTGGTAGAGTCTGAGGCAGGACTGCGCATGCGCTCGAGGAGCGTTCGCGAGGGACTTAGCAGCCGCGGTTGCGGCGGGTGACGGGGACCCGGTTGGGGTCCTTGCGAGAGGTTTCAGGAGTCGTTTGGACCCGGGGTCTGGGACGCGTCAGGTACGTCTCTGAGCCTGGCGGGCGGCGGAGCCTGGGTTTACCTGAGGCTGATGGGACGCCCGGGTCTCCGTGGAGGAGGAGCCGCCGGGGGCGGGGGGGCCGCCACTTTCTTCCCCTAGGTATTTCCTTGTTTGTGAATTGGGATGGTAATTCCTCCGGATAAACCCGCCGTGGAGGAGATTAAAAGAGGTCGTGCGTGTGAACGTTTGTTCTTAGCCGTCATTTAAGTCTGACAGCTCCTGCGAGATATGTACCTGGCTGGTTCGCAATTCTTTTGGGGAACACGTTTCCCTTTGAGAATTCGATGAAAGCCAAAGATTCCTCCTTTACCTTAGGGTCAGCATCCACATAATGTAATATCTTTTATGGCTTGGTTACCGTGTAAAGCTTTGCGTGATTAGCGTCATCTGTGGATAGAGACACACTTGATCTACTTTCCAGGGTTCTGAGGATCCACGGCTACAACTTCTATACACTAAAGCCCACTTAACAGCCTGTGGGCAGGGTACTATTACAAAAACTTGATTGCAAATTAAAGAAGCTGTGGCCCAAGGAGCTTAAATGCTGGGGTCCCCCTGAGGGTCAGCAGCGAGGGTTGGAAACCAGGTGCTCAGTCTGCTCACTTCCTTGGCTCTCTCCCTTGGAGTCTCACTAGAAAGAACTCTGCCTTTGGCCAAGGGGACAGTATGTATCTGTTTCACACTAATGCCTCAGATCCCCAGTATCTCAAAGCTGTTTACAGATTTTGAGATCTGACTTAGAAGGCATCTGGTCCAGACCCTTTCTTTTCCTCATCTGTTTTTTTGTTGTTTTATTTTGTTTTTTGGCAGTATGGGGATTTGCACTCAGAGCTTTGTCCTGCTAGGCAGCTGCTCTACCACTTGAGCCACATCTCCAGCCCCAGCTTAATGAGAGGATCATGGTTCAAAGTCAGCTTGGGCAAATTGTTCATGAGACCCTATCTCAAAAACACAACCAAGGGCTAGTGTGGCTCAAGCGATAAGAGCGGCTGCCTAGCAAGTGTGAGGCCCTGAGTTCAAACTCTAGTACCACAAAAAAAAAGAAAAATGACAGTGGTGAGACTTTAGCAAGAACACCACAAAAGAAGAATATCCATATATCCCAAGAATATATGAAAAGGTTTTCAATTTAGTTAGCGATTAGGGAAAAACAAACAATGCAATCCTACTACATACCTACCAACATGGATAAAATGAAAAAGAAAGATAATGCCACATATTGACCGGGATCTCTTGTGACTGACCACAAGTTAATGAATCTGTTCTCCTGGGCCTGTGTGCATTGTGGTAAGTTGCAATATGTGACAGCTAGTATATGGTGGAGAGTGCTTTTGTCAGTTCTGCTGTGTTATGGTTCCCTGCTCTCCTTGGAACACCTCGTATACAGGACAGGTAACCAGTCTGATATATGGACTAAGTGAGAGGCACTGTTGTTAGTCTGCGAGTGAAATAAAAGTACAGTTTCATGTCCTTAGAATGGGGTGTTTACTGAAGCTGGTGCCTGCTGTGGTTCTTACCAGCATACAGATATAGAAATGGCATTCCTTGCTCTAGCTTGAAAGTTGGCAAGGCCAACTAGTGACAAACTTGCTCGTGGTTAACATAATGTGGAGCCACACAGACCTGAGTTCAAATACTCAGTCCCCCAAGATCTTAGCTTTACAAATGTCATCTGTCAAATGGGGTGAATAAGGGAAGCTTGTCAGAAGTGGTTGTGGGAGTTGAGTGGGATGCTGAGTGCAAGGTCTTAGGACACTGCTTATCACATGGGAGTATTGACACGGGGGTGCTGTAACCAGGATTGAGAGACCCTCAGTTATGCCCTCCTTCACCATCCTGCTTAAAATGACAACTGCATTCTCAGGGTTATTACCTGGATTGTTAATGGCCACAAAATACAGTATGTTTTCATGATTTGAAAACAATGGCATAAAACCAAGTGTCTGACTTTTTCTGACCCTAGGAGAAGGGAGTTTTGGCCTTTCCTTCTTCAGGCCAGAGATGCCTCTTTTTGGGAATATATTCAGTCCGAAGAAGACACCGCCTCGGAAGTCTGCTTCTCTCTCCAACCTGCAGACTGTGAGTGTGGGGCTGGCATTGCCTGGTGTGCAGCAGCACTGGAGCTCGGCGTTGTTGCAGTAGGGTGTGCTTTTAGTTCATACTACTGCTACTACTAAGAACATTCTTGGGCTCCTGTTTGGGAATTATTGTCAGAGTTTATTGAAGAATAAGACAATCTTGCTATGATTTTTATCTCTAAGCAATACTGCCCAACTTTACTTCTACTTTATTCCCAAGACTTGGCCAGGAGTTAATTTTAATCATGTTTAAATCAAATTTAGCTGAGTGCCTGTGACTTATGCCTGTAATCCTAGCTATTTGGGAGACTGAGATCGGGAGGTCACCATTTGAGGCCCTCTGGGACTCCATCTCCAAAATAACTAGAGCAAAATAGACTGGAGGTTTGTTTTAAGTGTTAGAGCACTTGCTTTGCAAGCATGGAGCTCTGAGTTCAAACCCCAGTCTTACCAGAATAAAGAGTAAGTCAAATCTATTCTCAAAAGATGATGATTTGCTGCTACTGGAGGCCCTCAAAAGAATAATAGAATTTTGCCAGGCACCAGTGGCTCACACCTGTAATCCTAGCTACTCAGGAGGCAAAGATAAGGGAGGGTCGCTGTTCAAAGCCACCCCCAGGCAAATAGTTCACAAGACCCAATCTCGAAAAAATTCATCACAAAAAAGGGATGGTGGAGTAGCTCAAAGTGTAGGCCCTGAGTTCAAACCCCAGTAATGAAAAAAAATATATATGTATATATATAGAGAGAGAGTTTCAAAAGAGATGTTCCAAAAGTGTTTGAAGCAATAGCATTGCAATAACTGATAACTTTCCAAAGCAACATGCTCCCCACTTGAACGTACAAGCTCCAAGTTTAAAAAGTTATAACATAAAGTCAGCCATCTGGAAACCAATTTCCATTCCCAGCTGTGAGATCTCTCTCCTCCTTCCTCAGCACGAATATGCACAGACCTCATATACGCAGTTATCCTCATCCTTTCTACCACAGTCTTCTGAGCATCTGTGACCAAGTACTGGGCTTTCCATCCCCACTGTAATCCTATCTGCCACAGTCCTGTAGCTCTCACACACCAGGAAGCTGCAGATACTGGTTTCTCTCTGTTTTCCAAAGCACCAGTTGTGCAAGTTAGCCAGTTCTTCACAGCAAGGCCGTTAGGGCTGAGGATAGCCCCAGCTTTTGGGTCTTGAGTCCACTGACTTCTGTCCCCAATTAAAATCACAGTGCAGGGCAGCCCCCACTGTAGCGAGAACTGGGTCTTTTGGAATCTCAGTTTCCCATGCCGCAGGCATTGAGCATCTCTTTCTTCCCTCCATGTAGCAAAGATGAAGGTATACCTTGTGGTCTCTCTGGGATATCCCCTGTCCTAATCACTCATAGTATAATAGCAACTTAAATGACATATGTCTCTGACAGTGACTTGAAATCAGCCTTTCCTACAGTGTTTTATATATGCTCAAAGGTACTTGTAAGCTGTGGCAGGGAAAAAAAACCCATGGTGCTCTATATGGTAAGTGGTGGATTTTATAAGCTTCTGGTTGTTACAGGATTATGGTCCCAGATCTTGAGAGTGGCACATAAGGCCCGTCACTGCCTTGCTCCCACTCCCCTTCCTGCCCTTGCCCTTGCCCTCTGCGTACCGTATGCTTTGCTCCTGAAGCCTCACAGGAGCCTCCTTTGTGTGGGTCATGCATCTTGCCTAGTCATTAATTCAAGGGCTATTAATTGATAACTTTCTATGTGCCAGGCACTGGGTATAAAGTGGATTAGGGAGAGAAAAAAGAAATCAAATCTAGCTGGGTGATCCTAGCATTTGGGAGGCTGAGGCACCAGGTAGTGAGTTCAAGGCCAGCTTGGGCTACGTGGGAAGACCCCTGTCTCAAACCAAACAAAAATCAAATCCCTGCATTAATGGAGCAAATATTCTAATGGGGACCGGCACAGGAGGTAAGTAAATTTGTATCAGATAGTGAGTGATAGGTGCTATGGAGAAAAACAAGTATAGGCCTGGATATGGTATGGCGGCAATGGGAAAGGATTTGCCATCTTTTTTTTTTTTTTTTGGGCAGTACTGGGGATTGAACTCAGGGACTCTCACTTGCTAGGCCATCTTAAATAGGATGGTCAAGGTGGTCCTACCTGAGAAAAGGCCATTTGAGCACACACCTGAATGACCCCCTTTGCTTCTTTTTTCTGTGTGGGGGGGCTGGAGATTGAGCCCTGGGCATGTGCATGCCTGGCACGTGTTCTTCCACTGAGCCACAGCCATACCTAGGACCCCCTATTGAGCTGCTCAGCTCTACCTCACCAGTATGGAAGGCCTCCCCAGGGCAGAGCAGTCATTTTCCTCTAACACTTCGTAATTGGTCCTGACTAGGGTGGGTGCTCAGGGAGTTCTAGAAATTAACACAGAAATCAGATCATCACACATTCAAACATCCGCCACTGTGAAGTGGGTATGTAGTTTATGCCTTTTCCATGGTGCATGTATTCCATATTAAGCAAATGGTAATGCAGGCTACATTTAAAAATGATTATTCATTTCATTAAAAATTGACAGTGGGATTCCTTCAACTGGTAAGGTGTCCAGTAGATGCAAAAAAAATCCATCCACGAATTTCTGTATAGTTTTCCTAGAAAACATTTAATGTATAAAGCAGAATGTTTCTTCTCTTATAATTTAAATTTTTTAATATTCTGGCTTTTGAAAAATATATTCTGGTCTTTTAAAAGTTATTAAAGGTGTTAGGTAATAATTAAAGAACAGAAATGGGTTGTTGGAAGTAGTGCATGTTTTCTCATGCAGAATCTAGAATTAGAAAAAAAAGACGAGATTGGAGGGGGAGGTGAATCAAGAAAGTAGTATGGGTGAGTATGATCAAAGTACAGTTATACCATATGAAAATGTAATGGAACCCATTATTTTGTCCATTAATATACACTAATTTAAATAGTTAGAAATAAGCTGTTGGATCTCGAGTTTGTGGAAGAGGAGCTGAAGTAGGCTTGTCTTCCATGGCCTCCTAGAGCCGACACACTGTGTCTTGCCCACAGTTGGATCGTTCTACGAGGGAGGTGGAATTGGGCCTTGACTATGGAAGTCCCACTATGAACTTGGCAGGGCAAAGCCTGAAGTTTGAAAATGGCCAGTGGATAGCAGGTAGGTTGCATTTCCTGCCATTTTGTTAAATGAAATTATACAAGGAAGCCCCACTTTTAACTCCTGCTCCTGTCCCTCCTTTAGAGACAGGGATTAGTGGGGGTGTAGATCGGAGGGAGGCTCAGCGCCTCCGACGGCGGAACCAGCAGTTGGAGGAAGAAAACAATCTTCTGCGGCTGAAAGTGGACATCCTGCTGGACATGGTGAGGAGGTGATGGGGAAGGGATGCCTAGGTTTCCCTCTCCAGGAGGCTCCACCTAAGTCATTTCACCTAACCCATACTTCACAGTGCCGTTTGCCAGGTACACCGCTTTGTATCCAAAGACAAAAGCACCTTCAAGGTCTGAGTGGGGATGTACAGTGCTCATAAGTACAGTGCACGCGGTAAGGGCAGCAGTGAAGAGTCTGCACAGGGTCTGGCATCAGGAGGCAAGACAGAAATGAGTTCTGTCAAGTCAGGGAGAGCGTGGGTGTTTGGGCTGAATGCTGAAGGATAGTGGTGGGAAAGGAGGTGGGATGGAGGCATCCCAGGAAGGGGGAACAGTCTGCTCACGATGTGGAGGTGTCCCATCCAACATAGGCATGAGTCGGTATCTGGCACAGACCTGCTGAGGGCATACACTTATGTCTCAAAATCTAGTGCCCTGCTTGGCCTGGAGGTGCCAAAAGCATGCATTGTAGCAGTTAGAGCAGGCCTCTGCAGCTGAGCGGCCCGGTTGCCTTGCTCAGCTCTCTCCCTGGTAACCACTGTGGGACTGAGTTTCTTCAGCAAGGCAGTAGACATCCTAGGAGTCTGTACCTCGTAGCTGGCAATTTAGGCCAGACACTTGCTTAGAAAATGCAACTCTCATTTCACAGTAGATGAACCACTATTTGAGAGTTGATGTTTCTCTGTATTGTGAGTGTCTTCCATCTTCTACTATAAAGTCCATTAAAAATCCAGATGAGGGCTGGGCATCAGTGGCCCATGTCTGTAATCCTAGCTACTTGGGAGGCTGAGATCAGGAGGCTTGCAGTTTGAGACCAGCCTGGGCAAATAGTTCACAAGACCCTCATGTCCAAAATAACCAGACCACAAAATAGACTGGAGGTGCAGATCAAGTGGTACAGCGCCTGCTTGGCAAGTGGAAAGCCCTGCCTTCAAACCCCAGTCCCTCAAAAAAAAAAAAAAAAATCCAGATGAGGAAAGTCATGTTCTTTTCCAAGCATTTTCCCCCTAACTGCCACTATGTGAGCTACAGCTCAGAAGCGAGGTAAGCTCTGATCATTTAGCCACGGAGTCACCAGTGTCTGTTGTTTCCATTCTCTGAGGCCAGCAGCCCTTCCTGCAGGGCATGCCATGCAATCAGAGATGATCACAATGCTGATAGAATGAATTATGAATATCCTTGGAGTGCTAGTGGTCCTGGGTCATCATCAGGTCACCACTACCTGGTTACCAAGGCTTTCCCATCGCTGAGGCCAGCAGCACTAGAGGAAAGCCAGGGGGAGACCTTGTGAACCTCAGACACACCTGAGGTGTCCTTCTTTGTAACAGCCTGCTGCTTTACTTTCAGCTTTCAGAGACCACTGCGGAATCCCACTTAATGGAGAAGGAACTGGATGAGCTGAAGAGTGTTGGTCGGAGGAGGAAGTGAAGACCCAGAGACATTCATTAGGAGAGTAGGATCATCCCACTGACCAGGGGAGTAGGATGTAGTTGAGCCATTTGTTTTTTTGGCAAACTCATGAATTTGGTCACAGGAGAGAGTATCAACAGGCACTGGCACCTTTGGGTTGGCAATATGGAGGAAACCACGATGCCAGACCAGGGAAGTAGCTGGAAAGACACTCCAGACTCACTGCCTAGGGATGCCAGTCTGCATGCAGACCCCAGGGAAGTGTGGGGAATGGTAAATCTCTGGGTGCTTGCCACACATGTGAGCATACACCTGCATGTGTTTGTCCCAGAGTCACCCTGTTGGACAGATGCTTTCGGGAGCAGCAGCTGGACCCCTTATGCTAGTGTTTGGTGTGTGACATCTGTTCCAAAGAACCCTGTTTTGCAGGCCTGGAATGAGTAGCTGCCTTGATTCTCTGACTCCCCCTCCCCCCAGGCCACTCTCTCCCTGCCTTTAAAGAATACTCATCCCTAAATCCACAGCCTCCTCAGGCTCCAGCTTCACGGCAGCACGCACCAGCCTTCCTCGGCACACCGTAGTTTGGTGTTACTTTCCTGTTTATACTACTATTTTTTTTTTTATTAAATGGTGTTAAATAGTCTCTGTGTGGCCATAATAGCTGAAAAAGATAGCAGAGATAAGAGGATTGCAGTTCAAAACCAGCCTGGGCAATATAGTTCCAGAGACCCTATCTTGAAAATACCCAACACAAAAAAGGGCTGGTGAAGTGGCTCAAGTGGTATAGCACTTGTCTAGCAATCATAAGGCTCTGAGTTCAAACTCTAGTACTGATAGCAGGAAGAGCGAGTTTGCTGATGCTCAGGCCAGTATCTCTGACAACAGTTTATTGGACCATTTCAATTCTCATGACAATTCAAGTTTATCATCTTTTTTTTTTTTTTTTTTGCGGTGCTGGGGTTGAATTTAGGGCCTTCACCTTGAGCCACTCCACCAGCCCTTTTTTGTGAAGGGTTTTTTTGAGATAGGGTCTCATGAACTATTTGCCCAGGCTGGGTTCAAACTGCAATCCTCCTGATCTCTACCTCCCGAGTAGCTAGGATTACAGGCGTGAGCCACCAGTGCCTGGCATTCATCATCTTTTTTTAGATGGGACAAGCTGGAGGAGGTAGGAGCCAGGCCTTAAACCTTGGGAATCATGTGAGGTGCCTTTGCTTGGGGCACAGATGTGGATCCCTCCTCCGCCACCACCAACACTGTTGGCATGTTGGAGGGTGGGGCCAGTGACCCTAACCCTCCTGTGGGATGTGGGCCAGTTCTGCAGTGGAGAAGGACTTGCACTGAGGGAGCAGAAGGTCGTGATCCCTCTGGTAGTGTGTGGTGAGAACAGGCTGAAGGGCCAGGCTGGGAATAGCAAGGCAAGCCAGCAGTAGGCAGTGTAGATATGTCTTGCGGGTGGAGCCCACAATTCTTTATTGATGGGGTTGATGTGTGAGCTGAGTTGGATGTCGGATTGGTCTGTTAACGAAGGTATCTAAGGAAAGAGAAAACCATCCCTGTCCATCACACTAAGCCTGGTTTTTGGTTTTCGTTTTGGTTTTTTTCTTTTGAGAGACTATATACTTCCAAGATCTTTTCAGTCAAGTAGAGCCTTCAAATTCTGGCTAAAATTCTCCTTCAAAGCCTTTCTTAACTAAATCTAGCTTTTTCTAGGGAACTCATGTAAATAGTGCTGGCTCCTTGACATCCTGTAATCACGACAACTCTGGGGAGCTTTGTGCTGAGTTGGATTAGGAAAGGACCAGGGTGCTGAAATAGAAAGTTCTGTGGGTGTGAGGGAGCAAGTGCCGCATCACAGGCAATCAGAGGAAAGTGTGTAGTTTGAGTCCTCACACGGGGATTCACATGCACAATGTGCAGGTATAGCCTAATTTTTATGGGACCCATACCACCCCACTTCACAATTAAGAACTAGAGCACTCACAGGTTCAAATTTCCAGTAGGACACAAACAGGAAAGGTAGAAATCCTGGGCTTGAGAGAAGGAGAATGGGGGAGCTAGGAGCCCAGATTCTAGGATACTACTCCCCCACCCAAATGGCAGCGTCACCTTGGCTCCAGCAGGGGCATCACCACTCACTTGCTGGCATCCTTATTTGTCCCTTTGGTCTACTGAAGTGGCCCTGGCTTTTCTGCTGAGCATTTCTACTTGAAGCCTTTAGCAGTTTCACACTCCTCTGGTCTTCCTTCCCGTCCTTGGCCTGTCAATGTTCCATGCCACAGAGCTCTGTCCCCTGCCTTCTGCTCTGCCATCTCTCTATCATCTCATCTGCATTTCATGATTCCCATGTTTTCTTATCCCTGAGCAATTTTATAATTATCAAAAAAGCTATTTTAGCCTTAAACATAATACAAACAAAATTGATTTTTCCTGAAACTTCTTCATATTAGCATTGTGAATTACTTTCCACTGGGAGTCATCAGGGTTCTGTGACTGTAGCCTCTGTAGAGAGGCTGTCCTCTACCTTCAACAGTGTGGTCTTACCGCATTTCTTGAAGAACCCATAAAGTAGTCCTAGCACTTGTGAGGTGAAGGCAGGAGGATTGTGAGTTTGAAGCCAGCCTGAGCTACATAGTGAGACCCTATCTTAAATAAAAAAGTAAATGCTACTAGTACTAGGCTCTTAAGCTGCCATTGACTATGTAGAACTGATCCTGTTTCTTAAAAATAAACTTCTTAGTAATTTGGCATTTCCTCAAAATGTCATATCACCCAAACTCCATTTCTAGGTTGGAAAGCGTTATGTCCACACAAAAGCCTGCACAGAAAAGCTCCTGGCACCATCTTTCACAGTCACCAAAGAGTGAGGGTGGGAGGAGCAGATGTGACTACTAGTAGGCATAAGATTTTCTTTCTGGGTGACATATCATGTTCTAAAATTATCTTGTGCTAATGGTCGCACAATGAAAAAATTAGCAAAAATCTACAAGATCATACACTTTAAAAGGTCAGATTTTATGATATGTGAATTATATGCCAATAAAGTTGTTATTTAAAAATAGACTGCAAGGAAAAGTATCACCAGAAATGAAGAGAGACATTTAATAACAATAAAAGACAAGTCACACAGAGGACATAACTAAGTCATCTATGCATCTAATGACAGGGCCTCGACATGATGAAGTAAAATTTGAGAGCATTAAACACACAGCAAGGCAACTCCACACACACACACATACACAGAGTAAGGAATTCTAATAACCCTTTCTCAAATTGATAGAACAACTAGACCTACAATAAAGATCGTCAAATAAATTTTAATGCAGAAGTGTACAACTTGAATTCCCCAAAATAAACTCCCATGTACCCACCACCCAGGTCAAGAAAGAGAACCTTCCCAGCATCGCAGAAGCTGCACTCCTGCCCCTATCCAAATATTACCCCCTCCTCAGAAGACATCACTATCCTGCCTTCTCACCATTGAGACATGAAAACCTTAGAGTCAAATCTGCCCTGGCCAAAGTCGAAAAGGCCTCCGCCCCGCTAAAGTGCACGCAGAAACACTCACTACCGCATGGTGGTGTCAGGGAGGATCTGAGCTGCCCAATCCCCGGCCTCTGACCCCATGGCCAGTTGGCTATGGGTGTACATTATAAAAAGATTTACATCCACCAGATACAGGCAAAAACTAAGCACCTAATTCCCAGGAGGATGCGGGGGAAGGAGCACTTCCATTCACTCTTGAAGCATACAGTGAAGTTCTTTGGAGAAAAACCTAGCAGGCTAGCAAGCCCACTCCTCCAGAGCTGTCCTCTTAGAAGCTGGCAGGCACCCTGGGGCTGGGGGAGTGGCTCAGGTGGTAGAGCGCCTACCTGAGTTCAAACCCCTGACACCCCGTACTGTGCTTCAATTTCCCCACTTAGAAAATGGCGATGACGAATGTTAATGGGTTACTGTTAAAGACTGAGTACAGATCTCTCTCTCTCTGTCACACACACACTGCCTAGTCCTTCCGTGTTAACTGTTATAGTGCCTCGGGACGGCGTGTACCCGATGCTTTTCCCAAATCACCAAGAACCCTTCGGATCGCTGACCTATTCCTCCCAAAGACCGCACCCATGGACTGGTGTTTTTCAAAGGAGATCCCACCGGGCGCGGTTCAATTGCAGGTTCCTGGGCCCGCCCCTCCCCATTGCATAGCATTCCCACGGAAGCGCCCGGGATCGGGATCGCTCCTTTAACAAGTTCCGGCTGTTTTTCTGTCCGTGAAGTCAGAGCCACCCGGAAAGCCGAGAGACGGCGCTTCCAGGGAGCTGGAGGACCCGCGGGCCGGAGGGGGCCGCTCTCTCCCGGCCCGTGCGTCTCGTTCCCGGAAGGGCAGCTCTGTCCGCGGATGGGCCGCGCTCGTCTGCTCTCTTCCGCTTCCGGTGTCCCCTACAGTCATGGCCGCCGCCGCTGCCGCCAGTGCTGGGGAGCCCCCGTCCCCTGATGAGTTGCTCCCGAAAGGCGATGCCGAGAAGACGGAGGAGGAGCTGGAGGAGGACGACGACGAGGATGTACTAGTGCCCCGTGGGGCGCGGGGCGGGGAGCGGGCCCGCCCGGGGGTGTGGGCTCCGCGTGCTGCGGGATCCGGGCAAAGGCGGCGGAGGCTCCGGGAGGCGGGGTTAGGGACCCCACTGGGCCCGGGTTGCCCTAGCTCCGGGGGGCTCGGGCAGCTCGGCCAGGGGTGGATGCCGCTGCCCCGGCCATGACCGCTCCTCCTCTGCCACAGCTAGATGAGACCCTGTCGGAGAGACTGTGGGGTCTGACGGAGATGTTCCCGGAGAGGGTCCGGTCCGCGGCCGGAGCCACTTTTGATCTCTCCCTCTTTGTGGCTCAAAAAATGTATAGGTAAGGGACAAAGTCAGAACTGGAGGGGGGCGGGTCATGGGGGTGACGGAATGATCACGGGCTCTGGACGCAGCAGACTTGGGTTTGAGTGACCTTGGACTAATTGTATTAACCTTTCCGTTTCTTTTTCTGAAAGTGGAGGTAAGAACCTGGCAGAGTCGTTATAGGGATCGTTACAGGTTATCTGAGATGATTACTCTATAAGCAGTTTTGTGAGAACTCAGGACACTGAACTGCTAGCACTAGATAGTAGGGCGCCCAGGACTGCCCCTCTTGCCTCTGGTGGGAGTATGGCACAAAGAGTGGGTAGAACACGCTTATCGAGAACACTGGAGCGTGCAGGCAGAGGCTTGGCTACTGGTTCCTTCCTGCCTAATTTTCATGTTTGCATCTCTCTGTGCTTACCCTCCCTCTGCAGATTTTCCAGGGCAGCCTTGTGGATTGGGACCACGTCCTTTATGATCCTGGTTCTTCCTGTTGTCTTCGAGACTGAAAAGTTGCAAATGGAACAACAGCAGCAACTGCAGCAGCGGCAGGTAAGCCCAGAATCTGGGCTTTTTGCCAGTAGTGGGGACAAGAGTTACTTATTTCTCCAGCAGGAGGCTGGCAGTATGGGTGGGGTTTGGGATTAGCTTCACTGCTCAGCATTGTTTTTGTAGACAGGTGTGCACTGTCAGGTGTGATGAAACTCTGTATGAAAACGTCGGCAATGTCTTACCCCTCTTTTTCTTTTCCAGATACTTCTAGGGCCTAACACAGGGCTGTCAGGAGGAATGCCAGGAGCTCTACCTTCACTTCCTGGAAAGATCTAGATTGTTACTGCTATATTTGAGCATTTGAGCTGTCTTGGTGGGAGAATTTTGAAATTTGAGTTATGTTGGAACTGCTGGTTTTTTTTTGTTGTTGTTGTTTTTCAACTTTGGCACATTGATCTGTCTAAACCTGGTGGGGAAAATTCTCCAGACCTCATTGTCTCAAGGAGACTCCCAACTTTTAACTATGCCCTCCACACAGCCCTCACTCTGACACCAGAGTGCAGCTATACAGACAGTAATTCCAGCTCAGGCCACCCTACTCTTTTCAGTAAATTGCTCATAACATGAAGATCTCCTCACTATCCCATTGTGGGGTAGAAATCCATGTGAGTGGGAGGAAAGCACCCGTTAACTTTCTTTTTTTTTTTTAAAGAATGGAGATGTCTGGGAGGGACATGCACACAATATAAAACTGACAAAATGTGTTACAGCAGTAGCATAAAGCAGCCATCGGGAATCCCTGTATTGGAGAGGAGGGAGTCTGGCTGCAGCTTCAGCCACAGAAGGGGATGACAGGGACTGTGGAGGACAGAGCAGGAGCTCATTTTGGCTACTGTACCTGTGTGTGTGCGTGCGTGCGTGTGTGTGTAAAAAAAAAAAAAAAGTCAATGCTCACTTTTTGTATTTAAATATTAAAAAATGATTCCAACTCAAACTGTCACCCCTGTGCTTGTGATAAGTACTTCACAATTACTCAGACCATTTTAGAAAACCACAAACAGTCCATGTAGTATTTCTCTTGTCTAGGCCAGCACCTCCATCTTAACACTGATCTATCTCATAGGCCTAAGTTAGTGAAGTTTCCAAAAATGGAAAAGAAAATTCACTTTTGGCCAAGTTCATCCTTATAGCAATCTCTGCCCTAAACTGAAGTAATCACTTTCAGATCCACCAGCAAAGGACTGTGTACTTGCAGTCTGTGGAACCTTTTTGCAACCTTGTTTTTAAATGAGTTCAAATGCAGCCTGGTCTTTGAACTTTGCAGGTTTTTTTTAATAGAAACTGCTCAGCATCAAACGTACTGAGCCTTTTATGTGCAACATTTACCAAAATGCTATGCCATTTAAGAGGCAGTATTAATCCTATCACAGAGGATAAAACAGAAAGGTTAAGTAATTTGCACAAGGCCTCACAGTTAAGTGCTGAACCTGGATGCCAAAGTAACCTCTGAATTAGGGCCCTACTGTGCACTTATAGGGAGTCTGGGCACCAAGTTAAGGTGCAGGATCTTTCACTTGTTAACTAGAGAAAAACAGCCAACAATCAGGGAGGTAAAAAGCTGTACTTAGTGTATGGGTTTTTCAAGTTGTAAAGCATTTTTGTAAATTAAGGTAAACTGAAAAGTGCCTCAGTGGCCCCCTTTTTTTTTTTTGACTTTGAAGACAAGAGTCTATGTAGCCCAGGTTGGCCTTGTGATCTTCCTGCCTCTGTCCCCAGTGCTGAGATGATAGACATGTACCACCATTCCCAGCTCAGGGGCATGTTTTTGAATTTGGATTTTTTTAGGTAAGAAGTTTGATTAGAGCATAATATATCTTTAAAAGGTGACTTATGATAGTAATGAGTTCCCTTTAAAGCAACATCATACTAGTATTTTTCTCTACATAATTACAATAGATCCTTCAGTATCCCATTCTTTCCCTTTTACATAATTACAGTAGACTCTTGGTATCTTATCTATGGGTATGTGGTTCCAAAGACACTGACATTGGAAAATCACAAATGCTCTGGATGCTGGTGGAGTGAGTGGTTCAAGTGGTAGATCACCTGCCTGGCAAATGTGAGGCCCTCAGTTCAAACCCCAGTGCTGACAAATGCTCAGGATGCATAGAGGTCAGTACTGTACTGCGCATGCTTGATTAATTTTTCCCAAAGTGCTGCCCAACTTCTGCTAAAGAAAGGTGCCTTTCAACAAATGCAAGATCTTTGCTTCATTTAAATTAAGCACACTGAGCTGGTGGAGTGGCTCAAGTGGTAGAACACCTGCCTAGCAAGTGTGAGGCCCTGAACCACCAAAAAAATAAGCATATAATGTTCTTTTTGGCTTGGGAAGATTGCCCTAACTTATACCTTGCTTTTGGGAGGCATATTTTTCCAACATGAAGGGCAGGGAAGCAGATTTAAGCACAACCAACAGTAATGGGGGACTGAGTCCATATCAACTGAGCTGTGTAATATGTGCATGGAAATTAAAATTTTGGTTTGAAGTTTCTGAATTTTTTTTAACTACATACTTGGTCAAAACTGCATGTAATAAATCTATGAGTGAGGTGGACTTACTATATAGAACTCAGGCAGACAGAAATGCACATACAGACTTTTCCATTTTTAATATTTGGTTAAACAAAATACATCTTTTGTAAACAAACCCAGCACAAGGCCAACAGAAAAAAAGGGGATAAAAGCAAGAAAACAAAGCCTAGGGTTGCCCCTTTCTGGGCATCAGGGTCAGACCTGCCCCCTTCCTTAAAGGAAGTGGGGCTTTTTGCCCTTGGGCATCAGCATGGGTCCCTGTTCCTAAGCACCAGAATTGGATATGAACAGAGAAACCAGCCCTGAAATGTTTTAGCGTCTTTGCATATCCCATTGGCTCATGGACTCCACGTGCATGGGACGCTGAAGTGCAATTTGCACGGTCCCAAGCAGATTGATGGAGAGAAGCTTCCTCTTCCCAGGAAATGGCTTACTAACACCGATGGTGCCAACAGACCCAAGGTCCTGCTTGTGACAATCAGCAAGGGTGGCTGTAACTTCTGGCTGGTGGTTGTTGGAATGTCATTGTGCAGGAGTGGAGCTCCCTGTGGTGCCAAGCAGGTCTGGGGTAGAAAATGGTGCAGAAGAGACTGCGGCCAGCTGCTGAGAAAGCATAACGAGTAGCCGCGTGGGGCCTTGTTGGATTGAAGATACATGTGCAGAAAAAGTGCTGGTGTAAACATGCACTGCTGTCACAGTGGGGAGAAAGCCCCAGCCTCCCCCCATTAAGCTTGCTCAGGATCAACATGCAAGCCCCAGGCTGGCTCTGCTGCTGGAGCGACGTCTGGCCAGTGGGGCAGGTCTCAGACCTGCCAAGACCTTGCATCTATAAGGGCTGGCCAGGTCACCCCTGCCTGCCCACCTGCCTTGAGGCAACCACAGCCACTCTGGTGACACTTATGGTAGGATACTTATTTTCTCTTTGTGTTTTCCAAAGTTACAGGAGAAAAGTGGCTTACAGGTATTTCAAGAGGTAGGGGGTGGGCCAATCCTCAGCTGATCAGTAAAGGAAACTGCATGAAGACGACAACCCAGGTCCTCTAACAATGTACATCACCACTCACTCGAGGGCTCTGCTCCTTGTCACTACAGTCACAGCCTCCAAATCTAAGACTTACCAGTTCTAGCTGCTCTTAAACTGAGAAGCGTATGTTCACATCACTTTCCTCACTCAACTCTGGCTCAAATTAGCAAAATCTGACATCAAGAGTAGACGTTTTTTTTATTTTTCCAGAGGGGATCAACTGGGAAAATTGTCTCTTTTCCTCGTCTTTTGCCCCAGAGCCTCCTGAATCAATGTAGTGAAATGGTAGGGACAAAACTGGAGTGAAAAAAGCCACCCCAATTGTCCCCATGTGGCCATAGCCACATTCTCTTAGGTATCTATCTTACCTTTATCTTATTAGAATATTGTGGGATTCAAACACCTGGCTTGGAATTTAGAGAACTTTTTACTATAAAACTCCAAAGCTGGCTATAAACCAACCTTAAAAATGGGGGAAGGGATGGTGTTACGGTTGCAGGCGGCACGTGGTGCCACTGCTGGGTTTTGGAGACAGTTTCCTGAGAGAGCTTATGCTCTGGGTCTTTCCAGCCAGTCACTGGGCTCTGCAACCCCTGGTGCCACAGGAGAGGAAAGAGGAAGTAGCCTCTCTGTGAGTCTGGAGCAGCAGTGACAACTCCAGCAGAACTTGTGTCAAGTCCTTATAGAAAGGAGAAAGTCAGCAAGGACCCATCTTGCCTCCCTCTCCTCTCTCTGAAATAGAACAAAGGCTTTTGATGGCTTGCTTGGAATTCCTACCTTCCTTCCCCAGGCACATACAACATTGGGTGGTTCTTGTAACAGTCCACTCATCTGTCCTATTGCACTGGCAAATCTGAAGGGGAAACCCGATGAGATGTTCAGGAAGTGGCCAGAGAGACCCACGTAGAGGCCACAGCACGTCACAGAGGCTGGAGGGCTGAAGCGAGGGGCAGGTTGGGTAGAACTGTGCTACACGTCAGCTCTCCAACTCTGACGGGCTTCCACCTCTTCCGGTACCACCAGTAGGAGTTCACAGTTCTTTCCGCGCAAATGATGTTTTAGAAATTTCCTAAGCAAAAAGGAATAGTGAGAGAAAATGAAATGCTGGTGAGTGGCAAATTCCAGTCTTGGGGCTACATATTCACCAGAACCCTTATCATTTATACCTTCCACAATCCTAAAACATTCTAGTGATGATTGATTTTTGGAGGGTTCCACATTTGGTTACTGCTCTGTCTGTTCAGTTAGTCTCATTTCTGCTCATTCTCATATACTGCTCTAATAGTAGCTTGTTCTGTGATGAACAGAACACAAAGTGGACTGGGCAATGATGGCTCACACCTGTAATCCTAGCTACTAGGGAGGCTAAGATTGGGAATATCAAGGTTTGCAGGATTCCATCTTAACAGAAAAAAACTGTTCACGGTAGCATGGGCATCTGTCATCCCAGCAATGGCAGGAAGTATAAATTAGAGGAAATGAAGTCTAGGCTGGCCTGGGCAAAAAATGAGACCCTGTGTCCAAAAAGGCCAGAGCAAAAAAGGCTGGAGGCGTGGTGCAAGTGGTAGAGCGCCTGCCTAACAAACACGAAGCCCTGAGTTCAAACACCCATACCACCAAAAAAATAACAAAAAATGTAAGTATACACCAAGTCAGACATGGTCGCATATGCCTATAATTCCACCACTTAGGAGTCTGAAGCAGACTAGGCTACATAGTGAAATGCTGGCTCAGAACAAAAAACAATCAAAAAAATATACAAAGTATTCTAATGATTTAAAAAAAAAAAAAACTTCTTTAGACCCAGGGATAGTTAGCCCTCTGTGGCCTGGATGTTTGTCTTCCGTTCTCTGAACTGGCAATAACATGGTTCCAGTTGTCTAAATGAAGAGAACATGACAATGCCAGCCCCAATAGACTAGAAGGCCAATATCCCAGGCTGTGGAACATGCCTAACAAAGGGACAAAAGTCGTGATGAAGGTCAGTCAAGTCTGAGATCCTGTGATTCAAAGGCAGGGAGAGAATCCAAGGACACAGGAGTTTCATTTCCTTTGTCAAATAATCAAATCCTCCAGTGTACCAAATGAGGAAGCTTAGCAGCTTGGCCACACATGGGGGTTACCTGAGCTCACTCTCGCCTCCAATCCACTCAGGCATCTTGAGTTTGGAGTCGAGGTTGTAGTAGGCCCCTCCTACCTCTCGAACACAGATCCAGTGCTGCCTTTTGAGAGGCAATTTGAGTGGACCCCAGCACAGGCTGGAGGGCAGGTTCATGATGAAGCCCATGACATTAGTGAGGGCAATGATACCGACATCTCTGCAGAAGAGAAATGGGGTCAGGCTCTGAGGCAGCCAACCTTCAAGGGTCCCCCCCCCACCCCGACCCTGTCCAACACACACACACACACACACACACACACACACAGAAAGAGAGAGAGAGAGAGAGAGAGAGAGAGAGAGAGAGAGAGGCACCCACAGCTTGCACAGTGACCTGCTGTTCCCCATCAAGTCAAGCCTGGTTCTTGTTACCTGCGCTTGTCCCACCAAACAGCTTCATAGCCTTTGGTTTGAAGTGCTGCCATAATGACATTCACATCGTAGTTCCCATTTCCCAGCATGCTCTTCTTGTGGGGTGTCACCATGGTGTTTGGAGACAACCTACAAATGTGAAAAGGGGAGGGAGGGCTGAGACTTGCTAGTCTGCTTGACCTCTCCAGCCCAGAGAGTACTTCATACCACTTGCCTGGAAACTGGCTTCCCCGACTAAGTATAGTTCTATCAGTTTCTAAGTATTCTGTTCTCTGGGTCCCAGCTGCCCTAGGGATTACATTTTTTTTTTTTTTTGGCAGTACTGGGGGTTGAACTCGGGGCCTATACATTGAGTCACTCCACCAGCCCCTTTTATGATGGCCTTTTTCAAGATAGGGTCCCAAAAGGATTATAGGCATGAGTCACCAGCATTAGTTTCTTTTTCTTTTTCTTTTTTTTTTTTGGCAGCACTGGGGTTTAAACTCAGGGCCTCACACTTGCTAGGCAGGTGCTCTTATTGCTTGAGCCACTCCACCAGCTCGGGATTACCTCTTTTTACAGGGAACAATGATTTAGGAGGGGTGGAATCCACCTGCCTCCTTTTAGAAAGTTTGAGTACAGTAAAGTGAATGGACATAAAGAATGTTCTAATTCATGAAATCCCCAGCCTGCTGTGGCCTTTCCTCCTGCCTTGATAGAAGCCTTGTTTGTTTGCAGTACTGGGGTTTGAACTCAGGGCCTCTTGCTGGGCAGGCGCTCTACCACTTGAGCCACTTCAACTAACCCTTTTTTGTGTTGGGTATTTTTGAGATAGGGTCTCTCAAACTATTTGACTGGGCTGCCCTTCAAACCTCAATCATCCTGATCTCTGCCTCCCAAGTAGCTAGGATTACAGGTGTGAGCCACCGACACCTGGTAAGCCTTTTTGTTTTTAACATTGGAAGACAGTATATGATGCTTTCACTTACACGGGTAGTAACTGTTGCCACTCCTGGTTTTTATAGTTTAAATGCTTTCCATTTAAGGCTTGCACATTGGTAGTCATTAAGTACTCAAAAGCATATAATGAACCAGGCAGGCAACACAAATGCATGAACTGGGGTGAGAAGCAAGGCAATAAAAACTAGTAGTAAGGCCTGTGTTAAACTGGGATGCAGAACTAGCTAAAGGCATTCCAAACATGTATGTGTGTAGTACGTGAAAAAAAATTTGAAAAAACATGAAAACAGCTTGGTCTGGTGTGCATGCCCGCAATCCCAGCACTCAGTAGACTGAGAGAGGAGGATTTCTAGGTTGAGGTCAGCCCAGATGACAAAGTGAAACTCTGTCTCAAAAAAAACCCACAATAATTGAAACAAAACAAAACAACAACAACAAAAAGCAAATTTTGTGTCAGACAAACAAAACTCAGTTGCAGCCCTGGGTAGCCCACCAGTTTTCAACCACTTTCTGCAGGTCTCTTTGGCAATTCCATTTTCAAGCAAAGCCTATGCTGATGGCATTTCCAATCCTACTATTTCACTAGCATAGGTTTCTTAAGCCAGGAGATAAGGATGTCTTGAAGGGTGGGTTAGCATGTTGTTGGCCTTCCAGGGAAGGGAGGATAAGAAATGTGGCAAGTTCCTCAGACAAAAGGAGGGCAGGTGTCCAGGAGGCTGCAAAGTGCCATCTCCAGAGGGAATCCAGACTTTAGGCCAAGGATGTCAAGTCTAAAAATGTTTTATAAAACTTCTCTCAGGCTGGAGGTGTGGCTCAAACATAAAGCTCTGAGTTCAAACCCTCAATACCATCAAAAAACAAAACAAAAAAACCACTTCATACATAGCAACAATACAGATATATATACATATATTTTGGTGGGACTGGGGTTTGAACTAAGGACTCTGCATTTGCAAAGCAGGTGCTCCACCACTTGAACCACACCTCAAGTCCATTTTGGTCTGGTTATTTTGGTGATGGGAGGGGGGGGTGTCTCTTGAACTATTTGCTCAGGCTGGTCTTGAACCACATTCCTCCTGATCTCAGCCTCCCAAGTGATTAGGATTACAGGCATGAGCCACGAGGCACCTGGCTCTGTTCTTTTTTTTAAAGACAGTGCTAGGGCCTCATGCATGTCACACAAGTGCTCTACCACTGAGCCATATCACCAACCAGCCACATATTGGTATTTCAAACATAAAACACTAACTCTTATCATTCCTAAAACCATCCAATCTGCCCAAAGCACTTAAATGCAATGTAAACTACTTCACTTGCTGACCTCCTCTATCACCTCTGCAAGGTACCCCTCTTCCTTCTTTCTGTTCCTTGAATACTCAAGGCTCTTTCTCGCTTTGCACTTTCTTGCTGTTTGCTGTAAGGAATGTTCTTCCCATCAGTAGTTACCTGCTTTACTACTTACTCATTATTTAGGTCTCATGTTACTGTGATACACAGGCCTTTTTTGACCACCAAACCTCAAGTTTTTCTCAGTCATTTCCTCATATATCCACCTTTATTAATGCTGTTCATGTTTTCTCATCTGTTTTTCCACACTAGCAGGCCAGCAGTGGCCTTGTCCACTCAACACTATATTGCTGGGGACTAAAGGGAGCCTGGCACATGACAAACAGATGCTCAAACAATGTTTGTTGGAATCCTCTCTATATTTATTTTTATTATATCTCTTCCTCTAGAAATATCAGTTTTCTTAAAAGTAAGATAAGGCTTAGCTACCTATAGCCACAGCAGATGGAAGAATCCAACAGGGTTCTACCCCTTATTGAAAAATCAGTGCTAAGCACTATAATAGATGCTTTAATGTGTGTGCATTTAATCCTCACAACAAACATGTGAGGGTATAAATGATTTCTACTTCACAAGTCAAAACCCGAGGTTTAGCTGACTTGTCTATAAGCACTTACCAATGACAGAACGAGGATTCAAATTTGGATTCATGTGATACTGAAGTCATGCTGCTGTCTTATAGCAGGGACCCAAGAGTCACAGTGGGAGCTTGCTATGAGAAGAAGGCCAGCTGAGTCCATGAGGACTGAGGTTAAAACACAGCTTCACAGGACAAATGCTCTCTTCCCCACTGCCACTGTGAGAAAGCAGTTTTCTCTGAAGGCTCAACTCAAGCTCTAGCAGGTTCTGTCCCTCAACCCACTCTTCAGTAGCCTCTCATTCCTTTCCGTGAAGTCTCTGACCAGTACATGAAAGAAGTCTCCCTCACGGACAGTGCTGAGTCTTCTACCTCCCCCTATCTACCTCACATGTTGAAGCAATGCTCCTGGTTCTATGCTCCTTATCGGGAGACTTGGAGTTAAGCAAGTAGACTGGTTTCCTATAGGTATTGTGGGAGTCCCTAATATGTATTCTTCATCTTTAGCCTCCAGGAAGGGGGGGTTACATAATACACTTCAGTTTCCAAACACAATCCACCATACAAACATTTGCTCTTAAGGACTGGTGTTCCAAGGATCTCTGTTCCCTGGCCTTCATCTCATATCTCAGATTCAAATCCTGTCCTGTTTCCTTCTACTACCTTTCCCCTAACTGGAGGTCCCTCACCTCACACCTGGACACCAGTTCTTAAACTTCTTCTTCCTTGCTTCCAAACTCTCCTGACATTCAGCCTGAATGTTCCTGCCATGTTCACCAAGGCATCATTTCAATCACTTCTACAAAAAACAACAACAAAAAACTGGACAGTAGAGCTAACTGCCTGATTAGCTACCTCTGAATCCCCCAGCTCTGCTCAGCCCACCACTGCTCTCTCATGGGGCTTAGCACACTTCAAGCCCCACAACCATGTGGCCTCTTTTATACTTCTTCTGGCTCCAAGCCAAATTCCACAGCCTCTTCAAGCTCCACCTCACATTTTATCTCTTCCATGGTATGTTTCCTGACTCCTCTCTGAAAAAGGAGGGAGCCTGGGAGGTCCATACATACATCTGAATTCACATCCAAGCTCCATCAATACTAACTGTGACACTGAATCCTCAGGTCAGCTTCTTTATCTGTAAAAATAGGCAAGATCTCTACTTTTGAAGAACACTGAAGAACCCACTTTACATACATCCAACAGCAAATCCATGAAGCTCTTTTACTGTTATCCCTCAGCTAGACATTGGCAATTGAGTGAATAAACACGCTGTCCAAACCAATCAATACAGGAAATACTGAGAACAGTTCCCATGCCATTCTAGAGGGTGGTGACCACAACTTAAGTACTTGCTTTTACTTTAACAGTAATCAAATGCCCAGTGGGTTTGCTGCTTCCAAGGGTTTTATCCTTCAATTCTTCCAACAATTTGAGACAAAGTAAATAAGGAAGCTGAAGTGCAAAGGTTACAGTAATTTGCAGTTATGCACAGCTAGTGACAGACCCAGGATTCAACCTCTAAATGTGAGTCAATACTAAACTGTTCTCTGGATATTTTGCTACACTGGTCCAACTGCACTCCATGGGATCCTACTGATTCCAATGGAAAGTTTTCTTGAGACTCCTTGGCAAATTCCTATTCAGAACTGTCTTACTGATTTCCACAGAAATTCCTCAAAGTCAGAGGTTGGAGCTGGGAGATCTTAAGAGATCCAAGATGGGATGTATCCAGGCCTCCACTAATGTCCACACCCTCAGGTAAGTCCCTGGTCCTCTCCCATGGTTACTACTGTGCCTGGCTATGGTGATGATTTTGGATTTTAATTAAAAGGGAGATGGAGATTCTTTTTCTCCTTTAATTCTCTATTTTCTTTTACCAGGTTTAAGGAAATGAGACATTACAAAATACAGCCTAAAATTTCCTGATGTTTCTAAATAAAACACAGATTATAGTGTCAATCACAGAAGTATTCCATACGTGTTATTATTAATAATGAGTTTGTTTAGCCCCTGGATGAACTATCCAAATCCCTAGGAGTTAATACGCAGCAGCTTTTTTCATTTGTAGTCACCACACTTTTAAATGTGGCTCCCTTTCAGGGACCTTATGGAGAAGCTGGAGTACTTAGCCTTTGTTGTACAGAATGCTGGTTGTTCACCAGCATCCCTAATCTCTGTTCCTTCCAACTTTCATTACTGTTTTCCACACACCCATACTAAGCTAGTTTTCATTTAGTCAGATTTGGGGGGAGGGGGAGTTGTGGGGGTACTGAGGATTGAACTGAGGGTTTTGAGCTCTACTACTTGAGTCACATCCCCAGCCTTTTCTTTTTTTTGTGGCACTGTGGCTTGAACTCAAGGCTCACACTTGCTAGGCATGCACTCTACCACTTGAACCACTCTGCCAGCCCTTTTTTGTGTTAGGTATTTTCCAGATAGGGTCTCACAAACTATTTGCCCAGGCTGGCTTTGAACCTCGAGAGTCCTATTTCTGCCTTCTGAATACCTACGATTACAGGCATGAGCCAGTGGTGCCCGGCCCCAGTTCTTTTGCTTTTAGTTTGTTTTTCAGATAGGGTCTCCTGCTAAATTTGTCTGACCTGGCCTTAAACCTTGATTCCGTCTCTGCGCCCTGAAAACCTGAAATTACAAATGTGAACTACCATGTTTGGCTCAGAATTTAATAGCTATTCTATTTGGGCACTAGCTGCACTAACATTTAACCAGTAAAAAATTGGGAAGAGTATAGTGAAAATGTTTGAGGCCTTAGCATCTTAAAAACAACCTAGCAAAAATACTACAGACTAGGGATGTAGCTCAGTGGTGGAGCACTTGCCCAGCCAGCATGAGGCCCTGGGTTTGATCCCCAGAACCCCAAGAAAATACATAAAATGATACTGCATCATTTGACTTCCATGATTCTTCTTTTTTCCAAAGCTTAGACACATATATGTGAAACGTATTCAGTCAAACATCCTCACACATATGCATACACACTGGTGACACTTGCCCAGTGTCTCTGATCTTTTCTCCTGGACTGAGCTCAGTATACCTGACTCCTCTTTCCTGTCCCCTTGTTGCTGACCAGTCATTAACTAACTCAGTTCTAAGTTCCTACTCATTTCTGTTCCAAGCATGAGTCATTTTATGCCAACAACTATTGAAACCCCACCCTACTTTCTACTTTTCCTCTTTTATCTAACTAAAATTCACCTGCTAAGATGAACTTCCTCTGACTAAACAGCACTTACCAACATTTTCTTCCCATTTCTACCACTTATTAGCCAAATCTTCAAAACAGCATAGAACTTGCAGTCTTTGAACCTAACATTACCTAGTTAAATTTGTCAGCTTTACCTCTCTGTCAAGATGTGAAGAGAACATCTTTTCACTTTTAAATTGCTCCAAATTCCACGGCTTTCACTTCACCTGAATCACTTCTCAAGGCCTGCTCAGTGTATGGCTTGGAGATGTCCTGTTCAGCTTGTTTCCTATCCAGTGCCTCCCAGTGCCTGGCACACCACAGTCAATGTTTGTCTAGAAAATTCCATGTTCTCACCTTCACCTCTTCTCCCTTTGCTTTTTCCTCTGGATTCCTTCCACGCTTTTTTTTTTGTTCCTACCTATCTACACAGAATCTTTTCAAATAAAAATACTCTATATAGAACTTCACTTCTGGAATTCTCTACGTACTGGCTTGCTTTTCTCAGAGGTGGTTCTTTATACTGTGCTGATACGGAATGCAGGAGTGCAGTATGATTTGTGAAAGGTTCAAACGGAAAAGGACCCTGGTTCAATGTGGGTGTTTAGCAGATAATCAGCATCTGTCATTCAGGGAAAACATCTCTGAAAGACTCTCTGCTATTACCCACAAACACTCCATGATCATAATCCAGGCCCCCCAGTCCTTCCCCCCTTTAATAGCTATCAGGGCAAACAGCTACTGATGCTATGATATCTGACAAGCTTTTCTAGTCTGCAGCAAGCAGCAAAAGCAATTAGGAGGCAGGCCCTGAAGTCACAAAGTCTGGATTCAAATATTACCATTAATAGTGCTCTGGCTCGAGCAGCAGAGCGTCTGCCTTGCAAGCATGAAGCCCTGAGTTCAAACCCCAGTACTGCCAAAGAAGAAACAAAAACATCTCTGTGAACTCATGGGCCACGATTTCCTCATCTGGAAAAAAATGGAGAACAGAGTCTACCTCCTAAGCTCAGTATAAGACCTCAAATAGCACAAGGGAGGCTGGAAGTAGTGCTTTGCACAAACTGTACATCAATTAGTGATGGCATCATGACTGTTCCCGTTGTCAATCAGGGGCCAAACTTGTAGAAACAAAAATGTGTCTACCTGAGGATACACAGAATGTGATGTTTCTTTACCAGTGGGTGAAACAGCAAATAAACTGAGTGCTAGTTTCCTAGCATCACCACTGACAAAGTTGTTCCAGGATCATTAGTGCATATTACAAGGTACCAAGCACATGCAGGTGCCTGCAGTGAATCCTTCCTTATCCCTAAGTTTAAGATGTGGAAACAAATCACAAATATCCAAGTAGGAATGTAAGAAATATTAATGGCTGGTTCAATGGGCTTGGTCCTTTCTCCTTTTTATCATGACTTAGTGATCTGAGATACATTATCTTACCTCCTAGGGCCCCATTTTCTGAAGGTGAACTCTACTTGTTGCCAGATAATGGCCATGATGCAAATGACACATTTGCTCTGCTAAAGTAAAGACATTATTCTGGTTATTGGCATTGGAAAGGAATTACACCATAGTTCTATGCACAAAAACAATTTTTTAAGAGAAGGCCTATGGTTCTTTCAGGGTAAATGGTCCACGTCTATTCTTCACAAATCTCAGGAAATAGTAGATTCTAGCTGTAATTCACATTTCTGTGGAGCAGTAAATTCATCTCTAAGTGAAGGGAATCAAAAAAGGTCCTCTGGAACGGTCAATATTTACAGTTTGAAGAATTCTTGGGCTTTCTTTGCCCTGAGGACTGAGGAAGTCAACCCTTTCTAGTTGGAATGATTAGATGAGCTCACTGCCAAAGTTGCTGTGTCCACCCAGATAATGCAGAACTAATTACCCAGGCCTTTGGTAAAGGAATTGTATTTATTTATTTATTTACTTATTTATTTTGAGATAAGAGTCTTGCTATACAGCCCTCCTATCTCAGCCTCCTGAGTGCCAGGTTTACAGGTATATGTCACCATACCTGGCCATTTTTACCCCTTTATCCTGCCTCAGTATAATATAATTATCTGCATACTTCATATATATAATCATTTGCCCATCTGGTAAAAAAATTTTAGGAAACCAAAGCAAAGAGCAAAAAGCAGAAGATCTATATGTGGGGTGATATCTGTTTTAAGTAGATCAGAAAAGCCATTTAAAATAAAGTACAAAAGGGAGGGGCCTGGAGTCAGTTCCAAATCACTGCCTTGCTAATCAGAAGCTACTTGGACAAATTGCCTGACCTTTCCGCCCACTTCTCTATCAGTAAAATAACAGTTGGGAGGGCCACACCAAACAATGTATGAGAAGCACCAAGGCCAGCACATGGCCTCACAGAAAAGCTAACCACTATGGGTACACCTTGCTTGTGGTACCCATCACGTCCCACCTTTGGTGACAAATGACCAAATGTGGACAAATCCTGTCCCCTTCTAGATTGTGAACTCCTTGATGGCAAGACTTGAGAGGGTGACATTATAGCATAGCAGCCAACAGCAGAGATACAAATCTGAATTCAATCCTGGCTTCAAAATATATTATGTTACTTTGGATAAATTAACACGCTTCCCTGAACCCTGTCTTCATGACAAAATGGAAAGAGCACAGAACAACATGGATTCCGCGGGGCTGTTAAGCAGATTACGAGAGATCACACAACTGAGGCCACTCCACAGCAAGTGGCCCACAAATGGTGTTATACTCCTACACCCCTTCTGCCTGCTGGCAGCATCTAGCTCTTTCCTGCAGGTTTGAAGGCTTATGTACCTGAGACATTGCCCCACCCACGCAAATTCAGAACTGCATCAAGTTGCCAAAGGCTGCCTACCTCTGGAAAATCTCCTGCAGTGTCTCCCTTGTGAAGGCAGTGCTGTCCTGGAAGACGTTGTTGAGGGCGTGGAGGGCACAGAGCTCCCTGCGCTGTTTCTCATGGTAGATCTGGGGGGGTGCTGCCTGGGGCAGCTCCAAGGATTCAGATTTGGCCTTGTCTCCTTTCCATGGCACGCAACTCATGTTTTTCGTTTTAGGTTCCAGAGAGGGCTGAAAACACCCCACACTTCCCTCCTGAGGAAGATGTACGTTGCTGTCTTTTCTGGATTCCTGAGGTCCACCCTATTCTCTGGTGTCAATAATTTATGCTTTGTCACTGGGAGAAAAGGTTGGAATCAAAAGAGGAAAAAAAAATCCACCTCTTCTCTCTTTGCAATAGAAAAATAACTTTTAGTTTATCTTGCTACTACTGTCAAAGTGCAGATATTTAAAAAAAAAAAAACATATAAAATGTATGATGCTGTTCGCCCTTTGCCCACCCTCCTCTCCCACCCCCCTTCAAAAAAAAAACCCAGTTTCCTTTCAGTCTTTTCCTCTCTGCAAATGCCAACTAGGCCTCAATACTGGACTGAACGGAACTGGTCACATCGCTCCTTTTCTTCCATTTCGTTCCAATCACGACGCCACTGACTCAGAAGACAGTGCCTAGGTGGTGGATAAAATGCACAACTGGAGCAGCTACCGAGGGCCGGGCAGCGTGGGGTCGCAGGTCGCGCTGGGGCCTCGGGAGCAGCCCTCCATGCCCTCGGGCGCGGTGGCGAGGTGGACACGGCACGTCGCCTGCGGAGGTGACAACTCCGGTCAGCTCGGCGAGGAACCGAGCGGACCGAGGAAGGGACGCGGGGTGCCCGGCCCCTGCCCGCGAGAAGGCACTGCGCTAGCCCGGCAGGCCCGCGAGGGTGGGGCCGGACGTTCGCCTCGCCCTCCGCGGCCCGGGCCCACCCGGCTCGCCACCCCCACTCCGACCTCCCCGCCGTCACGTGAGTGTGAGCCTAGACGCCCTCTCGCTCTCCCCTTACCCGGCTCCCTGCCCCGCGGGCACAGCTCGCCGTCGCCCCGCCGGTCGCCCCCTCGCCGCCTCGGGCCGCCACCTGGGGCGCGCGCTGGCGGGCAGGCGGGCAGGCGGGCAGGCGGGCGGGCGCGCGTACCTAAGCCCGACGTCGGCAGCTCTCGCCCGGCGCGCGCTCCAGAAACGCCCTCCCGCGACGACCCCGCCCTCCCCGCCGCGGCGTCACATCTGACGTCAGCCTGACGTCAGCGGCGCCGGCTTTGGAGTAGGGCCGCCGTACATCTGCTGAGCCAGTTTTGGCAGCGCGGAGCGGCCTGAAGGCGCGGGGGTCGGGTGACTGCGCAGTGCGGGGTTGCGGAGCCCCGCGGCGGCGGAGGAGGAAAGAGATGGTGTCTGGCTTCTCGGCGGCTCCGCCCTGGCAAGGAATCCCGCCTCGTCCGCCCCTCCTCCGGGCGGCGGCGCCGTGCCGGGGCGGAGATCGGCCTGGGGCTGTCCTTTGCGGCTCTTCCTTCCCTCCCCTTTGTGCGTAGAGTGCCCTGGCCGTTTTATGTTTGTCCAGCGCGCCGTTCATCAGGTGATCTCAAAACACCTCACTGACGCGGTTGGGTCTAACTCTCTTGGTTAGTGAGCCCGACCGCCTCGCACTTTCCAGGAGCACAAAGGGTAAGTTCCTTGCTGGGAGTCGCATTTCAAGTGGAAAGCAGAATCCTATTTCACTTCTTTGGTGTCGTACTCTGGTTCACTCCATACAAACCACTGCCCTTTTGCCCTGCACCCCGCTTTGCTGGCGGATGTCACGGAGCTTTCCTCTCTGAATTTTCTCCAGATGAGCACATTGTGTGAGTCAGGAAGCAAACTACTTACAGTCTTTCATGGATTTGATTTTTTTCAAATCCATGAAAGAACGGACCCAAGGACCGTTCTTGGGTCAAGAGTGTATTAGTGGGCATGAGTAATCGCGCTTCCCTGCTAGAACCCTTCAAACAATCGGTCAAGCCATTGCAGTCAACAGTTATTTAACATGTGGTAGAGAGTCTTACTCAAGCTTTTTTTTTTTTTTTTTTGGTGGTGGTACTGGAGTTTGAACTCAGGGCCTCATGCTTGCTTAGCAGGCACTCTACCACTTGAGCCACTCCACCAGCCTTTTTTTTTTTTTTCAATTTTTTGAGATAGGGTCTGGCTTTCATTTTGTTCTGGGTGGCCTCAAACCGAGATCCTCCTGATCTCTGCCTCCTGAGTAGCTGTGATTATAAACATAAGCCCCTGACTTTGATACTTGTCTTTTTTTTTAGAGGAGAAAACATAAACTCAAGTTGATTTAAGGGCTAGGGGCATGACTGAAGCTGTAGAGCACCTGCCTAACAATATTGAAGTCCCTGTGTTTAAACCCCATTACCACACACACACAAAAAAAGTTGATTGACTTGCTCAAGGTTACTATGTTTGTAGTAGATTTAAGATTGAACCTAGGCTAACCTGTTTTCAGAAAGGATGTAAAGATGGATAGTGGCCAAGTGTGTAATTCCAGCACTCGTGAGGCTGAGATGTAGGATTCCGAGTTCAAGACAATCCTGGGCTATATGGCAAGACCCTGTCTCAAAAAAATTAATTTAAGAAAAGAAAAATGAATAAGGAATTTCCTCTAAAATGTTACTTTGACTACCCCAGTCAAGAAGCACCTTCTCAGAATATCTTTTCTGGACAAAGTCCTCTAGTGGGAAAGGCATGTTTTTTATTCTGCTCTCAGGTGTTAGGTTGCACATTCTGAGATCAGATGAGATCAGGCATGTTCAGGGTGTTATGGTGGTAGCCAGATTGCACATTCTGAACTTGAACTCTTTCTGGAAGAGCCAGTTGGTAAGATGCTAAATACCAATTTGAGCAGTGGAGCTAATACAGTCCAGCCCTGTGGACACGAAAATGTGTGAATTTCTCCCCCCAACCCAACCAATCAGGTGTGCAGCAAGTGGGAATTCCCTAATTCAATTCAATTCTGATGCCACCTCAAGACAGTGTTGGATCCCACAGGTTAAGAGCTCAGGCCCAGGAGACTGCCTCTCACTTTAGGTGCCAGTTGCCAGTCTGGACCTTCAAAATTTCTGGCCAACTAGCTGTATAAGTCAGGATTTCCATGATCCCCCCACCCTTGTCCAATTCATCTACTAGAGTAGCTTACAGAACTAAGGGAAATTAGACTTAGGTTTCACAACTTGCTATAAAGGATATTGAAAGACCCCAAGACCTTAGATGTATAGCCAGATAGATGATGGAGAAACATAGCAAGGTATGTGTGTTTCCATGCCCTCTCAAGTGCAACTCCCCAGAAACCGCATGTGTTGGAATCTCAGGATGACCCCACACTGTGCTTTTGGAGGGGAGGGTTTTCTGGAAGCTGCACTACATAAGCACCGTTGATTAAATAATTGGTAGTAGTGATCAACCTAAGCTTCAGTCTCTCTTCTCTCCCAGGGGTTGAGGGATGGGATTGAACCTCTAGCCATTTAATTTTTCCATGGTGACCAGCCCCTATCAGTCAACTTACTAGCATGCAAAAACATATTGTCACTCGGGAGAGTTTAAAGATTTTAGGAACTGTACAGTACGAAGCAGACAAAGACCAAATAGATGTTATAGGCATTTCACATCAGCACAGTCAATTATTGTAGAAAATAATCCTTTTTTTTTTTTTTTTTTGTGGTGCTGGTGGTGGAACCTGGGCCTCATGCATGCTGGGCCAAGTGCTTTATCACGGAGCCACATCCCCAGACCAATATTTAGCTTCCTAGCAAATCAAGACTTTAATATTTGGCTTGATGCCAGTGGCTCAAACCTGTAATATTAGCTAGTTGGGAGGCTGAGAGCAGGAGGTTGTCAGTTCAAGTCCAGCCACAGCAAATACTTAGGAGACCCCATTTCCAAAAATAACCAGAGCAAAATGGACCAAAGGTGTGGCTCAAGCCCTACTTTGCAAATACAAAACCCTGAATTCAAAACCCAGTCCCACAAAAAAGAAAAAAAGATTTTAACATTTTACCTATGTCTTGGGTCCAGATAAAGGAATATATAGGATTGTGATGGGCAGTTTAGTCAGGAGAAAAGATTCCCAGAAATGTTTGTATGAATAAGACTTGTGCTACCTAGTTGAGAAGAGGAACAAGATGAAGCTGTCTCTTTACTCTCAGGTAGATCCCTGAAACTGCAGGCCACCTGGAATATGTCCACTTGGTCACTAAATCCTTCATTCCAAACTGTAAATATTGGATACCATCTGGAATGGCTAATGGCTGCTCTTTCTTGCCTACTGCTTAGGATGAGTGGCCAAGACCAGCATTGTCAGACCTTGATTAGTACCTAGATTCACCTAGCAGAAGGTCTAGGCTTTTCACACATTTAAAACAGAAATTTAAGGCACAACGATGGCATTTAATATTGGGGCTTTCCACAAATGATGACACTCTGGGAAAAAAATCCATAGTAAACTACCTTAACAAGTCCCCAGATCTTGGCTTAGCTGTTCACCACAAATGGGGTGAGGTGCTTTTGGGTTGTATTTTTGCCGCTTGCTTGATTCCTAACACACACACACACACACACACACACACACACACACACACACACACACACACACACACACACACACACACACACACACACACACACACACACACACACACACACACACACACACACACACACACACACACACACACACACACACCCCACCCCCGCACACGTAACTGCTCTCTCCGCCGAGGCAATGAATGAAGAATAATCCCTAAGGTCAGCGTTTAATTAATTGCCTCGCTCTGGCTGCTATAGTATTACAACTCTTGGACTATACACATCGATTCTACTACTAAATTTGCCTGGAGCGTGCCAGCTGGACATCGTGTTCCAGCGACTGCCTGTCACTGGATGGAAGGGGAGGCTCATTTTCCCGTTTACTATCTCGGTGAGCACAGGCCTTAGGCGCGGGACCTATGGAGGACTAGATTGGGTCCCGCCCCTGTCCATCATGGGAAGGCTTAGGGCGCCGACTGTTTTGCAGTAAGATTGGGAGCTGTGCCCCGCCTCTGGAAAACTGGAGAGTGAGGGGGCGGCACAAAGAAGCGTTGTATGAATTTCTTTTCTTATTGGATCACTGCCATGTCAGTCATATTGTGCTTTGCTCCCGTTGGCAGGAAGGCTCCAGGCAGGTAGCGTGGACACCGTGCTGGCCCCTCCTGAGCTGGTACCAGGGCGCGTGACGTCTCAGACATTTGTTGTTGGTGTTTAAGCCTCATTAATTATTCATTAAGGTCCTTGAAAGGGCTGCAACGATTGGTGACTGAGAGGCCTGGCCGATTGTGTCTTAGCTAGAGATACGTGTCAACCTTTGCGCGGCGGGAGAAGTTTTGCATAAATTATTCCGATGAGGGAGGGGCGGGACCGCGCATAGATTAGTCAAATGAGCCTGGGAGGGAGGGCGGCAGACTGCGAATTAGCCTAAGTTATTAAAGATGGCGGCGGAGCGGAGTCGCTCCCCGGTGGACTCGCCGGTGCCGGCCTCTATGTTCGCCCCCGAACCCAGCTCCCCGGGGGCGGCCAGGTCCGCGGCGGCCGCGGCCCGGCTCCACGGCGGCTTCGACTCGGACTGCAGCGAGGACGGCGAGGCGCTCAACGGCGAACCGGAGCTGGACCTCACCAGCAAGGTAGGCCCGGGCGGCGGCGGTGGGCTCTGAGGGGACCCGCAGCTGGCCGAGCCGTCTCCGGGTGACAGCGGGCACCCGGCGTCCAGTTGCGGGGGAGGCAGGGACACGGGAGCGGACCGAGCCCGCCCACCTGCCGCTCTCCGGGACGTGTGAGGGCCGGGCCGCCCCCGGACCCCCGCTTCGGTTCCCGGAGGCGCAGACCCGGCCTCCCGCGCTCCTGGCTCCCGCCGAGATCTCAGCCCCTCTGCTCCGCCACGTGGAACCGGGGCGCCCGACGACGGCAGCGCTCCGTGCCCTACTTGTCCCCGCGCCGGGCCGCCTCTCCTCTTCCTCGGGTCCTCTCAGCGCGGGGACCCGAGACCCAGGGTGTCTGCCCCTCTGAGCGTCCCGGACGACTGAGGGTGGAGGTGGCTTGGGCTGGGGATGCTCCGAGACAGGTAGTCGGAGGGAGGGGAGGCAGGGATGGCAGCCGCCTCTCTTCCTGGTCTGGGGAAAGGAAACAAAGTAGTGGCTCAGTCGGGAATAAGGATGTCTGAGGAATGTCCACTTTGAGAGGCTAGCGAAAACAAAGTAGAAAGATGGTATGACCCGGAATCGCACCATCTGGGAGTGGAATAATAAAGAACGTTTTAGATAGTGTTTTGAGTAAAACCGAGCTGTGGGGAAGGAAGGCAGGAATTAAGGGTTCGTTGTCTGCTTTGTATTGAGAATTAAAAAGTAAGTACAAGATGTAACCGGTGTTTTGAAGGCGCTTTACATCGCCAAAGGAGCGAATGAATGTCAACTTGGAAGTTAGGGCTGGTTTCCCTTTCCTCCTCTGCCATTAAAAAGGCTCTGTGACCTTGGAAAAGTTTCTTGACCTCTCAGTTCTCCAGCTACCTCATCTTAAGAAAGTACAGATGTGTTGCAAAAATTAGAAGTGTGTGTGAAGACACCTAGTGTAGTGCTTGATCCATACTACAGACTCAGCACGCGTTTGAACTGGATAGCTGATAATTCCGTGTGGATTGAATGGCAGCCCATGGAAGGTAGATTGCTAATACCACTCCTGGCTGTAGTAAGATAGTTAGGTTGGAAAATGTTTGTGACTTTTCATAGCTTATGGTGACAAAATTGTCTAGAAGTTGGCCCTAAACTGGGGAGAACTTTCCCTGCAATCTAAGTAAGCGATTTTCAATTGTTCTTTCTCTTTCGAGCCAGCTAGCTCTTGTTTGTCACAGTGGTGGTGTCTTGTGCCTCTAATGCCATAATGAGGGTGCCAAACTCAGAGAGCCCATCAGGGAAATGTATGAGGCAATGTGACCCAGGCAGCATCCAGGTTACAGTTACAAGCTCTGATGAGTCAACACTGGAAATTGTAAGATAGACACCTGACTCACAAGTGGATAAGGTGAATGTCGATACATGGTCAAGTTGTTGGTGAAACCTGAAAACACAGTGGGAAGTTGCATGGCAGAGTTGCAAAGAGGGTAGTACCTTTATTTTTTGACCAGCTTGTTTAATGGTCATGGATAGGGAAGTGTTACTTCATTGAAGAGCTGGGGAAATCCTCACAATTTTGAAATTGAGAAGATATATGTAATATAAATACTGATGGTATTGAAAAGAAAAACTGAGCATGAGGAGAGGAGGGATGGATTGACTAGATTAAGTCCTGAAAAGAGTAGACAGTAGGCATTTAAACTCTTGTTACAATCAGATGTGGGGACCTAAGGCTCTGTGAGCTTTCAGTGAGAGAAATAATTAGTGAACAGTGCTGGCAACTTTCATGGAAGAAGGCTTTTCTAAAAATGATTGGGTAAAGAAAACTTTGTAATGACCATTAATTGGATTATGACCTAGAAGCTTTACATGTTATATTTGGTCTCTTCGGTGGCCTTAGGATGCAAAGTAGTGTCTCTATTTTATACATTGAAAAACTGGTCTTCAGAGAGGTTAAATCCTTTGTCCAAGGTCACATAGGAAATCCATAGAGAATGAGGTCTGATGTGTCCATTGATGAATGGCCTCCTCAAATAAGTGTTTGATAATGTTATTGACAGAAATTCATACAGCAATAGTGCTAATACTCACTTTAGTTGGTAGTGGTGTTTTATTGATGAAGCTGACTCTTACAGGCAGTTTTCACTGCTGTTCCCAATAAGAGTAGGTGGAGCAGAATTCTTTTTGTTATTGCAGCTGCCACCAGCCTGCAGGTGGAGGGCATGGCTGTATGTGAGCTCTCTGTCTTGAATTTCTAGATGCACACTGCAGGTAGAAGACTGGCATGTGGGAGTAAAACACTGCTCATCAGCTTCTTCCTGCAGTGCCAGACTCTTGGTTGTTTGGGTCCTGCCCCTCTTGTGAAGCAGCAGGAGACAGGCTGCTTACACCTTCTCTCCTGTGGGTCAGGGCTCAGACATACTCACTTTAATATATCATCTGGGTCATATAAAGTGTTTCAGGAGAGGCAGAGAGGGCATGAAGAACTGTGCAGCTACTTTCATTTAAGCTGCTATGGGGGTTCTGTCAAGGTCTTTGGTCAGGCTGTTGGTCAGCCTTGACTGTGGTGTTGTCTAGTAAGTGTGGGCTTAAGGCTGTTGGTTTCTCTTCTAGCTGGTTCTAGTGAGCCCTACATCAGAGCAGTATGACAGCCTACTTCGGCAGATGTGGGAGAGGATGGACGAGGGATGCGGAGAGACCATATATGTCATTGGGCAGGGATCAGGTGAGCATAGTTTTTCTTTCATTTATTTTAAACAATTACTTAGAGCACACATTTCCCCCTTATCTACTTTCTTGCTCATGTGTCTCAGTGATGCTTTAGCATCTGCAGAACTGTTTGGAGGTCATAAGCAAGCAGAGTGAATGTCAGTCCTCTCCTCAGTGGTCAGGTCTGCTTGGCTGTAAAGATTCCCATTCCAAGCAGTTCTGCAGATGCTTCCTTTATACCTCAGTACTCCCCATTTGCATGAAAGGAAATGAAGCACCAAGCAAGGAAACTTCTGTTCGAGGTAACAGAGCAGGTCTTAGTTAGATCTAGAATTAAGTAGCCCTGGGCAGCTTCAGGTCTTCACCTCGAAGCCCAGTTTATGGATCCTGTCACTATCTATTTCCTGCTTAGCAGAGAATCTCTGTGATTCTTCTTGATGTCAGCAGGGAAAAGATGCCCAGAATTCTTCTCTTCAGTCAGACTGCCTTGCCCAGACCATACTGACCATTCAGTCTTGATAGCTGTGATAACAGAGGTTCTCTTATCTCCCCACTAGATCCTGTCAGGCATGTAGGCTTATGACCATTCTAGTTATTGTCCTCAAACCTGCTTACTCATCACAATGGGGCCTCCTGTTTTAGAGGAAGGCAGCCCCCATGACAGAATCCCAGATTATATCATGGCATTGTTCCCTGCCCCCCCATCACTCTTAGTTTACGCTCTTAATACAAGACCTGCTGAACCTTTGTCCTTCTTTGTGACATTATCTTTTCTGAAATGACAGCTAAGATTGTTAACAATTATAAATTCAGCCTGTACTGGCACTTAACCTCTGTCATCTTTGCGGGAAACCCAGGATGGGCCTGGATGCATCATTAAGGGAGCAGTTTGCTCAGTGTAGGCTTTGTAAAGGCAGGTAATTATTCTTTTGTAGTCTGAGTTTAAGATTGAGGAGCTCAAAATCATAGTTGAGTGACAACTCATGCCTGTAATCCCAGCTACTCGGGAGGCAGAGCTGGAGGATCACTAGTTCAAGGCTAGCCTGCGCAGTTTAGCAAGGCCCTTAAAAAAAATGGGTGAGGGTATAGCTCAGAGGTAGAACACTTGCCCAGCATACACAAGGCCCTGGGTTCCATCCTCATTCTTTAACTTATTTGATTTGATATGTGTCTATTAAGTATCTTTTAAGGCTTGATACTGTTACAAAGCTCTTTTGGATACTTAAAATCTGGCCTCTGGGTCTAGAATGTAGCTCAATAGTAGACTGTTTACCTAGCATTGTGCTAGGCCTTAGGGGAAAAAAAATTAAAAATCTGGTCCCTGTCCCAAGGAGGAAAGATGGCATATACACACACAACCTCTGTAGAAAACAACATTTGGAAATGCTGTAAGATAACTAAAGGAAGAAAAGTTTGATCTCCAAATATCTGTTTTCCTTTGAAATGTCTTTCCTATCTCCCCTTTACTTCCCATCCTTGCTGCCACCTCCCTAGTTGTGGTTCTTATCACCTAAAAGAAGGCATGGTCAGAGAGATAGACAACCTGAGTGGTTACGTGTCAAGAAGGGAACAGAGTTGGTTGGCATTGTCAGGTACCATCCAGGCAACAAGGAGGGTTAGGTTCAGAAAAGGCCATTCTGCTTGGTGACTAAGAAATCATTGATAGCCTTCTGAAATCCTGTCAGGTAACATGCTTGGCCACTCAAAGATCACGTCATGCTTGTAGAATTTCAGCCATATAAAGGTCAATTTTGACAAGTGGTGGGACTAGTCTTTGAAGACCCAGAGGTTTTTTTTTTTTTCCTTCCTTTGAAACAGGGGCTTACTATGCAGCTTAGGCTGGCCTTGAGCTCAAGATCCTTCTGCCTCAGCCTCCCAGAAAGACCCAGATTCTTAAACCCACTCTTTTCTCTTGTCCTTTTATGAATATTCTGAGTTTTACCAGGCCTTGGCAGCTCACAGCTAATTAACCCTTCCGTGGCAAGACATAAGATGTTAAACACTCATTAGTCCATTTCCCACACACCCCAGCATTATCCTTGCTATTAGATTCATAGTGACTCCTTCCTGCTGGATTGTTTAGAGGCGGAAAGAGATCAGAACTAGCTAGCTAAACAAATTGAACATCAAACAGGACTGAACGGGCTGACTGAGTGGCTCAAATGATAGAGTGCCTGCCTAGCAAGAGTGAGGCCCTGAGTTCAAAGCCCAGTACAGCCAAAAAATAAACAAAAGAGGCAAACAGGACTGAACCAGATACAAGGCCCCCAGGAGTCAGCTTCATCAGGATATCCTGAGAGTTCCTGGTGCTTTACCTTTCTTTATCATGGCTTTCCTATGTAGAATGGGATAATGATACCTTCCCCCCCCATCTTAGAGAAATTTTGTAGGAATAAATTAGATGTTAAAAAATTCTAAGCCGGGCACCAGTGGCTCAAGCCTGCAATCCTAGCTACTTGGGAGACAGGTCAGGAGGATCACATTTCAAGGCCAGCCCAGGCAAATAGTTCATGAGATCCCATCTCCAAAATAGCCAGAGCAAAATGGACTGGAGGTGTGGCTCAGGCATAGAACACCTGCAAGTGGAAAGCCCTGAGTTCAAACCCCAGGCCCACCAAAAAAAAAAAAAAAAAAAATTCTGAACAATGTGAAGTAATGTGCTCTTTACATGTGCATTCTTACATGGTTAGTGTTTTAGGAGTCAAGTCAAGGGCTGGGGGTATGACTCAAGTGAGGCCATGAGTTCAAACTCCAGAACCGTCTTCCCACCCCTACCGCCCCCACACACACTAAAAAAAAAAAAAGGAGTCAAGTTTATATTGCCTAGTAGTTTAAGGTCTGAAGCTTGCATGTCTGGGTTTGCCGCTAACTTTTTTCCTTGTCTTAAAATATACATAATAGAACCTATCCCATAGTGCATGAGTGAAAACTAAGTGAGAATTCAAGGAAATCATTTGGCATATAAGTGTTAGCATTAGTAGTTGTGGCAGTAAATTTTTCAGGATTACAGGTCGTAGTTGATTTATTTTGAGATCTCTTTCCAAAAGAACCTTGTTTATTTCTTAAATACTAAGTCATGACTGTATTGAAAGTGTAGGAAACATAGGAAGGGTGTTAAGTCTGTGGAGTAGTCAGTAAAGGCTGAGGAGCTGCCTGTTGGATTGATCCTAAATATAAACGGAGGTGGTGGCAAGTGGGCAGAGGAAACCACATGCACACAGGAGTGGAAGCATTGGAGACTGGCCTGTGTAGTGGGCCAGAAGTAATCCAGTAAGGTGGGAGTGAAGAGTGTGAGGTCAGGAGTGGAGGCTGAACAGGTAGGCAAGCACTGTCCCAAGGTCCTTGGGTGCCATGCTGAAGAGATGTTTATCCCATGCAGTTGCAGCACATTGCGCAGAGCAATGTTTATAGAAAAGGTAAGTGAGCTGGCAGGATGGAAATCTGATTAGGGTTGGCATGGCTGAGTATGTCGCCTTTGGTAATTGAGCCTCTGCAGCTTTTCTCCTTGGCTTTTGTCTCTACTCCTAGAGTGAGGAATGAGGTGCAGGCTAGAGAAGGGTAATATGGCCAGCTGGGAGTCCTGGTAAACAGGGTGACATTGGCGATGGCCCCTGGTGTGGAGCAGGACCTGAAAATCCTGCTTTTCCTTGTAAAGCTTCAGGAGAGGTTGGCAGAGGTGGGAAGTCCAGTGAGCATGGCAGTCTTCCTGTGGAACACTCACCCCACGCACTTCCCTAACCCAGTGGGTGTTGGGAGTTCCCTCAGCCATGTCCTGAGGAGCCCCACCAGCGCCACCACCCAGCTGCTCTCTTGATTCATTTGTTTTACATTTTATGAACATTTGAGGACTTGAGGTAGGAAAGCTACCCCTGGTAGGGAATCAAGGATTAGGGAATGATTAAGATGTGGTCCCCATCCTCATGATGCTGATGTATAGTGGGTGATATATAGTGTTCAAAACACTATAGCACAAGGCAGTATGTGGCAATGCTGTAAGGGAGACAAATGTTTGTGGGGCCTCTGAGCAGAATGGTTAGGCTCTTGACAGAAGGAGGTGTGCTCACTCACAGGAAATCAATGTGAGTCAATGCCCTGTATAGCTATCCTTATCTCAACCAGCAAAAACCCTTGTTCCTTCCTATTATTGCTTATACTCTCTCTACAACAAAATTAGAAATAAGGGCAAAATAGTTTCTGCTGGGTATTGGGGGGGAGAGGGAGGGGGCAGAGTGGGTGGTAAGGGAGGGGGTGGGGGCAGGGGGGAGAAATGAACCAAGCCTTGTATGCACATATGAATAAAAGAAAAATGAAAAAAAAAAAAAGGAGGTGTGCTGACTGGTTGTCTGGAATAGGAAATCCATGAGCAAAGGTATAGAGCTGGAACCATGAAGGAAGCCAGGGGAAAGAGGTAGCTGGATTGATTACTTGCAGTGAGACAGAGCTTACAAGGAGAAACTGGGGTGGGGATGGGGTATATGAAATAAATTGGAAAGCCCTTAAGGAATTGAAGCCAGAATGCTGTCGGTTCTCGAAAGCCATTCAGAGGGTTTGATATGAAAGTGACAACAGGGGAGCTGTGGGTTTTTTAGGGTCTTAAGCATGTGAGTCCAACAAGGAAGGGTATTAGACTTTGAGCACATGATAAAAGCGAGAGCACACAAGGGAGGGGTGAGGATAGGTAAGACACCTAAAAAATTAGCTAGCATTTGTTGCTCTTAACACAGAGAAACTAAAGCAGATACCTTAAAAGCAACTGAGGCCAATAGGAAAAGGGGACCAGGAACTAGAGAAAAGGTTAGATCAAAAAGAATTAACCTAGAAGGTAACACACACGCACAGGAAATTAATGTGAGTCAACTCCCTGTATAGCTATCCTTATCTCAACCAGCAAAAACACTTGTTCCTTCCTATTATTGCTTATAGTCTCTCTTCAACAAAATTAGAGATAAGGGCAAAAGAGTTTCTGCTGGGTATTGAGGGGGTTGGTGGGAGAGGGAGGGGGTGGTGTAGGTGGTAAGGGAGGGGGTGGGGTCAGGAGGGAAAAATGACCCAAGCCTTGTATGCACATATGAATAATAAAACAATAAAAAAAATGAAAAAAAGCATGTGAATCTATGCTGGATGGATAGAAGGAGGAGAAACTGTTTTCTGAGACCAGTTAAGAGTCTATTGCAGTGACTCAGAAGAATAAGGGCTGGAATCAGGCTGGTGGCAGTGAGTTGGCCAAAAGAGTAGACAGCAGAGAAAGGACACAATAGAAAACTGGAATCAGTGACTGAACTGATAAGAATGTTAAGCTTGGCTGAGCACCTGTAATCCTAGCTACTCATGAGGATCATGGTTCAATGCCAGCCTGGGCAAATAGTTCGCAAGACCCTATTCTTGAAAATACTCAACCCAGAAAAGGGCTGGTGGAGTGGCTCAAGTGGTAGAGCATCTGCCTAAGCAAGTGTGAGGCCCTGAGTTCAAACTCCAGTACTGCCAAAAAAAAAAAAGTTAAGCTTGGGTGACTGAGAGGAAAGTATTGTTATTAGACTAGAGAAGGCAAGAGGAGGGAGGGTGGTCTGGCAGTGAGAGGGACATTGCAAAGGAAAGTCTCTAGGTTTGGAATTGGAAGAACCCAGCTCATATGACCCTTCTGGAAGCTCCCAGCTCTGAGGCCTCTGGCTTCTGTTTGCCCCACTTTTTGTTTTTGTAGGTTTTTTTTTTTGAGGCAGGGTCTCACTGTGTAATCCAGGCTGGCCTCAAACTTGTGAGCTTCCTGTCTCCTCTCCTTAGTGTTGGAATTACAGGTGAGCACCACCACACCCAAATCTTTGCCCCACTGTAAATAGGAAGCAGTGAAGCTTACCCAATGTTTTACTGATGCTGAACATTTGTGCGCTGCTGTAATTTGAATATCAGACCTCCAGGAGTTATCATCCAGGCTGTTCAGTACGCAGCTTAGGGAAGAAGGTGGTGCTACTAGAGGTGAGTGTTTTTGTAGTTTTTGAGATGACAGGTGAAGCCACAGAACAAGTTGGTTAAGAGCAAAGTGTAGAGGAAAGACAAGAGGGCCTTGATGGATGACTGAAAGAGACTGCCATTCAGGAGAGGTCAGGGGGTGGGCAGCAAAGTGGGAGAGATGTGCCTCCAGAAGGGAAGGCAGGTGCAGCAGTGCAGAGTGTGAGAAGGCCATTGGTGCCATCTGAAAACTGCAGTTTCTTCAGGTAATGGTCAATTCAGAGTCAGTGGGGGTGGCTACTCTTTTGAGATATTTAGTGGTCAAAAGAAGAACTGAGGAAATGGTAGCTTAGGAGGTGAACAGGGGCAAGGGAAGGAGGGGGTGGTTTTCTTTTTCATAGTTTGGGGTGATGAGTTTGTAGGGGAGCAGTGGAAGGAGAAGATGGGAGGAAGGAAAGGAGCATTCCTGGTGAGGCAAGGTTTCTGGGTAGTAAAAGAGAAGAGGTTGCCCTGCTAGAGCGGCTCATCCTGCAAGGAGCAAACCCCAGTACTGAGAGAAAGGCTGAAGGAGTGGTGGTGGGAATTAAACCCCACAGCACACGGAAGTAGCTGACTAGGGTTGGACTGTAGGCACTTAGGAATGAGGGTCACCCGTTGTCTGCCTCCCCTCCTCATCCTGGGCCTGAACTTGTTTTTCCAGCTGCTTGCTAGACACTTCACATGAGCCACCTCAGTTAAAAAATCTCTCTCTGAAATTACAGAAGCCTCTCCATTTGCTTCCATCTTCCTGTGTCATCGCTTGCCTACATACGAGAATTACTTCTCCGTTGGACTTCCCTCTTGTGGCTGCTTGCTTACCACCTAGGAGATCTTTGTAACCCATCTTGATCTTACCATGTTACTTTCCTGCCTGACCTCCAGGATTCCCATGGTCTGGTGCAAGAGGTCTTACTGTTGTCTGATGTCCATCTGTCATACCAGCTTCCACTTCTCCTGCCACTCCGTGACCCAGCCTGGTCCCCAACATACTGAGTGTCTTTCTGGTCCCTAAATGTGCCATGAGCTGCCATGCTTCATGCTTTGCTCCTCTGAAGACTGTTCTTCCGCCTTCTCTCTGGATTCATTTCTCACCCCTGAAGACCTAGCTTAGGATTAGCACCTCCAACACTACCCTCCACTTCTCAAGCCATTCTGAGACATTCTTTTTGTCCAGTTCTACAGCATGGTGCTCGGACTGTATTGCAATTAATTAATTTCCTGTCTGTCTGTTCCAAGGGGCAGGGAGCTGGTTAAGGGCATCTTTGTTCCCAGCACCCAGCATGAGACTTCACATAAAACTAGGAAAGTCTCAGTGATTGTGTTGAGTGAATTATCCTGTGCCTTATTTGGTGGGGAAACCCATGGCTCTGTCATGTCTTAACTCTGTTCCCGGAATTTTTGCTCAGGTAGAAAGTGGCCTTTGTTAGTGGGGGCTTAACTGGCTGGCCTATGGGCAGGCTGGTTGGTCAGGATTCTCTCTCCTGCTGATGTGTTATCTCTTGTCATCAGATGGGACTGAGTACGGGCTGAGTGAAGCTGACATGGAGGCCTCCTATGCTACAGTGAAGAGCATGGCAGAACAGATAGAGGCTGATGTCATCCTCCTACGGGAACGTCAAGAAGCTGGTGGCCGTGTGCGTGATTACCTAGTTCGGAAACGAGTCGGAGACAACGACTTCCTAGAGGTCAGGTAAGGAAGCTTCAGAATGGTTCCAGGGTCACTGGCGCGTGAGCTTGGAGGCTAGGGCTTCACCAAGAATGGTGATAGAGTCTGTCACACTTGGCATGTCAGCTCCACTCCTTCCCTACCTTTCTCTTCGTCAGCTCTACTCCTTCCCTACCTTTCTCTTCCCGAGGTGGGTCAAAAGTGTCCAGGGTCATGATAGCTCTGAACTGTTTCTGCATTTCTATCCGTGGATATTTCCATCTGGGAAGTGTGGGAGGGAGGGCCCAACCTTCCTGTGCCCACTCTGTGGGCTGCATTTACTTTCCCAGGATGGGGTTAGGAGCAGTTTGTGTCTCTTGTAGCTCTGGAGCTCTTCCTAGTGGTGGAAGTTAGGGGAGGTAGGTGTTGAGGGAACCTGGAGCTCCTGAGTAACTTTGTACTTCTGGGATAAAGTTCCAGGGACATTCCCAGTGTGTTCATCCAAGAATAGGAGCCATGCGCTGAGGTTTCAGGGGCAAGCCTGGACTCAGGGATCCAGTTTCTGGGCTCTTGAGTTGTCTCTTTATCCATTGATTTTCGCATGGATGTATGGGTTCATGTCCACACAGGGTAGCAGTCGTGGGCAACGTGGATGCTGGCAAAAGCACACTTCTGGGGGTCCTGACACATGGGGAACTGGACAATGGCCGTGGCTTTGCCCGCCAGAAACTCTTCCGCCACAAACATGAGATTGAATCTGGTCGCACCAGCAGTGTGGGCAATGACATTCTAGGCTTTGACAGTGAAGGCAATGTGGTGAACAAGCCTGACAGCCATGGTGGCAGCCTGGAGTGGACAAAGATCTGTGAGAAGTCCTCTAAGGTTATTACCTTCATTGACCTGGCTGGCCACGAAAAGTACCTGAAGACCACTGTCTTTGGCATGACTGGCCATTTGCCTGACTTCTGTATGCTCATGGTAAGTGTGAGATGTCTCAAGAGGGGGCCGGGGCAGGGCTGCTGGGGGTGGTCACATATAAGGGCTTGGAATTGGTCTGACACTGAGGCCTGCTGGTTTGGATAAGTGTGGCAAGGATGGGAAAGGGTGGCAAGTTTGGGATCTCAGGATGCCAGTTCTCTGAGCTTTGTAGTCTTCTCAAAGGGTGAGCCTTGATCTCTGCCCTGCATTAGACCAGGAAGGGATTCTGTTGATATAAACCAAGACCCCTCTTCTTTTTCAGAGGCACCGAGGAGGGTTCTGGGGCTTCCTTACTGCCTTCAGACACATTTTCTCCAGAGAGTTGGGGTACTTAGAAGCGGCAACCTCAGGTGGTACCATGAAAGGGGAGGCCTGGGGAAGGCATGTAGGGAGTACCTCCCAGTCAGCGCTTGGGAGGAAGGAGCAAGGGCACAGCCCTTGTTAGGAGGTTCCTGTGGGCTTGGCACTGAGCTTGCCTGGTAACCTGGCCAGAACTGGGTCATCCTAGTCATGCACCTCCCAGAGAGATTATATTCTTATCACATAGAGTCACTTAAAGGAGAGAGCAGAGGGCTCAGCATTGGCTCCTGCTGCTATGCTTGCAGGACAGAATGGGAGTGACGAGGCCATGTGAGGCCCAAGCCCTGTGCACAGCATCACAGCCCTCATGGAGGAGGGAGGGAACGAGAGTGCACATGTGCGCAAGTGCGTGAGTTCCCCTGGCACGTCCTCCCAAAGATCTGCCTTCCCAGTTCCTCAGCTGCCTGTGTAATAAGCATGGTAAACACAGCATCTGTTCCTAGCAAACTTGTTCAAGTCACCCCACAAACACAGGTTCTCAGGCCAACTCCCCAAACTGCAGACGAGAAGAGAGGCAGGATTTGTTGTAGGAACGCTCTTGGCAGCTCTCTACCTAGGGTTCTTAGGATTGCAGCACAATTTCATCTCCCGCTTCTTTGAACATGGCAGGGTGTGTCACCAGCTCTCGGCTGGATGAGGAAGACTGCTATATAGGCTGGGGTCTCAGTGGAAGATCTGGAGGGCTTATTTGGGGCAATTGTTTTTTTTCTTTTTTAACTAATGTAATAATTACACATATTATGTGATGCAATATGATGTTTCAGTACATGTATATGGTGATACCCGTCAAATCAGCTATTAGCATTTCCTTCTTTTCTTTGTATTTGGAGACTTCAAGCCTCCCCTCTTCTAGTTCTTCATAAAATAAAAATAAGCATTTTTCTAACTGAACTGCAGTGCATAAGACCAATGAATGGAATCATCTTCATTCCAGATAAAATGTTCATGTCCCCACCCCTTTTGGGCTTTTTAGTTATTTTTCAGGTAAGATCTCATGGTTTTGCTTGGGGCTGGCCTCAGACTTTGTTCCTTTGACCTACCTCCTCCCATGTAGCCGGGACCATAGTCATGAGCCGCCATGCCCAGCTTATTGATTGAGATGAGGGTCTCACTAACTTTTTGCCTGGGCTGGCCTCAAACTGATACTTCTGATCTCTGCCTCCTTAGTAGCTGGGATTGTAGGCATGAGCCACTGACCCAGCCCTTTTTCTTTTCTTTGAGATATCATCTTGCTATGTAGACAAGGCTGGGCTGGTACTTGCTTATGTAGTCCAGGCTGGCCTTGAACTCGTGATCATCCTTCTTCATCCTCCTGCACGTTGGGATTACAGGCCCATACCGCCACACCCGGTTTCATGTGCCCTAATTTATTTAAGAAGTCTTTATGGTGGTACTGAAAAACTTGTATTATTACAGGAAGAAATAGTAACAGTGATGACAGCTGCCATTGTGTGAATACCTAGTTCTTGCTGGACCCTTCACACATGTCATGATTTCTCAATCTCAGGTGACCCTTTAAAGTGGAGATGGTTGTCCTCATATTAGAGATGGAGAAACTAAGGGCCAGAGATGTTAAGCTGAATGAATCCTTTGAAGACTGTAGATACTTGTTTTCTCAGATTCTCCCAGTTTGTCTTTTTTATTGTGCATAAGTCTTCTCAGGTTTTGATAGCCACAGTGCTGAGTCAGGGTTAAAGTGATGTATGTCCAGCCCAGCATTCATTGACAGCCTTCTTTGAGGCCCTGTGCCTGCCCAGCAGCAGCCTCTGTCTCCCTTACTCTGACAGTTCCTTTCTGTGTTGGGGCAGGTGGGCAGCAATGCTGGCATTGTCGGGATGACCAAGGAGCACTTGGGCTTGGCATTGGCACTCAATGTACCTGTCTTTGTGGTAGTCACCAAGATTGACATGTGTCCTGCCAACATCCTACAAGGTAAGTGAGGCCTCCAATCAGCAGCTTCTATGGGACTGTCAGCACTGCACCTTTATGGTGGTCTGCTGCCAGGGCATTAGCCCAGGTCTTCTGCTTCCTTGTCTTGTACTCAGACATGGCCTGAATTTCCCTTAGCCCCGAGTCTTATGTTTTTTTCCTCCCCATTTAGCTCTTGATCTGAGCACAGCTTACAATTTCCCTCTGTTCCTTTTTCCTTCTGGTTCCAAGCACAGGATCCTTGAGGTCCCTAGCCTGGCACCGCTTTTCAGATGCACCTTGGCAGTAGATGTGGAGCTCTACCATTAAAGCTCGATGTAGATGCACGAGTTTGGGCAGAGGGTGTGATGACCTTTAGGCAGAAAGCTTCCATATAGGCTTGTGAGGCTTTGCTTTCATGCACTTCTTCCTCACTGCTGCAGATTATAGGGGAGAAGTAGGACGCAGTCCAGCTAGAAGGCTTCATAATAAGAGCCTCAGCAGACTTCTGATTACCTGAGAAATACTTTTGTCAGATGAGGGTTTTTTTTCCTCAAGAAACAGAGCATTCTGGAAAGAACATTGTCCGTCTTAGGGAACCCCCAAGCCACTTGTCTACAGGATGCAGGCTTTCTAGAAACTTTGGAGAAGTCTGCCAGGTTTCAGACTCACAGCCTTAGAAGAGAGGCCCCATCTGTGCTCTTACTAGCAACACACACCTACCAAAGTTTTGACCCTCCTTTTTGCTTCTCCAGGCATTATGGCATTTAACACTGGCCCGTCTGTCTGTCTATCTCCTGCTTGCATCAGTAATGAGTGGACCCGTCTTACCCTGGAAACCTGGCTAAAGAGAAGGCTGTGCCCCCTAATTCTGTTCCATTTCACCCTTTAAGAAACCCTGAAGCTGTTACAGCGCCTGCTGAAGTCACCAGGCTGCCGGAAGATCCCTGTGCTGGTGCAGAGCAAAGATGATGTGATTGTTACAGCCTCCAACTTCAGCTCTGAAAGGTATTGAGGGTGGGGGTAACAGGTAGGGAACATGTGCTTCCAGGCGGTCCCCTTTGCTGGCAGGGTTCAGCAGGCAATAGGCTTGGAATGGTTGCCAGATTAGCCAGGAGGTGTCATGGACATTTGTTACTATTTAGAGATTGGAGGAAATAAGTTTCTGTGTAGGCCATCATTGTTGCCTAGAAGTTATATTGGGTGGCCCAGATTCTGAGGCACTGGCTTGTCTGAGGTTGGAATCCCAAATGATGTATTTAAGGTACTTAATATTGGGTCTGGTGGTATATGACAGACACACAGCCATTTACTATGTGTAGCCATTTTTTATGACGGCTCTTAATCTTTTTTATATTGTTTCTCAAAAGCTCTCTAATCACAGATTGGTTTTGGGACTTACTATCATTCCATAAATATTTATTGGATGTTTGTTCTGCCAGGCTCTTCATGTAGACATTGAGGATTCAAAAGTGACTCCAGCACAGTCCCCAAGGCATTTTCTTCCTTGGTCCAAACTAGTTGCTTGATAACAGTGAATTTGGTAAACTCTGCTCCTTTGCCTAGTGCCACAGGCCTCCTTTGGAACCATCTGCTTCCTGACTTGGTCTTTAGCACAGAGCAGCCTGGCTTTTTGGTTTCTTCCTCTAGCCTGGCACTATCTTTAGTACCACCAGGTGGTCAGCAGAAGGGGCACATTTCAGATAATTCAGCTTAGTCATTTTTGAGCCCCTAGTCTGTGCAGGCCCTGTTGTAGGAGCTATAGGAATTCCTGGTCCCAAGGAGTTTAATTCACCCTGAGTAGGAGAGACCCAGCCCATAGGTGACTGATGGAAAATCATATAGTCACAGATAACAGAGACACTAAAAGCTCTCCAAGAGCTCCAAGAAGTTGAGACTATCCATTCAGGAAGGGTTTCATGCTAGCTTTATTTTATTTATTTGTTTATTTATTTTGTGATATTGGGGTTTAACTAAGAGCTTTGCACTTGTACGACATGCACTCTGCCACTTGAACTATACCTCCAACCCCAGGAAGAGTTTCATGACAGAGTGGTATTTGGGCTGAGCTCTGGAGGATGTGCAAGGTTTGGTAGTTGGCTAAGAGGGAAAGAGTTCAGGAAGGAGAATCAGAGTGAGCAGGTCTGTGGGACAGGGTAGTGCCAAGCTCCCCGGAGAAGGAAAGATGCTTTGATATGGCTGGAACACAGATCGTTGAGAGGTGAATCTGCCACAAGCCCAGCATGAAAGGCTGGGAATGTGGGGTCTTCAGCTGACTCCTCCAGTGGAAAGGCAGTTAGAGACTTAAGCAAGCATACATGTGCTTGAGAAAGAGGGGCAGTCTTCAGAAACAGAGCACAGGAGTGCTGGCCAGGTGAGGCAGGGGTTGGCTAGGTAGAACAGGGCAGGGCAGGAGCTGCCACCTGAATGCCTCTTTCCTGTCTTCCTTCTCTTCCCCTCCATTTAGGATGTGCCCGATATTCCAGATCTCCAACGTTACAGGCGAGAACCTAGATCTGCTGAAGATGTTCCTCAACCTCCTGTCCCCCCGCACCAGCTACAGGGAGGAGGAGCCTGCTGAGTTCCAGATTGATGACACCTACTCTGTCCCAGTGAGTGACTTCGGATGGGACTGGGCAGGCTTGGTGGCTGGTGGGTACTTCCTACCCCACCATCAGGGTGGATCAGTAGTGGGGGTGGACTTATTAGACTGGGGTCTTTTCCTTGGCAGGGTGTGGGGACAGTAGTGTCGGGAACAACCCTGAGGGGCCTAATCAAGCTGAATGACACTCTGCTGCTGGGCCCTGACCCCTTGGGTAACTTCCTGTCTATTGCTGTCAAGTCAATTCATCGCAAGCGCATGCCTGTCAAGGAAGTACGGGGAGGCCAGACAGCCTCCTTTGCACTGAAGAAGGTGAGTGGGGCTAATTCCAAAAACTCCTCTCCGGCTCTTTGTGTGAGGTTCTGGGCCTGGTGCTTCACTCACCAGTTCCAGTCTGTATGGCTGCTCCACCAGGTGGGGTTTGCTGACATCATTTTTACAGATGAGCACACGGTAGCTTAGAGCCCAATGACTTACCCAAGACATACAGTAAGTAAGTGTTAGAGCCAGGACTTGAACCCAGGACTGCTGCCTCAAAGCTGTGTTCCTTTCTCAGATGCCCTGAGCTCACAGGTCATGTAAGAGTGTCCCTGCTGTGTGTAAGGCTCTTCTACATAGGGTTAGGGTGGGGCCTGTATCGGATCCTTTCCTACTTGGTCTTCTGTTTCCTAGGGTGTGGGGTGAGTGCTAGTTCTGGGTCACCCATCTTCTGCCCACCAAATTGCCCAGCAGCTGGAAAGTTCCAGTGTAAAGCCTTTCCTGCCTTCCAGCAGCAGTGTTTAGCTTCCCACACAGTACCAAGGTGCTTGTGCACCCTAAAGGTGGTGAGGGGCAGGTCTGAATTGGAGTGGTCCCCATTTCTAGAAAGATGCCTGGTTCTCCAGGACCGGGGTGGGGGGGTACCAGACGTCATTGTCCCTGAGCTCTGCTGTTCCCCCTTTCTTTTAGATCAAGCGCTCATCTATCCGGAAGGGCATGGTGATGGTTTCTCCACGCTTGAACCCCCAAGCCTCCTGGGAATTTGAGGCCGAGATTCTTGTCCTCCACCACCCCACCACAATTAGCCCTCGCTACCAGGCTATGGGTAGGTGTCTAAGGCCTTACTAGCCCAGGAGGCCCCTGCTCTAACTTCCCCAAAAGGGGCTCCATTGACCCAACACCCTAGTTCCAGATCCAGCAAAGAGGTATGTCTCTAACCTGTTTAGCAAAGCTATTCCCTTGGTTCTACCCATTAGCCTCAGTATATTTGGTCCTGCAGATGCTCGCTGAGAGCTCTAACATTCAGACCTGTTCTCAAGGATCTCACATTCATTCCTTCAGCACATGACTGCTGAGCACTGCTGTGTGCTCACTGGTGGTGCCAAGGTGCTGGGAATGAGGATGAGCTGGGAGGGCCCTTCTCTGCAGGAGTTTGTAATCCATGAGGAGGCACAGTGCACAGTGCCTGTAATCCCTTGTATAAGGCCTTGGTTGCTGGGAAAGTGGGGCGTGTGAGGCAGGATCAGGTCCAAGAGCAGGCCTTCAGTCACCCTGACGCATTTGGCCTCCCAGAGGTCTTTCAGCCCTAGAGATAAGCCTTGCTGCACTGCAGCTCCAGCGTGCTTTGTGCTTTTCCTCACTGCCTCTCCTGGTCCTGAGGCTACAGGGCACCTCAAACATGTCCTGACTTCTCTGCTTTTTTGGTAGTACACTGTGGGAGCATCAGACAGACGGCCACCATTCTGAGCATGGACAAGGACTGTCTGCGCACTGGGGACAAGGCCACTGTCCACTTCCGCTTCATCAAGACCCCTGAGTACCTGCACATAGACCAGCGGCTGGTGTTCCGAGAAGGCCGCACCAAGGCTGTCGGCACCATCACCAAGGTACAGCTAGGGCAGACCTTGCCTGCTCCAGAAAGAACCAGTCCACTCTAGGCCAGTGACGCTGAGCACCGTTGACTCCCGAGAGCCCTGGGGGTTTTCCAGTCTTCTACCTGGGATAGAGGGACAGTCCCTGCCCTGAGAAAGCCAGGCCAGTGCTAAGTGTGGCATTAGTGCTGTCTTCACCCCCCTGAGAGGCCTCCTGTCCTGAGATTTGGTGGTAATCTTAGCAGAGAGAAGGTGAGATTGAGGCATGGCATTCCTGCATAGGAAGCTGTGGAGCAGTGTTTCTGGGCCTAGTGAGGGACAACCAGTCTGGGTCCTGTGGCCTGTTTGGCGCCATGCCTGAGGGCTCCCTGCAGCACAATGGATCCAGTCAGAAAGAGTGCTAGACATTGTAGGGGATGTGGCCTTGAGCCATTTGTATGTCCTGGAGCCCACCCACCTTTTGCCCACTGTAGACTTCAACATTGGCCTTGGGTAGGACATTTGTGGAGGGTTTGACCCTTGCTCTATGCAGAGGAAGGAAGTGGTTTCCACATGTTTGAGATCTTGGGATCAACCTTAGGTTGGCCCTTCTTCCTGAATGGTGTTCCTCAGGCTTGTCCCTGGAGATCCTGGAGTTTGTGTCCTTGAGCAACTGCTGGCTGAAAGTTTGGCAGAGTCTACAGCACCCACCTTAGTGTCTGTCCTCTGGGATTGAACTTGGACCACAAAGGACGATTCTGAGCTAGTTTCTCCTTGGTGGTAGCTTTTATGATTTCTGAAAAATTCTGAATGTTTTCAGCTGGTCAAGTGTTCACTTAATATCTTCAGGAGGCCTGAAGTTAAAACTTGGTCCAGAGCATACTGTGGGCAGACTGGGCCCTGTCCCAGTAGCTGAGCTGAGTATAAGGTGGCAGATGTTTATAGAATTTTCTGTAGAGTTGGAACAGCAGCTGGGGCTGGGAACAGGCCAAAGCCTTTCTGGGCGTGGAGAGGCAGGAGGTAAGGTGACAGCCTTGCGGCTGCAGCATTCCTGGCCTAAAAGTGGGGATGGCAAGACCTCCCTCCACCTCCGTGGCATGGTCCTCCTGCCATCTGCCTTGCACAGGACCAGCCAGGCCAGGGAATGAGAAGTCCCTAAGAGAAGAGAACAGAGACATGGACAGATTGCTAAGCCTGTGCCACTGCCTGCAGCTTTGACCTCATGCTCACCCCCTTGGCTTCTGCAGCTGCTCCAGACAACCAACAACTCCCCGATGAACTCCAAGCCCCAGCAGATTAAAATGCAGTCAACAAAAAAGGGCTCCCTGACCAAACGAGAAGAGGGGGGCCCACCTGGTGGGCCTGTGGTAGGGGCCCCTCCACCTGGAGATGAAGCTTCCTCCCTAGGGGCTGGGCAGTCAGCTTCATCCAGCAGTCTCCAGCCACCGGTGAGTGTGGGCCGCTTGTGGTCTCAAGCAGGGTGGCGGGGGAGTGTGACTGATTCTGTGGAGGTGACCACAGGAGGTCCCTAGTCAGAGAGAAGCCAACTTCCAGCACCTAAGTACCACTTAAGGCAGTGTTTCTCAAAGTATGAGATGTGTCCACATGCAATCAATTTAATTTGATCTTTGGCACAACCTGGGCTTGAACTACCACTTGAGCCATGCCTCTAGCCCTTTTTGCTTTAATTGTTTTTCAGTTAGGGTCTCCCATTTTTGGTTGTTTTTTTTTTTTTTTTTTTTTTTTGGTGGGGTTGGGGGGTTGGCCCTGAGGGCAACCTCAGACTACAATCCTCCTACCTTTGGCCTCCCACAGAGCTGGGGTGACAAGTGCATACCACCATGCCCAGCTTACTGTTTGAAGCCAGCTTTTTGCTCCCATTGGCCTCAAACTGTAATCCTCCTTATCTCCTCCTCCCAAGTGGCTAGGATTACAGGTATGAGCCACTGTGCCTGGCCTTAGCATTTAGTTTTAGTAAAGTAGATTTTACAAAATCAAGGTTTCCCTTTCATAGTAAGTATTGTTTGTATGAGTAAAGTCTGAGAGATACTATGCAGAGGGTCTCCTGCGTTCTCTCCCAGCATGAGGGGAGGTGGCCATGACTGTGTCATTGCAGTTCCCACTGGCAACTCCTGGCAGCTCTTCCTGACAAAGGCCTGACACTCCCCTCCCCAGTGTCTCTTTTTGGGTCCCGCTTTGAAAAAGGAAGCTTCTCCTGGATCTGTCACTAGTCTGTGTGTCTCTCTCCCTCCCCTTTTCCTCCCTCTCTTCCTCCCATTGCCCCCCCCCCCAGCTCTTTCACTGATGGGGCTGAGCGAGGTCACCTGGTAAACTCCTGTCCAGGCTAGGGTTAGGACATTGCCACCTGCTGGATGCCCAGCCCTGCTCCTGAGGGCCAGTGTTTCTCAAGTACCTTCTTTCTGTCTTTCAGCCCAAGCCTAGCAGTGGGGGCCGGCGACGAGGGGGCCAGCGCCACAAGGTGAAGTCCCAGGGGGCCTGTGTGACTCCTGCCAGCGGCTGCTGAATCTTCCTCTGGCCCACCCTCACCGCCTGAGAGATCCTTACTCTCTGGCCCACTCACCAGCTGGGCAGAGCAGCTCTAACCGCCACCCGCCCACCCCCAGGCCATAGCTGGAGCCTCCTGGTTGCCCCACCCATTTTCCAGGGGAGTTGTAATTTATAAGCTAAGGAAGGTGGCCAGACTTCCAGAGGACTGACTATCTCCCACCTCTTCCTGCCTCGTTTCTCACTCACACATCTTTTGTACATCTGGGCCCTTAGTTTTTATTCTTTTTATTATATACTCTGTCTCTATCTAGTGTGGTTGTGTGTGTGTGCGTGAGGTACAGGAGTGCAGCCGGGCAGGGCCTTGTCAGTCTCTTTCCTTTTCTCCTCCTGGCTAGCCACCAGCCTCCAGGAGCTGGCTGCCTGCCTGACCTTCCGTCCGTCCATGTGTCTGTCTTGGTGAGATCTTCGGAGCCTTTAGGGAATTTCAGGAACTGAAGGAGCCTGCCTCCCGTGTTCCACTGCTCTTCTCAGTGGAGCCCTTCCATGGGGCTGACCTTGGGCTGAGGGGTCTCTGAGATTCAGTGTCTTCTGCCAGAGCAGGGAACCCCCAGTCCAAGACTTTACCAGGCAGAAAGTGGTGGCTTCCCCTTTTCTTTCTCCCTTTTTCCCATAAGCCCCAGGAAGGTAATGCCAAAAGCTCTTCAGTGTCACCTGTGATGTGTAGAAGAGAGGTAACTTCATTATAAGACTCTGCCCACCCCCATTCTGACCCGTGCCACCAATCCAAAGACCCCTGGTGGGCTTCCTCTTGGAGACAATCCTGTGCTTGCCTGGGCCGGCTGGAGCTGCTCCTAGCTTCTGCCATCTGCCTACTGGGAGGCTCTCCCCACCCAGGAGTGGCCGCCTGCTTAGACTTTGGCCTTTGGCTGGCCAAAGTAGGGTGTGGGCCTGCCCAGATGGAGTTTTCTAGCGTGTCCTGTTGGTAGGGAGGGGTGTGCTTCTCTGAGCCCAGCCAGTACTAGAAATCCTTTCCCCACACGCTGCCCAACAGGCTGCTACAGGAGCATAGTGGCGAGAGCAGGCGGGGACCGAAACAGACTCTCCCAGGCCCAGCACAGCATTTAGTCCTCAGGAAGCATTGCTGCTTGGAGTGGGGCAGAGATGGTGACATGGTCCTGAGCCAGCCTGGACCGAGCTCTGCCCCCATAGCCCTTGGTTTAGGGTCACTGATGGGCATTTCTTCTCTAGCCAGGGCAGACACCCAGCTGGCTGGGTCCTTCTTCAACCTCACCTGCTTCCATCCCCAGCCCTCTCCTGTCCTGTCCTGACTGCTGGTCCTCTCTCCTATCTGCTCCCAACTGTCTCTAGTCACCACTGACCCGTGGCTGTGGACTGACCAGACCAGCATTCACAATAAAAGTTTCTTCCACGTTGACAGTGTTGTGTTCCCTGCCCAGCCCTCCAGGCGGAGGTGCTGTCAAGGGCATGCTGTGGCTTTGCCTGCCCTTGGGCGCCCTGTGGCAGCCCAGCTTCCCATCAGGCAGGTGTGACTCCCACTGTGTGACACAGGACAAGTTCCCAGCCTTCTTTGAACCTCATTTACAGCAATAGGCAGATTCCTCTGCCATAGTTGTATGAATTCAGTGAGTGTAAGTGAGGCCCTGGGCAGGCCAGAGAGGAGAACATGGCACGGCCACATCTGCTGTGTGGTGAGGACTGCCAGGAGGGCTCACTCACTTGTGGCCTGACATTCACAGCTCCTATCTCTGGGTAGGCATTGCTAGCACTGGTTTTCTAGTTGGGGAAGCTGCAGCTCAGAGAGGGGGTGTAGCCAGCAGATGCTCATTCCCATGTTGGCCCTCACCCTGCAGCTTTGCCTGCCAGCCACCTGACTTGTCCTTTGAGTCCTGCTGTTCCTTTATTGGCTGTTTCTGCCCACTCTGTTGACTCTGGCTTGCTTAGACTGTACCTTCATAATGAGAGGGCAGCGGCATGGCAGGAGTAGGCTGTCGACTCTGTCCCCACAGGACCTAGCCATGGTGAAACCTCATTGCATTTGAACTCTTTAGCCTTATAAGCAGTGGTAGTTGCCAAAAACATTCTTTCAGGAACTCTGGCCACTACCTTGGCCTCTGCTCACAGACACACAGGAGGCAAGTCACCCTAGGCCCACACCTACCAGCAGGGAGCTGACTGAATTCAGTGTTTTACTGCCATTAACAGGGATTATAAAGGTCCCTGCAGGTCTCAGCCCTCCCAACAATTCATCTGGCACAAAATCCCAACCCATTTCTAGTTGATAAAGAATAACATTGCTAATCTTTCTGTCTCAAATGACAAGATCTGACTTTTCTGTACAGGCGGTAGGTGTTTGTGGCATCTCTACCAGGAATAAGGCCCTAGGATAGGTGGGGTGGAGGTGGCCAAATCCCCACCTCACAGATGGGTCTTTATTTGTGTGACCATGTGCCACAGTGCATTTGGTTAGGGTTGGGGAGGTGCCAGGGAGATGGTATGAGGGTTGTACCCTGAGGGGCCAACAGGATTTGAATATGGGCAGCTGGGCAGAGGCACTGAGCCTTGATGGCATGTGGCAGGCTCAGGGATGTTTTACTGGGGCTGTTCCTGCTCGGGGGTGTTTTCCTTTGTTGAAAACTGGCACTAGATGCAGAGCAGGTGTTGGGTGAAAGGATGGGAAGTGAACTAAGTGCAGGCCCAGCTCTGTCCTGGGACTCAGAACCCAGAAGCTCCAGGCTGGACTTGCACTCTATCCAGTGCCCTCTCCTGGCTCTGGTTGTCCACAACACCCCTTCCTCCTGACCATTCCTGCCTTTATTTTCTTAACCATGGTGAGAATCAGCTCAGGGCAAGGTGCTATGGCCAGTACAAGATGCTTCAGGGTTCTGCTGGGGGGCCAGTCCTGTGCAGCTTGTCAGGGGATGCAGCTCCTTACGTATGTGACTTTCTGCCTCTCTCAGTAGCACCAAGACAGGAAAGGCCTTTTCCTCCATAAGAGGTAAAGCCATTGCACTTCTGCCAGTTCAGAAACACTGGAATTGACTTTGTCTCTGGTCCCAGCTACATTACCATGAGGTTTTTACCAAAAGTCCTGGGTTTCTAAACTTCAGGAATAAGTCTTTGGGGAGATTGGTTTGACCTCTCTCATAGCACCAAGACAGGAAAGGCCTTTTCCTCCATAAGAGGTAAAGCCATTGCACTTCTGCCAGTTCAGAAACACTGGAATTGACTTTGTCTCTGGTCCCAGCTACATTACCATGAGGTTTTTACCAAAAGTCCTGGGTTTCTAAACTTCAGGAATAAGTCTTTGGGGAGATTGGTTTGACTAAGATTTTATTTCCTTATTTCCGCAATAGCAGCCACCTTCTGCAGTAGTCAGATAAAAACCACATTCCATTGATCCTGGGCATCCTTTATTTTTTGCATAGGCATAAATTAGAATCTGGAGATAAAAACATTAAGAACCAACAGTGCAGCATTTGTGACAGGAGAGCGCAAAACAAGTCCTGGTGGTTTTGACAGGGGCAGGGCTGTGCAGGGTGCCATGCTTCAACCAGCCCAAGCCCTGGAGCCAAGTGGGTCCAGCCCTGCTAACACAGGGCATCTGCCTGCCCAGCAGCTTCTCCTGGTCCTTCCCGCAGGCCAGGACCAAGCCCCTCTTGGCAGCCAGGAACTAGGAACTGAGTACCACCCAGTGCCCCACAGAATGGAGCTAGGAGTCAAGCCCTTAGTTTCTCAATTAAAAAAAAACCCAAAAACTTGAAAAATATATACATAATACAGCAGGGCCTGAGGGCCTAAAAGCCCCCTCTTGCTCCTTCCTACACAGCATAACTTCTGCCGTCCTCCCTTCCAGCCCCCATGCCACTGTCCCATAGAGAAGGAGCCAGAAAGGAAACAATTGAGCAACAGCGGAGAGACAAGGGGATAGTGAGAGTGTCGTCTCCATCAGGGCCTGACTGGAGGGGGTGGTATACAGACAGCCTCTTCTTACCCAGTACCCTGAACAGCACTATCAGCATCTGCATGACCTAGGAGAGCCTTGAAGTCCCCTGCTCCCTCTAGGGGCTAATGACCCCAAAGGCAGGCCTGAGGCCCCCCACAGCCTGGAAGAGAGTATAAAGCTTGCTCTGGGGCATAGGCAGGCCCCAGCAGAAGTGGGGTGCATCATGGGCTCTTGCCTTGGTATCAGGAGAGAAAGCATTGTCCACCCCAGCATCGGGGTGTCTTATAGACTGGTAGGAGCCCATCCCCTCCAAGGCACAAAGAACCCCACAGCTACTATTCCCCAGGACTTCTAGAGGAGTCCCTCAGGGTCTGTGGGTTAAGCTTCCCTAGGCCTTCCCCTGCCTTGAGGGCCTCCAGATGTCTCCTGTGGATGGACTCAGTTGCCTGGTGCTAAGCATCCTCCTCCCAGAGGGTTGCACAACTCACCCATCTCACCTCTCCTGGGGTGGCCCAGCCCACCCACAACTTTGGCACCTCCTTTATCCAGCTGCCCTCCCATCAGGAACACCTTGGAGCCAGTCCCTCCACCCCAGGTGATGGCAGTTGGCCTCACTTCCCTGCCTCCCAGTCCCCCATGGTATGCTACATATATACACCCTGTGGCACCCAGCTCAAGGAGGAAGGTGAAGGGGGCTGCTGGAGCCCAATGGTCACCTCGAGGTGCCTGGCTATGTGGGAAAGCCTGTATATTCTTCCTCATCTCCCTGGGGCCAGCGTTTTTTGCTCCTGGAAATCAGAATGCCAATAAGCATGTGGGAGCAGTGGCAGGGTGCTATGCATCCACTCCTGGAGCAGGAGTGGCTGCTGGGAGGGGTGAGCCTCCCAGAGGGCTGGCAACAGGCACGAGATGTCGAAGAGCTAGTGGGCAGGCTCCCCGTGCACTCTGAAGCGGTAGATGCAGGTGTACTCGGGGTGGCCCCAGTTGGTCAGGATCCGTAGCTCCACTACCTGGTACGTGGCCATTTTAGGAGCCTGGGTAGAGAAGAAGGGTTAAGAGTGTCACACACAGTCTTTTAGGACCTCACCCACAGAGAAAGGTGGGTAGGGAACAGCCATCCCTGTGGCTCCCTCTCCTTCCCTAAGGGTCTGAAAGCAACTGAGTTTCAGAAGTTCTTGTCTTGTCTCCAGGAACCATTCCCAGCCAGAGGGCCAAGGACCTCAGGGCTGCTGCTGGACCACCAGCCTGTGAGCCTGTACTAGACCCAGCCTTTGGGCACGTGAATGGTCTTGGTACTGATGACCAGCACAGTGTGTCTGAAGCTGGGAGGCATTCAGGATGATCATTATCCTCATCATGGAGGGCTTGCTATGTGCTAATGTGGTTCTCTTTTTTCTCAAGTGCCCAGTCAGGCTGTCCTCTATGCTTAAAGGCCACAATATTTGAGGCAGCATTTGCAGCATATCTCACCCTGGTTGAGGCCTCAGGCATGGCACCCTCCTGCCATCCTCTCCCTGCCTTTGCTGCACCCTCTCCTTAGGCCCAGCCTACACATAGCCTCAGAAGCCCCAGCCCCTCCCATGACTCCATCATCACCTGGGAGCTGACAACTGTCTATATCTACTCCTCTGACAGCACCACCAGACTGTCCCATAGAGCCTTCAAACTGGTGGGTGACCCTGCTTCCCACTCTGTATTAGTTCCTGTCAACACCATCTCCTGCCCCCCATCATGGTAGACTGCAGCTGTCCCCTGTACCACCTTCTCCTGTTCCTTCCAACCTAACATCCAGGATCCTCTCAACTGTCTCACTCCCAACACCCTCTCCACCTTCTCAGTTCTGGTGTGCCTCCCCACCATCAGACTACCCTGGCTCCAGGCTCTACCTCCTTCACTCACCTTCCACCCTTTAATGAATACTGTCACCCACAAGGCAGCAATGCTAACTCCCAGCTTTGAGACCTGAAATTCTTGCCTTTCTGGGCCTCTTCCTGCTACTGTCCCCTTTCCACCTCTCACAGTGCCCCCACTCCTCCCTTGCCTCACATTCATCCCTATTGTCTGTTCAAAAGTAGAGCCCTAGATCCCCTCAGTCCTAAGGAATCTGCTCTCTAATAGGGGCCTGCCAGATCTGGTGCCCACTCAAGGTTAAGCCAGGGGCACTGCCTGAAGCCTCCACTGAGGCCTGTCCCAGCAATGCTGGTCTAAAATACCTTTCACAGTCATATCCTGGTCACCCCAACCCTTTCATAAAACTTGGCTCAGCTGTGCCTGACACTGCCCTTCTGGAAGGAACCCTGTGTCATGGGGTGTATGTCTGAACCCCTAGTCTGGCAGAGCGAGCGCCGGGGAGATCCCTGCTGCCAGCTGGGAGCGCAAGGGGCCGCCTCTGCAAGCATGACAGAAGTCTGTACCTGGAAGTAGAAGGTCTGAATGGGCTCCCCATCCTGGTCATAGGTGAATGTGCCAAGAAGTGTTCCATCCTGCTGCAAATCTTCGTCAAACCCCTGCAGAAGAGCACACAAGGGACAGACAGGGAAGATCACTAACTTCTCACTGAAGTGCCAACTCCCACCCTGGCGCCACCCCTTCCAACTGTGTCCCTCCCAGCCAGAGAATACAACTTGAGACTGGGACTGGGAGGCTCCTCCAGCCCACAGCCAGATACTCACAAAGATGGCAAAGTCCTTGGGGGCACTAGAGATGGTGCTGTTGGGTGACAAGGCCTTGGGCACGTGCTCTAAGGTGACGGCTGTGGGGTGGATACGGGCAGAGAGGCGGACCACGGCGAAACCCTGGGGCCCTTGGAAGGCCCAGCAGTTACCTGGATGCACATCTGGCTGGAGGGGAGGGAGGGCATATCAGTACAGGGCCCAGAGTCCAGCTCTGGCTGATCCCGGGGGGACCATTCCCAACATGCTCAGAGCCCCCCTCGGGTCCTTACTAGGTGCCCACCTGGAGAATGACACGGGGTGACTGGGAATGGTACCACAAGGGGATGCCGAAGAGGCTGAGGAGGGCTGTCTTGGTCTCGTAGGTCTCGGAACATCGGGTACTGATAACACTGGCTCCTGACAGGGAAAAAGGTGAGTGGGCACCCGCAGGGAGAAGGACCAGACAATCAGCTAGCCACAGGGACCCTGGCTCAAGGGCTGAGGCAACCAGAGGGGGGACTGCCACTGCCATCTCCTTGCTGAGCACAGAGGACAGGTGCCCATGTCAGAAACTAGTCCTAACCAAGACACATGGGGCAGTGTCTGGTTAGATATCTGCCTCTTCTGACCTTGGTGCTACCCAGCACCTTCTGGCTTCCCTGAGTTGGCCCTGCCTAGGCTGGAAGTCTAGGTTGGGTGATTTGTACTGGTCCCAAGCCCTTCCTGCTCAGCACCACAACTTCCTGGCAGAGGCCAGGGCCCCAGTATTGTGGGGACCATGACAAGGCAAGGGAAAGAAGGCAGCATGCACACACCTCCTGACTCCAGAGCATAGTCCACCATCCCAATGCGGTCCTCACTGTAGCGCTGCAGGGCCTGCTTGACAATCCTGTGCACCTGCTAAAACACAGCCCCAGGAGATAGTCATAATGAAAATGGGAGGCAGACATGTCTGCCCTGTGCCCCTCTTCTGTGGGTGGCACCTGTCAACTGATCCTGCTAGACTGGACCATGCTGGTGCCCAGAAAGGTATGGCACACCTCCACCACCCATGCCAGACCCAGAGATCACAGCAGAGCCTCCCATGTGTCACTTATATCCTAGAACATGTGAGAAGCTGTCCAGGTCGACAGGTCCCAGGGAGGAAAGCAATATCTCTGGGGTGGGGAGGACCTTGCTCCTCACCTCCTCTGTCACCCCGACCACACCTTCTTTCTGCAGTGTCCGTCCCAGGAAGGCTGCGGCCTCCCGGGCTGACTTGCCCTGCATCTCTGCCACATGGGCGAGGATCTTGGTCTCCAGCTCCTGCAGCCGGGTGTGCATCTCCTCTCTCTGGAGGAGCCCAGGGTGGGCGCTGCTCCCTTGGAGAAGGAACTGACTGATCCAGGTGGGGAACTGGGATTCCACCTAGGGACAGAAATGGTTCTAGTCTGGGAGGCTGGCGGGAATAGCAGTGGCTGTTATGGCATGATGGGACCAGGTGAGGTGGCACTCAGTTGGGAACAGGGCTGAGAGAGAGAGGGAGACCCAGGGAAGAGAGGTTATAAACTATCTCCCTGAGCATCGACCAGAAACAGGAAGCACTCCTGCTACAGAGCCCACCCTGTGCCAGTCGGCTCTGCAGGTATCTAGGGAGTGACAGAGGCTCCTGCTGCACAGCCCCAGGGTGGAAGGTCCTGGAAGAAAGGGTGCTTGGCAAGGCCTTAGGTGGTTCCCACTCACATCAGCCCGCACAGCCTGGATCTTCTGCGGTATTAGCCCCATTTCATCTGCCACTGAGCTCTGCTTCTGGGTCAGGGCTGCCAGCTCCTGCCGCAGGCTGGCCAGCTGGGCCTCCAGCCGCCCCAGCTCCTTCACAGAGTTCTCCCAGAAGGCCTCCTGGGTCATCCTAGTCCCAGAGAGAGAAGAGTAGGGAGGGAGTAAACCATATTGAGGAAGAAAGAGGATCCCTGGTTGGCCCCATGTGCCACCACTGTGAGAGGAGGGGCTTAGCTACTCTTGGAGTGGCTATCCAGCCCAGGAGTTGGGAACTGGCTTGTCTGTCCCCCCAAGCTTTCTGATCTGATCCCTCCAAGCCCAAAGTCTGTAATTTGCTGTGCCGCAGCCTCTCCCAGCTCCACAAGCATGAATGTGTGGGCTGCAAGGAGGCCTCCTGCACCAGGCACACTCAAAAGACCAGCTCACAAGCCCCCATCCTACGGTAGCACCTCCTGCCACCAGCAGCCCCTGCAAACAAAGGCGGGCTGTGTTCCCACTCTCAGCCAGGACTCAGCCACCCCTCCCCACTGGAGGACTCTGCCTGGGTGGGAGCTTGCGAGATAGCGAGCTTTACCTTTGCCACTCTGACTTCAGCTGCTGGATGCGAGCTTCTGACTCCTGGGAGCAGGAAGAAAGGACAAAGGCAAAAAAAAAAATCCAAGCTCAGAGAACTTAGTCTCCAAAGGAGGACTTACTCTCTCTCAGGGTCTCCCAGCCCAAACTGACCAAAGTCCTTCTGAGAGTCCCATCCCACATTTGTCTCACTCCTACGTGTACCTGGTCCCCACGCACGCCTGCGATCTGTCCCTGCCCTGCACGCTTCTGGGGGTTCTTATGGAGCAACCAAATGGTGCAAGTTCAGCACACCAGGAGGCAGAGACGGCACATCCTCCCACTCAGCGTCCCCCCGGAAGGACCAAAGGGCTTAGGTGTCTCAGCCCCAGAGTCAGGATACCAGCTCAGGCTGGAGTGCCCAGCCACCAACCTGGGAGGCCTGGACAATCTTCTTGAAGAGGTCTTCTGAGTCTTGGTGATATTCTGCCCGCAAGGTGGCCAGTTCTTCCTGCCAGACAGGAGGAGGAGACTGGACATTTGACATTTGCACTTTGGGAGGGCACTTGCCTCTAGGAGGAGGGCTAAGTGAGATTCAAACCAGGGCTCTGGTTCCCAGGCATTAACTCTTGGCCCCATGCCACAGTGCTTCTCTGAAACACACAGGAGTCCCACCTGATCTCTGTGGCACACCTCCGTATCACACATCTCACAATTTGGGGGGAGGGGGACAAGGCCAAGTCAGGACAGTCTATTTTAAAGAGGGGAACTAAGGCTTAGAGTAACTGCCAAGTGGCAGAGCTGTCTGACCCTAAATGACACACACTGCTGCCTCCCTCATGCCCTGCAGGGCCTCAGCCCTCACAAGACTCCTGTCAAGAGTTCCCACAGTGTGTCACCCACATGGGAGACCCAGCTCCTACCCCAAGGCAGCTCCACTCCCCCACCTGGATGCGGGCAGCACTGTCCCTGCGGAAGTCCTCCTTCAGGGCAGCCTCGCGGCGGCTCACTAGCCCTTCCAGGAGTGCCAGGGTGTCCTCGTGGCTCAGGCCACCACCGCCACCTCCCTGGCCAGCAGCCCCCTGCCGCAGCTCCAGGCGTTCCAGTCGGATGGCCTCCTTCTGCCAGTTAGAGGAAAACTCAGCAGCAAGAGCTTCTAGGCGGCGCTCCAGGGTGTGCACTTGGGATAGGATGCGCTGCTCGGCCTGGCGGGGCAGAGGGAGACGGGCAGGAGTTAGGGACCCAGGAGAGCCCGCCACAGCAGCAGAGAAAGGGAAGAGAATAGCAGGAACACCCTGACTCAGTCCAGCGGGGACCATGATGGCTGCAGCATGTGTCAGTGAGAAGCAAGTGCTCTGAGCTGGGTGGACACTTGGAGGTAGGGAGGCATGGGGTGCCCAGGAGGGTCCCCAGGACAGGCTGTAGGAGTCAAATCCCAAAGGAGAAATAAAGGTAGTTAGAGGAAAGGGTCTGAGCACAGGGACAGGCCAAGAAAAGGAGACAGCCTCAGCACTGGATGAATGGCTGGGCTGCAGCACCCCCTCCCCATGGACAGGTAGGTGCACAGGCGTAGAGAGCTGGGGTGGGGGGGTCACAGCTGTTGGCTCTCAAAACAGCTTTCACTCCTTTCATAGATAACCAGGATTAAAAAAAAAAAAGAGAGAGCTTTGAAAGCACTTTATTTTTCCTCTTTAACCGGATGTCCCATGAGGAAGGTAGAATAACAGTTATTCGGGCCTGAGAGTGGCATCTGATAATATATGAATTTTGATGGCCTTTGTTGACTGAACAACAAAATCTTTGCCAAGAGAAATTATAAAACAGTCTGTCAAGTATCAATTAAAGGGCAAAAGGAGCTGGGTGCTGGTGGCTCACACCTGTGATCCTAGCTACTCAGGAGGCAGAGATCAGGAGGATTGTGGTTTGAAGCCAACCCGGGCAAAAGAGTTCACAAGACCCTATCTCGAAAAAACCCGCCACAAAAAAAAAAAAAGCTGGCGGAGTGGCTCAAGGTGTAGGCCCTGGGTTCAAGCCTGGTGTCACTACTTGGGAGGATCACAGTTCGAGATCAGCCCAGATATATATGGAAATGTCACAGTGAAACCCCTTGTATAGTTCATATATGCTAATAAATATGTTTTATTAGCTAAGGGACAGAGGTCCTGGGTTTTAGAAACTGGTTTTTAAATAGGCAGTGCATTTGCATGAGTCAGAAAGCAAGCAAGGTAGTCTTGCTCCTAACCCCTGCCCTGCCCAGCCACTGCCCTCATGTGACCCCAGCCTCTCCAAACCAGCCTGCTCTTTTTATTGGTGTCTTTATGCAAATGTAAGCAAAGGCAAAGATGTGTTCAGCTTTGCTTCCCCTTTTTACAGAAAAGGTGGTCCGAAGCTGAATTCATTTAACAAACCAAATTGCATTCAAGGTCGCCAATGATTACAAAAGGACATTGCAGATGACAGATGTCATTATGTTATGAAATATAACAAGACCGTGCTCAGCAAAGTAATGTCTGCAAACATGATTAAAAACAGTACTGGGAGCAAGCCGGGGGGCAGGCCAAGTTCAAATAACTCTAGGGCACATGGGGTCTTAAGTGGTCTGCAGTCAAAACACATTCTGGTTGGGTCTACTTGTCACCTCGGCTGACTGCAAGACTGCAGGGCATAGCCAGGCCTGACTCATCTTTAACTTTTATTTATTTATTTATTTATTTATTTTTGGTGGTACCGGGGTTTGAACTCAGGGCCTCACACTTGCTAAACAGGTTCTCTACCACTTGAGCCACTCCATCAGAACCTGACCCCTCTTTAGAAGGTTATAAACTGGTCCCCATCCCTCCCTCTCTGTGTCAGCAGGACCCTTCAGCTCTCCCCTTGAGAGGCTTCCCTGCCTTGTCCACCCTCCTGTCTATGAGTTTTGCTTCATGGCTAGCATGCCTGAATCCAGGTCCCAGCCCGTCTGGCCTACTTCCTCTCCCTTGGAACCCTGCCCAGATACTATGGGAGCAAGTCCCAGCTAGCCTGTTGGGTGACCAAAGTGCACATGAAGGCCAGCTGTCCCTGCAAGGACCTAGGCCAGCCAGTCCCAAGATGGCCAGGACCCCTTAGACCTAGCTGTGTGTGTAATCATGAGCTAAGCAAACGCTGGAGAAGTCTCTGCCCAGTTTAGTGCTGAGTGGTCGAGTAGGACATCACCTCATGCACAGAAGGCACACAGACAATACTGGTGAAATTGCATGGAAAAGGAAAAATACAGACAAAAGTTTGGCAGTTCCTTTTCCTCCTATTTTCTGTGCTCCTTAGGAGGCAAATAACTTTTGGACATAGTTTTGAATCATAGTTAAGGGCAGGTCACCCCCAACACCCACACCCCAAAGACCAGGAAGAGAAGTACCGTAGCTAGAACAGCATCTCAGCTTTGTGGCAGGGGGTAAGGCAGGGACATTGTGTGCAGTCAGGCACGGGAGGGTCTACCCGCCACCCTCAATACTGACCTGGAAGTGTGGAGACGCGTCTCTGGATTCCCAAACTTCAGGCTGCCGTCTGCCGTCCTTTGCTGCCCACCAGGACACCACAGCAGGGTGGAATGTCTGCAGCCCATAGGGGTAGAAATACCAAGCACCTGGGCACAGGGAGTGGCTGCTTATTATCCCCTCCATCACCATGGCCTGTGTCACTCTTATGAGCCCCTTCAACCTGACCTCAGACATTCTCACATATTCTGCAGGGCCCCTTCATCTCTCCTGTAAATAATGAAACTCAGGGAAATGGCTGCAGGGTGGACACCAGGGCCCTGATGGCTCTTAGCTGGCCTTACAGCACCATCACCTACGAGCTTTTCAAATAACCAGTGTCTGTCCACTTTCTGGGGTGGTATCCTGTGTGTGTGTTTAGAAGCTTCCTAATGGCTGCACAGGCTGTCAGGGCTGAGCAGCCCCCAAAAGAATGCAGCACCTAATCTAAGATGGGTGCTGATGTTCCCCAAACCAGAGCACAAAGCTGCAGCTATGCAGAGACACTTGCATCTTGCTGTGGGAGACGTGTGTCGTGTGTTTGCTTCTGAGGGGGATGTGTGTGTGTGTGTGTGAGAGAGACAGAGAAAGAGAGAGAGAGAGATACAGACAGACATGCAGAGAGGGAGGAAGAGAGAACCTGAAAAGGCCATGCTTGCTGCTCAGTCACAGCAAGGGAAGGGGAAACACCCGGCACGGGCCCGAAGCCCGAAGTGGACATGCCCTCATGCACGTCCCTCCACCTCCTCCTCCACATGACTTGATGCTGGCTCTACAGCCCCATGAGACAGTGGTGATGCTCAGGTTAAATGGCGATACCCTGTGGAAGGGCTTCTGGACAGAATGCTCTGAGATTATAAAGGATCATTATTATTTTAAGGGTGATGCCCAGTTTCCACTGGGTAAGAACAAGCTGTTCTCGTAACAGGAAACAAAAAGGAAAACAGTATTTGGAAAAACGTGGTACCCTAGTACTAATAAAAGAAAGTGCAAATCGAACAGACACTAAGCCTAAAAACCAGCTCTCTTTAAGTTAAAGCACGGCCTTTAATTATAAATTGGTACCATCATTCAAGGGGCCCCTAGGGCCATATAGGTACTCATATAGAAACCAGGAGACTAGGGTGAAGTTGAAGAAAGGGAAGTGGAAGACAGAACATCAGCATGACAAGACAGTCGGTGACAGACTGGAGCAACACAGAGCAGCTGGTGAGTGACTGCTCTTCTACTGCATTGTTTTTGCCTAAAGACAGCTAAACTTGATCTTGTGAAAACAGTCCACTCACACGACTATGTCCTCATTTGGAATGGAGGGAAAAATGACTGCTACTAATAATAGCATCCGAGTTCCTGCTTGTTACCCAACTGAGGTGGGTTGTTACCCAACACACCAAGGCTGTCCCAGGGTGCGTTCCTGCCCAAGCAGTCCAGAGGTGCCCTGCACTACAGTGTGGCTGCCAGCTCAGGGCATGATCAGCAGATGGAGTTTCTCCTCTTTACCCCTGAGCTGAGCATCACCCAAAAGTGGAAAGGGTCGGCCTAGGGTTCTGCCTGGTTTACTGGATAGCTAGCCCAAAGTCTGTCTGCCACATCTGTCTCTACCCTGGCACTTCCCACTCCTCACCCACCCCAGGCTCACCATAGGTCAGGCCCGTCAGGAACAACAGCAGCAAGAGGAACCAGAGGAATGTCTTCAAGGAGGAGAAGCGCCTGGACCTCATGAGGGCAGACAGGAAGCAGATGTGAGGAGGAGGGCTCTGGTCCTCCATGCCCCGCTTGCACTGATCCCCTCAAGACCTTTCCCTGAGTCCTAAACTAGAGTGAAGGGGGCTCCCTTGAGCTGCTCACGGGATCAGGGTCATACTGGATGCCAGAGCTTTACCTCTAGGTCTTAGAAGGATGGAGACTTGACTCTGAGTTTTGTTGATGTAATTAACAATAAACAGTGTGGTCTTTGAAAAACCTAAACATTTTTATAGAGATTCTTTAAGCAAGAAAATATAGGAAAAAAATGTAACTCCCTACACAAACAATACTTTCTTTTAGGACAAGGACTGTTTTTGGTGACATGAACTGGTCCTTGCACCTCTTCTCAGTATCACTGGCTGCCCACCCTGACCTGGACTATGACCAGAGAGGCACTGAATTCCAGTTCAGTTTCTTTCCTCTGCCTAAGGGGCAAGGTCCCCAAATCTTGGTCCTCTGGTTTGGGAACTTGGGGGACAAACCCACAGCATTCCCAGGCAGTGTGTTTTAGTGACTTCTGAACATAAGAGGGAAACCTCTAAGGTCTAGACCATCCCAGGCCCAAGAGGAAAGATGGACTTTCTGGGAACTGTGCCTCTGGCTAGCACCTCAGGGCTCAACCACTGGGAGCAAAGTCACCAGTTCTATGACACTCAGCAGTGACCAGGCTGGGTGATGCTTAGTAGGAAGTGTCCAGAACTTGTATTTCAGAATCTTTCTGGAAGGGCTATTGATTAGGAACAAAACCTGCCTGAGTTTTCTCCCTCCTGCAGCCCCCACTATGGCAGGCAGGGATGGGCTCTGGGGGTCCACTTCCCCCCGAAGTCTGCTCACTGCAGACTGGGGAAATGACCACATGTGGGTTTAGATGCTTTATTGTCCCTTCAGTCCCAGGGCTTTCTGTTCTTTTTTTTTTTTTTTTTTTTGGTGGGGCTGGAGTTTGAACTCAGGGCTCAGGCCATCATACTTTTAAAGCAGGCATTCCATGTCTTGAACCACACCTCCGGTCCATTTTTTGCTCTGGTTATTGTGGAGGTGGGGGACTCATGAACTATGTGCCCAGGCTGGCCTCGAACCGCGATCCTCCCAATGTCAGCCTCCCACATAGCTAGTATTACAGACGTGAGTCACCCGGCACCCAGCTCCAGGGCTTTCTTAAACATTGTCACTCACCTGGTTAAAACAAAGACATCTAGGAGGGAGGCGGCTGTTGTCAGGCGGTACCAGGTGGTGCCTATCCACCAGTAGAGAAGTCCAAAGAGCCGGCCTGAAAAGCAGCCATCAAGCATAAGACTTGACATATTTGGTGTGTCACTCTCTGTCCATCTGTGGTCCTTCCTAGCCCATGCAACACCCACCTGCCATGGTGCCTCTGTTCCATCCTACAGTGGCCCAGTTCCAATCCCACCTGTCTAGTCTGCCCAGACCCTCAGTCCTGCTCTGCAGCTGCCCAGATTCTCCCCCAGCCAGGGTGTTCCCACCACTCTTGGCACCCGGTATTTATTCCAGAATGAGCCTTCCCGATGATTCTACCGTCTCTGTAGGCTGGGTGCCCAACTTCAGAGTTAGGTAAGAAGTCACTGCTGTAGAGAGAAGTAACTGAGCATGTGCAACCCAGCACCCACCTGGGAAAGTGACCAGCATCCAGACAAAGGAGCCTGCGCCAGAGACAGCACTCCGTAACCGTGACCCTGAGCTATGCTGGTCCATATTCGGGTAACCTGCAGGGGAGAGGAAACCAGCTCAGCATGTCCTCGCTGTTAGCGCCTTGGGATGCAGAGCCTAACTGCTATTGGGAGCTGAGGCTGCACATGGTTCTCCTTCACACCCATGAGCACTGCACTGGCCTGCCCACGAAAGCCAGCAAATGTTGGTAGAGGGATGAGATGGGAGGTCTCTGACATCTCATTTCTAAACAGCGCATCTCTTCTGCATCCTTCTCTTAATGACCCCTCAAACTGTCGTCAGAACCAGATGAGGGGACCATTTGTGCATCTAACAAAAATTACAGAGCACCTACTATGTGCAGTGCTCCCTGTGATCTGCTGAAACAAGCAAATCACAGTGGTGCAGGCCTTGGAACACTCACAGACTAGGGGGAGTAGGGCAGACAAGCCAGGGCACAGCAGCCACAGCCCTGTGTTGAGGGACACATAGGCCAGGTTCAGGGAGGTTTGGGCACAGGAGGGACACCCAACAACACTGTGAAGTGCCTGCTGCATGCCAAGCCCTCTCATGGTTGGGCTGCTTCCTGCCCAGGCTGCCCATGGCTCCCAGCAGGCCCAGAATCAGTTCACACAGGGAGGCAGCACCTACCCACGAAGTCATCCTCAGAAGAGTAGCCCGAGGAGGAGCCGAGGAAGTCCTCCTTCTTCTCCGCCAACCCGTTGACCTTGCTGCTCTCCGTGCCACCTGTGCCTCTCCTCCTCCTTACATGCAGGTCCTCACCTGGCAGGAAAGAACAGGGACTCTCCTGAGCCTCAGCAGCATTGGGCCTCAGGCAGAAGGGCAATCAGAGGAACATGTTGGGGGTGGGCGGCTTGGGGACACTAAGGAGAAGGAGTTCAGAGGAGGCAAAGCCCCAGGAAGGAGGTTTGGGACTCACTCCAATAGGGCTCACTGCGCAGGTGGTCATCAAGAAGGGCACTCCTAGCAAGGGCTGCTGCCCGGGGGCTGCCTACATAGGACTCCCGGACCATGGACTCGCTGTAGTAGGAGGTGTGGGCATCAGAGGGGCCCAGCTGTGGCGCTGGAGACAGGCGCTTCATGTTGCTGGATTTCCTCTTCAAGGTCCTATGGGAGAGTCATGAAAGGAGAGGTAGGGAGGTGAGTCCACAGCTGGGGGCAGCAAGAAGTCACAGTCATGGCAACCTCCTTTGGAGTGGGTTGGCCTTGTTGCTAAGCAACAAATCAACTCCATCTCCTGACCACCTACCAGTGCAGGTACTTTGCTCCTGGTATTGCTGAATCTCACCAGAAATAGGCAAGCTCATCAGTTAGGGATGGAGCCAGGCTCAATACAGGTCTCTAACTTCAAAGTCACAGTTTCTCATGCTTCCTAACAGATTAGTAACTTCTACACTGAAAACCTAGACAAAATGATCTGGCCTCCTAGAGCCAGCCAAAGCCTGTCATGTCTGCAAAAGGGCAGGACACAAGGCCGCTGCTGCCCTGGGGGGCAGCCAGCTGCTGAAGTCCTGCAGGAGGTGAGACACGAGGCATAGGTCTGGGAAGGACCAAGCCACCACACCCATCCACAGTAGGAAGGGAGGGGTTGCTGTGAGCCCAGCTTGCAGCTTTAGAGTTTCCGGCTTTGCATATGCCTCTCCCCACTTCCTGTTCTCTAAACCCAAGGGTAGCAGCCCCAGGTCACAGTGGAGAGAAGATGGGGCACTCTGGATACTGGCATCCTCCAGTGTGAAGACAGGTAGGACTCCTCTGACCAAACATGGACATCTGGTCTCTGCCTACAAAGTGCTCTGTGGGGCTGCGCAGTGGAAGGGAGGTGGCACTCTACACTCCTACCTGAGTGGACTGTCTTTGAACAGTGTGCTCTGGCTGCCTGTCACGGAGCTCCCTCCACTGCTGCTGCTGCCATCATCGTCACCCTGTGAGTAGCGCGTGAGGCGCTGGCTTCGTCTTGACATAATGAGATGGGATGGAGACCCCTTTCTCTGAAGAGAGTCTTAGGAGAAAAAGAACAACACGTGAGGCTTAGGGCCCCTCCCTGGAGGAGAAGAGACAGAGATGCCGTCCCGGCCATGGAGAACAGCTCTGTATACATCCCGCAAAAGCAGCCTGAGATGCAGGTACTATGGGGCATTTGTCAAGCATCTCCCTGCGCTGCACACCCAGCTACTGTCCAAGCCCTGCCCAGGGCTCACTTAGCAATCATGGAGCCTCTTTCATGGTGCTTTCCACAAGGTTTTCAGATTACTTTTCTTTATCTTTCTTGACAGTGAGCTCCAAGCGAGCCAAAATTGGGCCTTCCTCAACCATTGGCTTGTAGTGAGGATCCAAAGAATCCAACACATGACAGGCACCCGAGAGGTGTTAAACAATGCCTTTGATCACCATGGCCTGGTATGCCCTCCTATCCTGCTGCCCTCTCCCTAGAGCTGTGTCTAGTTCACACTCGCTGTTCCCATAGAGAAAGCATGGATTCCTTTCCTTCCTCTTAGCCATACTCACTGACCCAGGGCCCCAGTCATATCTGAATTCCAGAAACTCTTTCCCCAGTAACCCCATCTACATTGTGACAATGCCTGTATTTAGTAGCCCCCCTCAGCGATGTGTTGTGCTGCCACATCTAGGTGTCACAGTGATGACAAGATAATTTGGTAAATCCCTACCAATTCCCCAACTCCTTACATGCCCCATTAGCGATCCTGACAAGAAAAGTGGTTATCAACACTCCCATCTACAAGGGAGCAACCTGGAACACTCAGATGATGGGTCACTTGCCCACTGTAACCCAGCCAGTAGGCGACAGAGCCAAGATCTGAGTTCAGGCTTGACAGGTGGCAGGGACCAGGTCTTTCTACTCCACCAAAAGTTTGCAAGTTGTTTCAGGAACGTGTTTTGCCCCAACCAGTCTTTTAGGGAGCCATATACGCTCAGAACAAGACTACTAACTGTGTAGTTACACAACAGTATTTGTTAACAAATTAACCATGCAGGGAGGTATAGCATTACAGTTAGTCCCAGTCTACAGGCTGATTGCCATCCACGTGGGGCAGAAATTGATAATGGGGACAAAGAGGACAAAGTGAAAAGACCTGGCCAGATGCAGGGTTTCACCACATAAGAAAGATTAACAAACCTTTCAGCTCTGGAAACCTAAATTCCAAATCTCAGATTACTGAAGTGAGGAGTCGCAATGTAGCACTTTAACCAGCTGGGATTACAAAATAAATTACATGGTAAACCCCCTCAAGAGTTCCTAGTACTTGTAACTTTTTATCGCTTCTGTAATTCCTGCTTGATATGAAATTGCCTCTGGGCCATGTGGTGGGCATACATCAACACTCCCCAACCCTGACTTCAGAAACCAGAAGGTCAGGTTCATCCAGCTAGAGCATCTTTTGAAAAACAAGCAGTCTCCTGTCTGGGCTAACTGGCATCTTCCCAGGTGGGATGCCCATCTGGTATCCCTCCTTGGCTTTAGTTGGTGTTGGTAAATGGACCAACTGGTAGTAGCCAAAGCAGGAAGTTGGCCTGGGGCCTGGGCTGTCTTCCACTCCTTATAAGGTAGTTCCACCCCACAACTGCCTCCCCCATCTGACAGCTCCAGATGCCCACAGGACTCCTCCTCTTAACCCATGCTCTGCGGAAGCAGGCAGATACAGCCTTCACCCAGGGGCAGAGACAATGCAACATGTTTAGACAGTACCCACGCTGCTGTTGGCAAGAACCTAAACTTCCCAGAGTTCTGGGACCTGTGTCTTTATCTTGGTCTCTCCTGCAGCCTCTGTATTTCATAAGATGGAAAAGGTCAAGGCTCTATCTCCCAAACAAGAGGCAAGGAGCTTCAATCTTTTGCAAATCAATATAGACACTCCCACCCTTCACAATCGGATAAGACACCCTCAAGTAAAACATCCTGCCCCACTTATGAGTTCAACTACCTTCTTTTCTCAGTTCTGCCCCCATCACAAACGTAAACGGCAGTATCCGTCCAATCTTGAGACTTAAGCTAGATCGTGGGCATCTTGCACGTGACGTTTTCACTCCCTGGGCATACTCACATTCCATTTCCTTGTGGGACCTGCAAAGGCTTTGAAGCTCACTCTCCCCCTAGCTGAAGGTGCATCTTGTGTCTTCCGGGCCCCTTGACTCTAAGTCACATCCCGTCCCCCCGCCCCCCCCCACCCCCGGCTTTTGTTTTGTTGTTTTGTTGTGTTGTGGAACTGAGCAAAATGGACCTTCCTCCTAGTTCCAGAGTTCTGACAGGCGGCGACACAGGCAGGGAACTGCCAGACCCTGGAACCCGCTGTTCAGTCTGGCACTGCCCTGGGCCGGTATGGGGCAGCTGGGTTCTGCTCCGCTCCTCCCAGGAGGCTGCCCGGGGAAGTCCCGTCTGCAGACACCGCCCTCTCGGCTGACCAGTGGGGCGGCCGGCCCTGGGGGCGGGGGCCGCGGGGAAGATGAGTCAAGGCGCTGGCCTGAGCCCGGCGCTGGCCCAGCCCGGCCGGCCCAGGGGTGTGCGCCCGGCCGGGGCTGGAGCCTGGCCCAGCTTGGCCCGGAGAAGAAGCAGCAGGCCTGGCAGCTCGGCCCTGGCTGGAGCGGCCCGACGGTGACCCGGGGGTCAGGCCGGGCCCGGGGCCGCTCAGAGGCTGGCCCTCCACTTTCTTTACCTGCTCCCGCTGCTGCTCCGTGCGTGGCCAGGGACGTCCGAGGCCTGTCGCGCTGCCCGGGCGCGCCCCCTTCCCGCGTTAGGGATTCCGCGGGCGGCGCCCCGCGCAGGACCAAGGTGGCGGCCGGGCCCGGGGGTCCGGCGCGCGGGAAGCAGAAAAGCTGGGCGACGCGGGGCTGGCAAGCGGACAATGCAGCCGACAGAGGCCCGCGCTGCGCGAGTGGGGCCGGGCGGCGCGCGCGTGGCCGAGTGTGTATGTGTGCGCCTGTCAGTCAACGCTGACAGACCTAATCCCATTGGCCAGGCTCTGCAGGCCGTCCCCGCCCACCGCCACCTCCCATTGGCCGGTTTGAACACAAAGGCTCCGGCTCTCCCCGCCCTCTGCGTGGGCCGCGGGCCTGGAACGCCTTGCTTCTGAGTTCGCGCGTGGGAGGCGCGGGGCTGGTGCGACCCTCGGGCGGAGGGAGGTGACGTGAGCCGGCACTGGGGTCCGGGCCCGCCCGGGCCTCTGCGCACGGAAGTCGCGATCTGGTGGCCCAAACACCTGGGACCGCTCAGGGCGCGCCCTCGTGCGCCTCACCCCACGCGCGCCCGGCCCCAGGGCCTCGCGAGCTGACTCATCGAGGCCGGGGTGCCAGGGCCTAAAGGCTTAGGTGATGGGGGGCAGTGTCTCGCCCATGATGGCCTAAGGGAAAAGTGGGGGTTGAAGATCCTGGCACAGGGTCCGCCCTGACTGGTAGCCGGTAGGCGCGGTTGGCAGGCCCTCGGTAAATGCCAGGCACTTGCGTAATTGTCCTAGCCGTGTTTTCTGCACCCATTTTAAAGACAAGGAAACAGGTTCCTAGAGGTTTTTCATTTCTTGCCTTGGGCCACACAGAAAGGAGCAAAATTGAAATTAGAAGATTCTCTTCACATCCAAGTCCCACGTTGTTGTTGACCTCCTTTTAGGGTCGAATTTAGGATTCCCGGCATGACCCGAGGCTCCCCATCCTGCAGAGCCCCTGAGTTTCGCAGCGGTTTTTCTGTTTTAAGGAAGATGTGGTCAACAGTTGGTACCAAGAGAAGACAGGGCTGGCTTCCTGTACTCCTGCCTTACTCTCCCCTGAATGAATGCTTGCTACTGACTGAGCAAAACTGTCTTGTCCCTTGGCCTCCACCCACCAACTGTACTGCTGCAAGTACAATTGGGGCCAAGACACTTCCTGTGCAAGTTCTAACAAGTGAAGATGAGACCAAGTGCCATTACTTCACTACTTCACTTTCTCTCTTTCTTTCTTCAGTTCTAGGATTTGAATTCAGGGCCTTGGACTTGCTAGGTAGGCACTCTAAACCTACTGCTTGAGCCACACCTTCAGCCCATGTTACTTCATTTTCAACATAACAAAAAGAAACAGGACAAGAAAACAAAATCGCAGAAGCGGGGACAGGAAATGCTGGGTAGGGGACTGAGTTGGTTCCACCTCTAGACACAAACAACCTCTTTCTGACCTCCATTGTCCCACCTGGAAAAGGAAGTGTCACCTCCCCTGCAGTATGTTAGGATAACCATGCTGACCAGTAATTCCTCCTGGGCTTAGACTCAGAGCTCTCTGAGGACCAGAGTGAGCTCTGCTGAACTGAAGAGCCCACAGAGAACTGAAGTCAGATTAGAGGTACATCCAAGAAGGGGAGGGGCTTCTCAATTCCTGATTCTCAATGTGCTCCCCAATTCTGTCCTAGCCCCGTCCAGTGGAGTCTCCATATCCCACCCCCTTTCACTGCAGAAACTGCCCACTCTTCTCCAGGGGTCCTAGAAGACAGCTCCCTTCCCATGCTGTCTTGGGTTGTGCAGGCAAGGCTCATGCCCACAGGCTGGCTGCAGGGAGGCCCTTCTTAAACTGTGCTGCCTCTATGGGATGTATAGGCAGAATATTGGTCCCCACAGGTATTAGGTGGTAATCCTGGGATCTGTGGTTATTACCTAAATGGAAAGGCTTTTCAAATGTGATTAAAGATTTGAAGTGAGATTATCCTGAATTATCAGGGCAAGCCCTCAATATAATCACAAGCATCCTTTTCAGAGAGATGCAGAGAAAGAGAGGAGAGAGCTGTGTGACCACAGAGGCAGAGATCCAGTGATGCGGCTGCAAGCCAAGGAATGTTGACAGTCACAGGAGGTGGAAGAGACAAGGAATGGATTCTTCTTTAAAGCCTGTTGAGTGAGTACAGTCCTGTTGACACCTTGAATATGATCCAGTGATTCTGATGACAGATTTCTGGTCACCAGAACTGTGAGAGAATGTATTTCTATTGTTTTAAGTCACCAAGTTTAGCAGCCACAAGAAACTACTAAAAATCCCTTAGAAAATTCTGGGCCTTGGCCTTCCAGGCTCTCGTGATTGTGCTTGGACCCTTCTCTCCTGACCATCCATATGATAACCCATGCCAGACCTCTGAGATGACATGCAGAGCTGTCTTCCAGGGCTCCTGCCTTGCCTCTCCTCTGTTCACAGCATCTCTTTCCTTCCCGGCCTTCTCTGTTCTGCTGCCCATCATCAGACAGACTCTGCCCACTGTCCTGTTTGCTCTTCCACTGTCAGGTCCATGCTGACTCCCTACTTCTTCTGTCATCGTTCCATAAACAGTGGGGGGGGGGTTGTCCCAAGTAGAACAGGATCTCAGGGGCTGACAGCTCAGGCTGTCAGAGCAGAGCCATGTTATCACTTTCTTCCTCACTTGACACTTTTGCCTTGGTAGCCTCTTCTTTATATAAAAATATTTAGGGCTCCATAGGGCATATGTGAAGCTAACATGAGGATTTATATTATTATAAATAAATAATTTAAAGTTATATTTTGCAATCATGTTGAGAAAGAGGACTGTAATCTAGGCTCAATTCATTATTAAATAATCATTATTATTATACTTAGTGTTTCTCCTGATCCATAAGAAATTTTAAGATGCCCTTGATGGAGAAATCGGCCTGCACTGGAGACCTATCAGGAAGATGAGCCACAGATAGCTCTCTCCCCAGCACCTGCCTGCCCAGGGCCCACCCAAATCTCCTGAGCTCCAGCTTGCTTCTTGTCTGCATCAGCGAAGGGAGTCCCACTCCAGTGCAGGCTGATGAAAGCATGCAAGGACAAGAAATACTGGCCTGCACCAGGTGCAGTGCTTGCTTGTTCTGTGACCCTGGGAAAGTCACTTAACCTCTCTGAACCATTTTCCCTTTCCATAAAATGCAAATAATAATTGTCCTATCTGCCACAGCAATTGGCTCTGTGACCTTGAACAGTAACAATGGAACATGGAAGACCACCAAGTACTGCCCACCCGCACACCCGATAATCTTTGGGGGAGGAGAGAAGAGGCCCCTGGTCTGTATTAGACCCATAATCAAGGTCAGGTGGCTTCTCTGTACTTCTAGAAACTGGGGCCTCCCTTGTTACACCCCATATGGTGGCAAAATAAGCTGCGTACCTCTCTGCCTTCCCCATGACCAGCAGCAGGTGCTCAGTAAGCTTATAAGAGCCTCCAGTCACCTCCCTGCAACCAAGGCCACTCTACTTCCCCCACACTGTCAGCATCAGTCAGCAACAGGGTGTTGGCGTCTATCATTAACCATTACAGGCAGATCTGGCAGGGATGGGGACTTTCATGTCAGGTTTCCTGGCTCCAGGAACATGTTTGGCAATTATGGGGGGAGACCCCAAAGAAGCTTGGGGCTCCCAGCTCCTGGGGCTGTTTCTCTGCCTCCTCCAGCCTGTGATGTGGGCTTGCTACTCCATACCACCCAGTCCTTCGACAAGGCTGGGGGCATTTTCAATCTCTTTCATCCCAACGGCTCAAAGAGCCTGTCCGCAGAGGCCCGCGCAGTTAAACTCGTTTTACGGGTGAAGTTTGGTTCAAGGAGGGATGAGATTCAGGTTACAATGAGTCAGCCTATGTTCCAGGGACAGAACATGGGTCCCTGACCAAGATGGACGCTCCTAGGCATGCTGAGATTGTCTCCGACTATTCTGGATGACTGTGTCTTAGTCATCTCTGTCCCCCTACACTGTTATAGTACCTAGTTCTGAATAAATGCTCAAAAAATGTGCACCTTCCTAATCTTCAATCACCCAATTCTCTGGTGTGACCTCCAGATGGCTTCAGATGAAGACCCCTTGTGGGCCTGAATGTAATCCCGAAACCTTGCCCGTGACCTTTCCCACTGCCAAGGCCTTGCTCAGGCTGGGCCATGGACTGGCATCTCCTTTTCCCGTTTCTCTGCTTGATAAAATCCTGCCAGCCATTCAGGGACAGCCTCCCACATCTCTTTTCCCAGCCCACGTCCCCAGGCAGAGCAGTGGCTCTAGCCATTGCTCCCACTTCTGCACAGTCCTCTGTCCCAGTGCCCTTACACCATGCTCTGGGATGGGAAGAGAACTTGTCACAATGCCAGAGGACATGAGAATTCCATAAGGCTGCTGCCTGGCACTCAGTAAGTATGACCTATGGTTCACACTCGCCACTAGCACCACCCCAGCTGCGACCTGGCTCAGCTTTGCCACATGGAGAAACCACCCAGAAAGGCCAAGTGCTAGAAAGAAGGCAGGACAGGTCTGGGGGTCATGGCTCCATGGGTCAGAACTCAGGGCAGACACCAGAACTTGCCTTGTGTCTATGGGAGGTCACCTCTCCCATGCCTCTTGATACACCCACGGGCTGCTCTGCCTCTCATGGGGACATCTGTGGGCCAGTGGGTCAGAGAGCAGGCTTGGGTCTCGGGTATTCCTGATTCACCAGGGCCAGTTACTCAACTTTTTGCAGCTTTGATGTCCTCATCTGCACAATGGGGGTGCTATTAATGTGTCAGCTTATTAAGACCTTAGTAAGTGTGTGGCCTGAGTAAAGTGCTGGTTTTATAAGCAGCTGTTTATTCAGCAAATGCTCATTGCAGGCCTCTTCTGGCAGTGGAAGACTGGGTCATGGGCTGGGGAGAAGGGGGTCAAATGAACACAGGGCCTCACTGTGACTTTGATGGGTTAAAAACTATTTAAAATTCCCTCCCTCCTCAAAAATATTTGAAGCAATAATTTGCAACTGTGTCAGTATAAAGGCAGATATAATTCAGCCTGGACTATGTCCATTTTTTTTTCTTCAGATGAAAAAATAATTAAAACACTTCCATGGTCCCTTAAAGATTTATGGGCTCTGGCACAAAGTCTAACAGCCATGAAGTTTCTAACCAAATCTGGGAGTCAGGGAAGCTGCTAGAGAAAGTGACTTAG